GTATGCTAGTACTCATATACGGTATATTTCTTCCTTTCCTGAGATTTGAGTTGTTGAGTTTGTTTAATAATCTCTCTCTTTATTTAGTTATAAATATTCTACTATTTTACATTAATACTAATCAAGCTCTTTCTCCTTTACTTCAAGCTCACATTCCTTCTCTTTCTATTATCATAACTATACTACTTTTCAATACTTTATTATATCTATCATGAGGGATGGACACATGTTTTTTTTGATAATAACAGTAGTTTTACTACTAATACTTATTATAATTATAATTTTTATAGTTATAAAAATAATAACATAATATAAATTGAAGTAATTAAGTTTAAGTTATAATTTTTGGTACATATATACCTCTAATGTATATAATTATAAATATTAACTTTATTTTACTAGTCCTAATAGTAGAATCGAGTATAAAAAATTATAAAGACAGAGATTAGTAAATTTGTATATTCTAATCTGTTAAAATCATACTATTAGCAATTCTTCTTATAACTTACTTAAAACTGTACAGAAACTTCTACAAAAACTAATATCAACAAAAAACATACTAATACACAAGTTTACAAAATTACAGCTTGAAATAATAATACCTTGAATTAATATAGTGTATTGATTGTGTGGGAAAGAGTTTGGTTCACTCCAAAAGTGTAATTTTTCATACTCTTCAGATTGTAAGTATAATAACTTTTTTACTGCTCATTATTCCGTCTCAAATTTTTAGATATATATTTATTAGATGTTTAGCTACATATCTACAAATTTTTATGAGGTTTGAGCAAAATTTGAGGGGGGAATAGTAAAATGGCCCACATGTGGGTCTGGCCCGCAAGGGGCGCCGCGACAGTATTATCAGACGCTCGGGATTCGTGATGAGAAGGCCGATGTGGGGACGGCTTCATATTCACGCGATTGATGGATTCACGTGCAGAGTAGATGTGCGGATCATCAATTACTGCGTCAAATCCTCTTGGTACGGCCCGGGATTGACTCTGTTCTTCGCAAATATTGAGTAACACTCCTTTTCGTCATACACGGCACATTATAAATGGAATAACATATGACTTTACGTAGCGCCGATTCCTTACGATCTACAGTGAAGCATCGTGCCATCATTTTTACCAAGTATATACCCTATCGATACTTGAGCACACTCCACGGTATAAGGAACATGCCCGTTACTGTAGTCCCAAGGACCACTGTCGTCCCAACGACTACCATGGATAGATCTAAGCTTAAATTCATTGGTGAGTCTTAATATTACTCATGTACCTTTCCGGTTCTGACCTCGTGAAGATATTGGTGTGAACTTGACTGATCCCGTTTTCCATGGGATCTATCGCGGACACAGGAAGCACGAAGGTAAATATTAATGACTTCCGACATAGTAATCATACATGTTATATTAATGGGAATCTAGACGACTTCGCTTTAGTACTTGAACGGGCAAAGCTAGCCGGGGTAAAGTCTATGATAATCACTGGTGGGAGCTTGAGGGAATCACGAACAGCTCTCAAAGTTGCTGAAGAGAACGGTAATTTGCAGTATATGCATATGATTTCCAACTGAGTTGTCTACCTATCAGATCTGTATGCAACAGTTGGGTGCCATCCCACCCGCTCGGGTGAATTTGACAAATTCAGGATCGGTCCGGATGGTTACTTGAATGCACTTGACCAGGTAATATCGAGTAGCTTGGCGGGTGCAGCTCGAGTTGTTGCTGTTGGTGAATGTGGCCTTGGTAGGAATACAGTTGATCGCTCTTATATTACCTAAGACCGACTTCGTGCATCAGATTATGACAGACTGCACTTCGCAGACCAGGAAACACAGAAGAAATATTTCAGTATGTCATAGTTCATGCCATGAGAATATGTTACACTGAGAAAACGATTATAAAGAGTGTCAGCTATCTTTAGCAAAGAAGCATCATTTACCGCTGTTTTTACACTCCAGAGCTGCGCACGAAGACTTTGTTTCCATTCTGAGGGAGGAAGGTTTTGATACCGACGGAGGACGTGCTGTTGGAGGAAGAGGTGGCGTCGTCCATTCTTTTACTGGGACAAAAACTGAGATTGAGGAGCTCGTTGCGTCCCTATCTTATCCTACTTGTTCCATTATTAATTCAATCGTTCTTACCTATTCAGACTACCATGGGGTTTCACGTCTCTGTTAACGGATGTTCGTTGAAGACAGATGAAAACCTCGAAGCTGCGAAGGCCATCCCGAAAGGTAGACTAATGCTGGAAACAGGTAGGCGGCGCACGTTGTATTATCGGAACCTAAATATAAACGATCGTTGATGTGGTTTCAATCCATACCCAGATGCTCCATGGTGCACGATGACATCAACCCACGCATCAAAACGGCATCTGGACTCGCTGCCAGCCGCTCTGCGCGAGGTGTACTTCCCAGCGGCGACGAAACCCGAGAGTTACGTACCGGGTCGACCGGTGAAGGGCCGTAACGAACCGTGTGCGATTGGTGGTGTATGCTGGGTGATGAGTTGCCTGCACGAAGGAGTGAGCGTCGAAGATGTCGCCGAGGCAGCATGGACAAATACAGTGGAATTATTCGGACTCAAGTGTCTAGAGGAGTAAAGTTTGTCCCGCATCACGTAGATCTAGATATTAATAGTGTTATAAAAATACAGCCGAGGGTCAGCCGAAATATTATGTAACGAGCTGAAAAACTGGGCAACGATGTCGGGGGGCCTGCTTTTATTGCCGTTCTCTCACCATCTGTCCCTGTCGCCGTCACTCCTCAACTACCTCACTGCCTCTTTCTCCGTTCCATTACAAAAGCCAGAGCCGGTTTTTTCTCGTAGTGCTAGTATATCAATCTCACTTAGGCTTGTCAGCCTCCTGTCTCTCATTTGCATTTTCCTCCTTTCCCTCTCCCCCGCTCCCCTCCCGCCTCCCGCCGCTTTTCTTCTCCCCCTACCGCTCGATACTGATCAAGTTGCAGGCAAGAGAAAAAGCGCACAATGGCGAACTCTTTTGATTCGGGTCAGCGTCCCCTTACACACGTCAGATACCAGTCCGCGAACTCCAACCCTTATGGCTCAGGTGACCCTTACTACAACCAGTCCTCAGGCTTTCTGCCCCCGCAGAAACCCAAGAAGGGCGTCAGCAACTGGATCAAGTTTGGCATACCTGTAGCCATCCTCGTCATTGCCGGAATCGTCGTTGGTGCCGTCGTCGGAACCAAGAAGAGCAATGATAACAAGACCGCATCGAAAAACGACCCGTCTGCCGCAGCGAGCTCCGCCGTATCGGCTAAAAGCGAGATTGGCCGCTTCGCTGTCTCGACGGATAGCGAATGGATGCTGCCAGTATACCCCTCCACGGTGCGTCGAGGTTCTTTTGCGTGCTTGTGTCAAAATGAAACTGATGCTGAGATAATCCATCCCAGACCAATACCGCTGTTTTCACTACTCCCACGTTTATCGACACGAGCGACAAGAATCTCGCATGGCCGCAAGACCCATTCCAACCATCTAACCCAAGTCCAACTACGGTGCGCACCGACCGTCCGCGCCTTATTGCGCCTGCCTTCAAGTGGGAGGCGCTTCCCAACCTTATCGCACACGACCCTTACCTCAGCGGTTGGAACCAAACCATTTTTGGCAATGCCACGCAATGGAAAAGCATGGATCCCGTCCCATACTTCATGGATGGATCCAGCGGTATTCTTGATGTCTGCCGTCAGGTCAAGGAGCGTGTCAAGGCTTTCGCGTATGCTTATCGCATGACAAATGATACGTCTTGGGTTGACCGAACCTGGCTTGAGCTTCAGGTAGAAACTTGCCCTAGCTTTTAACAAGTTCTGACCTTGCATGATTGTAGAATGCTGCCGGAAATACTTCGAATCCTTGGGGTCCTGAAGAGGACAGGTGGAACTCTGCCCACTTCCTTGATACTGCAGAAATGTCAGCTGCTTTCGGTATTGCCTACGATTGGCTTTATGACATGTGGTCGGATGACAAGAAACAAGCAATCCGTTTCACATTGAACAAATACGGTCTTAGTCTGGGTGTTGCTGCTCTGACACAGGGTACGAACGGCTGGTGGTCCGCTGCCGGTGTCTACGGTAACTGGAACTGTGTTTGCAATGGCGGATTGACCTTGGCTTCCCTTGCCGTTCTCGGTGATGACGAAACAGGAAACGCTCAGCAGCTCCTCGGACTCACTATTCCGAACGCAAAGGAGAATTGTGTGTTTGCAGTGTCGGACGATGGCTCGTGGGCCGAGACTGCGAATTACTGGTATTTCGGGACGACTGGTTGGGCCGAAATGACAGCTGCACTCATATCCGCGACTGGTTCAGATTTCGGTATGCTCAGCAACAACCCGAACTTCAACCAGACCGGTCTTTTCCACATGTACATCCAGGGTGCGACATCACTGTTTAACTATGGTGACCACGGCCCCAACAAGTACACCGCTACAGCGAACTCGCTCATCTTCATGGCGGATAAGTTCAATGTACCGGCATATGTCTTGTACCAGCGCGACCAACACGACGCGGCTGACCCTTGGAGCATGTTCTGGTATGACCCTACTGTGTCTGGCGCGTTCTGGGACGGCATGCCTCTTGACCACTTCTTCGATAACCATACCGACCAATGGGCGTCGATGCGCTCTTCATGGACCGACCTGAATGCGTTGTATGTTGCAGTCAAGGCCGGTATGCTTCAGGGTCACCAGACGCACAATGATTTGGATGCTGGTGACTTTGTCCTTGATGCACTTGGGACGCGTTGGGCTGGTGACCTCGGTTCGGGTGACTATCTGTCAACAGGTTATTTCTCCAGCGATGCTCAGGACAGCCAACGCTGGCTGTATTACCGCAAGCGGACTGAGGGCCAGAACACAATTATGGTTAACCAGTCGAACCAGAATGTAGCCGCGCAGCCTCAGATTGTGAAGTCTGGATCATCCGGGACTACGCAGGGTTCAAGTACGGTGCTTGACATTCCGGATGGCTCCACCGCATTCTGGGTGGCAGACCTCACTAGCGCGTACTTTGACGTGTAGGTTTCTTATTTTAACATTTATTATCGAGACTAATTTGTAATTTTCAACAGTACGTCGTTCCAGCGAGGCGTTCGGTTACTAAATAAACGCAGGCAGGTTCTGCTCCAGGACGAAATAAATGCAAGCCAGGCGATTCAATGGCGCATGCACACGAACGCGTCCGTGTCTATCAGCGGCAATCAGATTACCTTGCAGCTAGATGGTCAGACGATGGTTATGGAGGTCCTGAATGCACCGTCTGGCCTCCAAATTGGCAAGGCGGACGCAGTTCGACTCCCCAGTGATCCGGCTCTGCCACCTAACCAGGTAGACCAGCCGAACCCTGGAGTGACGGTGGTAACCATGGACCTGCCAGCTGGGCAATATACGCTGGAGATTCTCTTCAACCCGCAATGGCCAGGCATGTCCTCGAGTGACTTTGTTTCACCAAATAGCGTTCCATTAGCCAACTGGGACTTGACTAGTCACAATGGAGCATAAATTACAGACATTCTATCTTGTTTTATCATTGACTTTCCAGTCCAGGAGCCTTAGGCTCTATTTTTGTTTCACTACGGACCGTAGGATTACGAATAATCTACCTCTTTCCTCCTCCCTCCGCTCGTTTACTTCTGAGGTTTGGTACTTAGTAGCGTTTAGTTGCTGTGTGTTACGAAAAGCTAGTTTGGATGGATTTGAGCTGAGCTCGACGTGCTTGTGTGTTGTAAGATACAAGATACAAGGAGGCACGGAGATCTTGACTTCTCCCGTAGGCAAAAGGGTCCATCTTTGGTGACTGTTGAACATGCATCATCATTCGAAGTCGAAAGAAGCTTGTAAGGTTACGATGCCTATTTGAAATGATGGCCGAGAGGCACTGATGTTGCCATTGACAGCGGCTGTTGAACGCCATTTTATTTCCGGCAGTCAGGCGACACGAGGCAAAGAAAATCGGCCTGCACAGACACGCGTGAATGGGTGGCTACTTTCTTTCGTAAATATTCAGTCGAATAGATTGCATAGTGTGCTGAGCACAAGGACGCTCAAAGACAAGGACAGGATGGATTTGCTCTGGATTGCCATGAGATTTGATGGACTCTGATTGAAAGACGTGAGATGCTTGGACATGGCAACAGGCTAGGGACGAATACGGAAGGCGTTACGGTACAGCCATCGTTCGAGCCTCGCCGCCCGCCGTCGATTCTTTGTATACATATAGTCTCGACGCTTGACGAACATCGTTTCTCTGTCTGCATCATCGCTGTTGGCCCAGTGCAAAAGAGCCATCGGGACGAACTTTGGCGTAGCAGCCGTAGTCTCTCTCAGTCATTTACGGAGTTTTTTCTCATTTGATATCAATTTATCGCCTTCCGTGTTTGGCAGCTGGTCTCCTTTCACGGTCCCTCACTCTCCCCTTACTCCCTTCAACGACTACCACGGCCAGCACACGACACGGTTAGAAAAAAAAGAACGGTCCTTTCGTTTTTGTGTCTCTTGCGGTCCTCGCAGCCATGCGCTCCAGCAACAGAACACTCCTTTTCACCTTCGTTTTCGCCCTTACGCTCCTTATCGCTTTTGCGCCCCAGGCCGACGCCAGTGCAAATGCCGCCGCTTCTCCCGCGCATCGACGGCAGGCTGGTCGAATGATCAGAAAGCGCCAGCTACCACCGATTATTCAGGTCGGCTCGGATCCTACTCAGAGCTCGTCGACGGCCGATGGTGCCTCCACGACGCCTGCGTCATCAGCGACGTCAAGTGGTACCACGGCTCGTCCAGCAACCCCAACCACAGCGTCCTCTGACCCTCTCATTAGTATTGGTGTTCCATCTGTCAGCTCAAGCACTGTACGTTATACTTTTTTCTCTCGATTTCCGATGCTGAACTACGCTATCATTGGGGATTGGTGTAACAGTCTACTACCTCGTCGGTCTCCACTTCGACTTCGGCAACGTCTTTGAATGCTACCACCTCGTCTACTACCTCGTCTTCGTCGACGTCTTCGACAACCTCAGAAACGCTTTCGGTGACCTCAGCGCCTGACTTGTCCATCTCGTCGAATCAACCTACCCAGACGTTCACGAGCACCCTAAGCAACGCGGAGAGTTCGGCAACCGAATCTGCTACTACTACTGGTGCAACTTCCAAGTCAATTTCCAAGACTACGATTACGATCATTGCAGTCGTCGCGGCCAGCATCGGTGGTGCAGCTATTATCTGGACGATCATCCGCAAGTGGAAGGTACGCAAAACACAGCATTCGCTTAACCCTCTCGTTTTTTGCGGTGTTTTTTTGGGTGATTGACTTCATTGTGCTCTTACAGTTCCGCCCGTCTGCTGAATTCGAAGACCGTATGCAGCCAATCGACTGGAGTCCAGAGTCGACACACGCACAGACAGGTGGTCCTGGCTTGAACCGTTCAGCCTCACAAGCCTCGCATGGTTCTTTCATCTCCGGCTCAGAGCACGGCAGCCTTACAGGTCCTCGTCCCTACGCCCCTGGCACTGGGAACCTCGTCGCGGATATCCCGCCGCACGACTTCACCGCTGGGCCTGCGCACCTCGGAGGCGGATACGCTGACCTCACGCGCGGTCCTAGCCCAGGTCCGCAAATGTCGCAAGCTGTCGCTCGGGGCCCGAGCTTCAACCGCGGCTATGGCTACTGATCGAATCCAATCGAATCCGGTTCGGACGGATGTTCGTTCGTTCGTTCGGCTCGTATGTTTTAGAAGTCATTGTTGTGTAGCGGAGCAGAGGTTCTATCTCAATCTCTGTTCGCCGTGTATACCGTCCTTCTGATTTGATTTGATACATCTTGCTCATCATCGTTGGTGCTAACTGTTCGCTCACCCCTGTTAGCTTACCATCACCATCCGTCCATCTATCTTTTCTTGTTGATAACACCGTTCCTTTTTACAGTTCTGTTGGATTTTTTCGACGTTACGAGCAACTTGATCTGGAGATGCTTGTAATCCATTGATCTTTGCGCCTTTTCTTCTGTCATTTCTTGGCGTTGTCAATGATGTTTTAGTTCGACGTTGTTCATATACTTATGCCTATACCACTTCATTTGTTTGCAACCTTCTTTTCACCGCCGCTCGATGCGGTTTATCCCTTCTTTTATGAAATAAAATTTCTTGTTCAGGACGATTCGTTTGGTGTTTTTCACTCTATGGCTAGGTTTAATAGGCAGACCAGACTTTCAGAATTTGGGTGGGGAGATGTTGATAATTATGCATGTCCTTATTCATTCCATTTTATGTGGGTCTGCTTGTCATAGAGTGATCGTCTGTCATTTCTATTTATCGTCCTGTTTATTTCACTGACATTCGATGTGTTCCTTTGTGCAGTTTGTGAGGAGAATTGATGATAACCAGCGTTTATAGCAATAGTTAGTTTTTTATTTTATGAAATTTAACCCGATCGTTTACGTTGTTCGGTGAATTTGAAATGCTGGGATATTTCGTTTCTTTTGACAGTGCAAGGCGCGGGTTCACAGCAACCGTCAGATTATGAAGTGTGTACGGTTACAGAGATCAGTACTGTAGAATGGTTCGATGTCGAGATGGACAGTTAGTCGCTTGTTGTTGAGGCAGTGCACAGTCGGGACGAGAGATTACCGTTGTGGCACAAGTGTAGGTTGCGGAAATGAGCAATTGAGGTAGGGAAGCCGGGATAACACACGATCACAACTGTTTGTTAAGGCGTTAAGAATGAAGAAACCGAAAGATTGCTTTTGAGGCTTTGATCGAATGGAAGGGACGTAGCAGCCAACCTAATATATAAAATCCGTATCAAACCTCGTTCTCAGAAGTCAGTAATCCGTAATCTGTATCTATATTGATTGACATATGTGGAGGGTGTGATACGGCGGCGGCCGTCCAACATTCTACATTCGCGATCGTAACCAGAGTGCAACGAGAATAGCAACGACGGGTAACACAGAAACGGAATACACCCATCCCCAATGCCATTGCCACCGCCTTTCCATTCTTCCCGTTCTTCCATCTCTCTGCATCCCCGCACGTGAATGACGTGAAGGATCATCTTCGTCCATTAGACGCGTACGCATAAGGAGGTTCTCGAGTCCCGTTGGTTCTTCTGGGGGGAAGAAGCGTTGTTGACGGAGCCACGTCCCGTCGTCTTTCGAGCCGCTTGTATGTTTCGTTAGTTCCTTAACAGGGCTCGCTGGTTCCCAATCCATTGCATCTGGATCTCGCCGACGTGTCCCAAGAGGAAAGCCATCTTCCTCACGTTCATCCTCTTCATCATCAGCGAAACTCGATTGCAGGTTACTAGAACTAGCCGCCTTATTACCACCAAGTACAAACGAGGGCCTCCCGAACATCGGGTTCACACTGGCAGGTGTAGGTGTAGGTGTGATGATAGGATTTGCGGATAGTGAGAGTGAAGCGAATATGTCTGGTTCTGGATCTGGTCCATGGTGGACGGCGTATGAGGAAGTTGACGGCCCATTTTTTGAGCTGTTATCGTTCGCCGACGTTGATGATTTATGTGGAGGTTCGGAGAACGCCCGTTGGACTGAGGTGTCTATCAGTCGGATTGGAGCGGGTTTATGGATGGTGATGGAGAAGTAAGATAGAACGAGAATCTAGACTTTTAGTCAGACACCATATTAGGTGAGAGGAAAGAAAAATGAGACTCACCGTTAACTCTAGAGCCAAGGCAGCACCGAAATATAACTCTCTTCTCGAATTCCTATCAAGGGAGTTTCGTGTCCACAGATGTAGGAAATCCCATTCTCTGCTAATCGAAGAAGATAGTAACAATATGGATGTTGATAGCCTTGATATCCAAGTTAGGCCTTGAAGAAACTAGAGCATAAATAAGATTATAAACTGTCTGTAGTACAGGAAGTGTGTAGAACGTACAATATATTGCTGACGGCCACCGACTCGGACTTGCCTCCCTTGAAGCTGAGATTTTTGTTGTAATGAATACGTAGGATCCCAGAACGTCCAAATGATAGAAATGAAAATTAGAAATGGTAATACAGGAATTAGCCTGTTAAGATGCGAGGGGATGCTAAGGTGGAAAACACCTTTCAACAGTAAATTTCAGTATTATGGCAAAAAGGTATACAAGTAACCACACCGCACCTGCAGCATTGGCTAGGATGGCGGCTAAATAACTTATACTCCACAATATGCCACGTATTCGCCATGACCGAAGTCTAGTGCGGCTGACTTTAGTTACATCTCTAGCTCCTCCTGTTCTTGACGATGGGCGAGTAACACTCGACCTCAACGCACCACCCAGCGCGCGTGTACGAGCATATTCGTTCTTCCTAGCAATCTCAGCGTCAACAGCGGGTTGACAGGACGGACACACGGGCGGGTAGCGCGTCTGTAGTGAAGCTATGTACGTGGGTAGCTGTGCGACACGCGTGGAGTATGATGGATCGCCTGGCTCGGGGAGGTAGGCGGCGCGTAGGTTGATGAGGAGTGTTTGGTTTGTTTGGCAGGCACGGCAGAACAGGCTGGATGTGCGCTGTCCTGCTAGTGATGGGAGTTGGTTGCGGTCTGGTAGACCTGTAGACATATTTTATTTCAGCTAGGGTTCCCCTGCCGTCCATAGAAAGCCGTAGCCTGGACTCACCGCGCTTGGAGAAGCTGTCAATATTTAACCGTTCATCATATTGAGCAGGTTCGTCGCTGATAATTTGACCGCGTGCGTCATAGCGGTTCCAACAACCACAGTATGGACAGCGAAACGAGCTAGGGTCGAACGCACCCGCACGACTTGAGGACGGGTGGGAAGGGTCGATAAGACTGAGGCAGTAAAAGCATGAGACGGTAGAGAGTCGTCGGAAGAGGGTCATGGTGCGCTTGCACTTCTGAGTGTCTGTTGGACACGCGTCATACAAAGTTACAACGTCGATCATCCTAATGTTCAAGGTTGCCCAGCCACGACCACGAGGATTAGAAAACAATGCAAGCTGCACCGTCATCAGGTGCACAACGTGGTCAAGCAACTATTCAGCCCGCTTATTTCACGTCTTCGCTCTTTGTCGATGCGTTACGTGCAGACGTACGCGAACTTGAGCGGATCTATTCAAAGCACTACTATGCTCTTGCCAATGCGACTGAAGCAGAGCCCAGTCCTTTGAAGCCATTCGAGCTATTCAAACACATATGGGAACAACTCGGTTGGCAATGGTTGCATTTAAAGGTGCTTGAGCCGAGAGCACGCGAAACTTTCTTGGACATCGTGTTGCGAATATTCTCGGGTACGATTTCAATTCACTCATTAAAATATTGACGAATTAATCGGTCACATAGAATTTACTGAATCTTCGGAAAGTATCATGATGCGTGTGGTGGCTCTACTCGCACTTTATACATTCTACATGTCGCAACCGTCCACGTCCGTTCCACGGACAATGTTCCGAGTTGATGGTATACCCATCCCAATTGGTAAGTAGCACGCATATATGGAATGGATGGATATTCACAGCGTAACAGATAGCCTTGAAAGACTGCTGAACTTGCCGGAGTCATTGAGCGGGTCTGAACAACCGTTGAAACCATACGTGCAATTCGTCCTGCAAACACTCGAGCCGAAATTTCTGATCTTACCTCCAACCGACTTGCAGGCTCAGAATCCGCGAACACTACCTCGGGAAGAGGTGCGGAACGAAATAGACTTGGAGGAAGCCGACTTGGCTGGTACAGGAGTAAAGAAACCAGGAAGGCCATCTAAGGCGGAAAAGGCACAGAAAATGCGTGCAGCGGTATCTAGTCTGGATCGTTGGTTGGATAGAAGCTCGTATCCAACTGAGCTTATTCATGGCACGACAGACCCTGCTGGGGCAGCAGGGTTGTGGAGACCCAGTGAAGAGGCAGAAGGTGATATTGCAGCCGCCGCAGCAACGGAACAAACAACACACGTCACTCTCTCACAGCGTCCATTGGTATCTCTCAATTCATACCGTTCGGGCAAGGCGGCAGCAGTAAATACGTTGGAAAATGGTGGACACTCTGAAGCTGTAGATAGAGCAGGACAACGGGTTCTACAGCGTCTGAAGGAGATTGATGCAATGGCGGCAGAGCGAGGACTGGAAGTCGGCACAGAGGGCGGGGAGTTATCCGCAATAGGGCGCGTGGAGAAAGCAGTGGAGGAGAGACGAGTGCTGTCGTTGCTTGAAGGTGGTGGCACGTGACGGCGTCGTTAACCGCAGCTGAGGTGGATTCACTCTACTGTATTTACTGTATTACTTCTGTACACTAGACCTCGAGCATCCACAGTGATGGATGACTTTGAACTGCTCCTCAGAAATCGTATAATAGAATCTGTCTTCAACAAGCGAAATGCTGCTGGCGAAGGGCCACAAGAATTCTACGCAGGTCACCTCAAGATATGGGAGTTCGACGACGCTGCACAAGCCAGGGACCTTGCACAACAGAAAAGCAAGCTCCGTTACATCATTTTTGCCAGTGCGTTGCATGTACTCCCCTGCCTTCCCCTCACCACCTAATAATAATATGCAGGGACGAGTAGTGGCGGACCTCTCATTCACAAGGCTCGCTTGAATCCTAACGACACATTCTCCGTTGGCAAGACATGGAACGTCTCAGACCTTAGCAGGCTAGCAGTGCATGATGTATGCTCTCAAATTGGCATTAGAATTTATTTCTGACGACATTCTTTCAAACAGTTTAACAGGCCCGACCAATTGGATGTTACTTTTGCAAGGACATACACCTGGCACGTTGAAAACCTCGTTCATCGCGATCAATTCGTAGCTCAGGCTCAGATTTTACATGAGGAAGCACTGAGACTGTTGCCAGAGAAAGAAAGGAGGGAAAAGAGAAAACTAATCGTTGAAGTCCCTCCCGTCTGTGAGTCATTGCTTATCATATACGTTGTAAAGGATCACCTAGCCTGAAACCTGCCCTAGCTCGTCCGTCTACCGCTACCACGGATCGGGCCGATGCACGCTCGGTCAGATCAAATGTTACAAATGCTACAGTTAGGGACTCACGATCTGCCTCACGTCCCCGCACGAATGGATCCCAACGATCCGAGTCGCCTGTGCCTCAGCCCCAACCTCGACCACGCGTTCCTCCTGTTAACGGTCGACCCAGCTCTTCGGCAGGTTACTCAACTCGTCCTGGTTCGCCCTCGCGCATTGGTGGGCCTCGACCGGCGTCCCCAGCAATGTCTGCATCCGGAGCCCTACCCATGCGCAGACAAAGGTTGCCTTCCACCGCAACAAACGCGTCCGGACGGTCATTTGAATCATCGTCACCGAGCCAGTATCCGTCTATAAATGTCGCCCCAATGAGTCCGGCACCGGCCTCTATCAGCCGGGTGAAGGAACCATCTCCGCTTCGTTCAAGACCAATTCAGCCCCAATCGCAGGCGTCCTCATATTCAGCTTCACATAATTCCCTTGATGTTCCCTCAATATCGTCCTCTATTCCCAGCACCGCGACCAATGCATCCACGACTTCTGTTGCAATGTCCGTCTCGAGTGCTGCTTCGTCATCAAGAGGTTCCCCCGCTACCTCCGCCTCCGTTCTTCCTTCTGAATACGCACAATCCACCTCGTCGCGAATGCGCAGTGGTTCGGGTACACCGCGTGCGCCCTCTCCCGCGCCGTCTAATTCCTCACGAAGATCGCGGCGTGATCGTGATGCTACGGAACCGCCTGTTCCTCCGCGTGTGACGAAACTCGGTGTTTCTGCCGTTCCCATGAGTACACAATCCTCCTCACAATCACAACCTGGTAAACGGGATCCAAAAGCACGAATATCGTTTTTCGATCCTGCAAACCAGGCGCTACTGGATCGGCTCCTATTCTCCGCGGAAGCAACACCTCCGTCTGGTGCTGCTAATGGCCATGTTGATGGTATTGCTAGCGGTGACGGAGTTGATGGTGAGGGCGAAGGGGTTGAAGACGACGTGTGGGAAGAGGAAGGCGACGCAGCTGCTGCGACTCTAGCGAATATTGAGGAAATGCTGGAAGGCTACGAGTGGATTGGCGATGGTCTCCCCTCTCGGTCTCGAAAAGGTCCAGCCGATGCAATTGAATCGAGTCTCCTGAATGAACTCACGTTATTAGAACGGGTAAGCTTATGATTCCCCGGGTTCTGTTGGTTGCCGCTCATTCTTTTCACAGGCAAATATACACTCCTTACTGGAATCGGATGATGACCGAATAGCAAAGGTTTTGAGTGGACTCGACGAAGCTATTGCCGAGCTGGATAGTATGGAGAAAACAGTATCGTCGTACAAGATACACTTGAACGTCAGTTGGACGGATAACTTTCTGATTCGTATTCTTACCAACCTTTCTTGTTTTTACAGGCTGTTAGCGACGATATCTTATACATCCAGTCCCAGAATCGTGGGTTGCAGGTTCAAACTCAGAATCAGCAACAGCTCCTACTTGAGCTTGAGAAGCTACTGGTAACACTTCGTCGTTCAGTTTTGAAGCCATTTTACTGACGACAGCTGGATTGTAGCAAACTGTACACGTAGACAGAGAGACGTTACTCGCCCTGACTCAGGAGTCATTGGAAAAGGACGACGGTATAAATAGACTAGAGCTCGCTGCTACCGAACTTTACAAAGCACTTCTGGCTGCTCGTGATAACGGCAAGTATCCTGCCAAAAATATGTGGGTTTTAAATAGTCTAATATTTATTTGTAGACATGGCCGCTACAATGGAGCGACTAGATGAATACCGAACACACAACAGCCAGTTCTGTAAACGCATTCTTGACTTCCTTACGATCATGTTTACTGCGCAGAGCAATCTTTTGCTCGGGGATACGAATGGACTTATTTCGTCGAGTGAAATGGGACGCCTGGTCATCGTCGGTCATAAGCGATTGGAAGATTATCTTGGTCGATATTGTGGACTTATGTTGTATATGAAAGAAATGGATGAGGCGAGGTACTCTAAGATTTGTGCCGTAAGCGATGGTAATTTTTGTAGTTTACACGTATTGACGATTTCACCGTTGAAGGCGTATTTCTCTGCGGCCAGCGATCTCCACTCGAAGCAGGTCAAAGCTTTATTAGCGGCGTACAGCAAGTTCATTCGACAGGCATCAGAAGAAGAAGCGGAGCAAGGTGAGTTATTAACTTGCCTTGCGGAATCTAGTCGATAAATTTTATCTTTTACTAGCTTTTGCGACGGCGGAAAAAGAAGGCTTAGTCTCAGGCGGACTTCGTCGAGCAGGCACGGTGGTTCGCTCTCCTTTAGACGCCAAAAAGGAGAAGGGCAAGAAGTCGGGTGGTAGACTGACTTCCTTCGAAGTGCGTCGCTATAGCCCTTAATTCTACCAATCTAACAACGGGGTAAATAGGTCCTTGATACCGTTCTTGAACAGATAGCACCGCAAATTCACAACGAGAGGGTATTCATCGCGGATTTCCTGCTCATTAACGATACTGCTATCACATTTGCGGACTATATCGGCCTTGATCATTATTTCCGACGGCAAGCTGCGCTTTATGTGGGGTTGAGCAGCACGACGATGAAATTAGTCCGTGGTGCTATGGACCTTATTTTCGGGTTCTTGCCGACGGAGCTTAAGTCGTTTATTGATGCTGCACTTGCAAAGGATAATATGTACGTGTTTCACTTGCGAATATGTGGGGAAGAAGGCAATGCTCATTTCCAACAGGCAAATTGTCGGTGTGCTTGCCTCAATCGAGAGGGCAATCGCCGATGCAGAAGAACGAGGAAACCCGTTTTTCGCTAGCGTACTCGACAAACAGCATCAACGTCTCCGGGTTATTTTCGATCGGCATGTGGTGAGTAGCACGCATATCTGATGTTACAAACTTCTTGTTCTGACTTATTAACTGTCTGGAAGGACGAACAAATTAAAGGCGTTGAACAAACGAGGCTGGATGCGAAGAAACGGCGTGGCGTGGCGCATTTCATTAAGTACTTCCCCGTGTACGTTTCACGTATTGAGAGTCAGCTTGGTGGTGCAGATGGGCTGGAGATAAGGAGTAGTGTGGATGCGGCGTATGATCGGATTGTGCAGAGTATGTTTGATTCGTTGAAGCAGATGGCGAAGTTGGATGGAGATGGGGAGGATAAGGGACAGTTGAATTATCATGTTATACTCATCGGTGAGGATTTCTTTTTCTTTTCTTTTTTCTTTTCCACCGTTTGGAGTGGTGAACTGATGAGGGGATTTTTGATGTAGAAAATATGCATCATTTCAGTTCTGAGATCGGGCAGCTTAACATCAATGCTGTTAATGCGTTCAAGAGAAACGCGGAGTCTATTTACGACGAAAATTTGAACGCGTATGTGAAGATCGTGATGCGTCGTTCGTTCGCCAAGATTATCGTACGTTCATCCTTTACTATCCTTTATTTTCTTGATCGATCTCAGACTTAATGCAGGACTTCTTCGACGGAGTCGACCGCCTCCTAAAAACAACAGCCCCAACCGAAGTCTCCAAAAACTCCTCATACAACCGCTCCGCCCTCAAACGCGTTGTCAAAGAATACGACTCCAAAGACATACGAAAGAACATCGACGCGCTGTTCAAGCGTGTCGAGAAGCACTTCACAGACGCGGACGCGCCGGAGGGTAGTCCTGCTAGTACAGTCATGACGGGGGTGTGGAAAGCGTGCGAGGACGAGCTTCTGCGGATGACGGATGTATTTTTGATGAGGATTAATCAGTGTTTTAAGGAGACGAATGTGACGTTGGAGTATTCGAGGGCGGATGTGGAGGCTGCGTTTAAGAGACATAGAGTTGGGTCGTGATTTCATTTTGGTGTTCTGCTTTTTTTTTTCTTTCCTTTTTTTGCTGTGTTGTCAATGTCAGTGTCTTTGGTGTCAAATTATTGTATCATCATCATCATCATCATCATCTCGCTGTGGGCTGATAATTGTGTATATCAATAGACCAATGGATGGAGAATACTACCGAAAATGCAAATGAGATGGATTATGAAGTAGTTTTGAGCTAGTTGCAACCGTGTACTGTACTCAATCTATCGTACGTGCTCCGTAACACGCACTTCTTCACCCTCTAGCGGCGCCGACACAGCAGGCGAATAATCCGGTCGTACACCCTCCTTCCATAATCGCGTATACGTCTCTCCCCTCGTCCACATCGGCTCACCACCAAGAGCGTTCGTCGGTCGGTCCACATGCATCCGCCAGCGCTTTCGCGCCTCCATCGACTCTGCCTCCGTGTACTTCTTCACTTCCCAACTCTTCATATGTTCCGCTTCGCGCTGGAATGCACGCTCGATTTCGGTTGGTTTGAAAGTGATACCGTAGAATTCTGCTTCTGCTAAGGCGATTTTGGATGCGATTTCTTGTTCGGAGCGAAGAGCGGCGTATTGCATGCAGGCGGAGACGTAGGCGTCGGAGAGGGAGAGGCCTGGGGTGTGTTCGTAGAGGTTTACGGTGAAGCGGACCACACTGTCGTATTCAATTCAAAACAAACAAGCAAACAGTATTAGCTTCCTTGGTTTGGATCGTACGTAGCAAGTGGGTTTGGAAAAACGTACTCTTCAGGCTTAGGGTTCCTACCCCGTTGGCTGAGCCGCGTCCATTTTGCTCCACGTATAGGATGCTCGCCCTCAATGACATCCGCCTCGACGAGGCTTCGCTCGCGGAACGCTTCAAAAGGATGGTCGCGGAAGAACTGCTGACGAACTTCATCTTCAATATACACGATGGGTTGTGTCTTTACTTTGGGCGGTTTTCTCAGATCCGCAGTCGCAGTCGAAGTGCTAGCAGTCGAAGGCAGGTCATATGGTTTCGCGCCTGCAACGGACGGAAGGCGAATTGGAGGAGAACGAGGTGGAAGAGGGAGAGGAGGATGTTCAAGGACAGCTCTGTACCACAGTGGTTCTTGTTGGATGTAGCCCGTACGTGCAAGACGAGCAACTTGCTTGTGTACTTGTGTAGCGACGCGCCGTACCATCGAAATAGACAGAGGTTAACTTCGGAAAAAGTGAGAACGTGAGCAGGAGAATATTTAACTTTCTGCACGTGATCTCAAATTCACTTGCTTGCAATAAAAGCACGAGACTGCAATACGGAAACTACTACACGACGGATACATGCACTACGACTGAGCTTTCACGCGGGATTGGGCAGCCAAAGCCGCGTTCATTCCCATCCACGTCTTCTCTACTAATCCAAGTAGCCGTTGCATGTCGGAACTCCACTCGTTACATACGTCCTCAGAAGTCTGTTGCTGACGGAAGTTAATAATCCCTGCTGGCCGGTCTATCCGAGCCCACACGGTCTTCGCTACGACCAATCTGCATAACGTCTCCTCTGTCTCCTTCGAAGATAGGTCAAGCATCGTTTCGAGACGTTTCATGGATATGCGGGTATAATAACTTGCGATAACTCGGATGTTCTGCAGTAATATCATAAAGTTGGAGAGTATCAGAAACGTAAAGTAAAGATCACATACGTGTTCTATCACTCGTGTATGAAGATCCTCCCATCTGTCAGCGTTTGCATGGCCAAAGACGTCAGTACCACGAAGAGCAGAACCGTAGAAATTCTCGATCCCGGGCCATCGCATGATTTCCTTCGTTACGAAGCATTTCAAGAGATTACTGCGACGGAGAATCTCAGGAAATAAGTGTGACGGGCCTCCATGAAATGCTTACCGGTGAAGCTCCATCTTTGTGAGCTCAGGATAAGCGTATATGCGATGCAGCATGTCCGATTGTTCGTTGTTATGAGGCGCGAGGACGATATAGTAAACCACATGCTCGAGAGCCTATGAAGAAAGATTAGTTTGAGTTTCTTCGAGACAAGGAGAAGGCGTACCTCACGACCCTTCCCCGACATCTCTTCTTTGATCCCCGGCGTATCCCAGATATTGTGATAGTATTTTGCAACATCGAGGTATTCTTTGCCATGCAATGCATATTGGATCATTAAGTCGTAGAATTTTAATTTCAAATCCTTTATAGCATACAAGTCAATCTACTTGTCATCAATAATAAAAATGTCACTTACTTCGTTGCCCTTTTCCTTCAAAAATCTCTCGTTGACCTTTCGTCCACCGACGCGAACCTTAATCCAATCCGCTTCACCACGGCTTTCCTTAAGACCAGACGATTCTGCGTCCTTCCCCCTCGCCACGAGAACAAGCAAACGCATTTGTTCGAGTAAAAACTCTGTCTTCTCTCGCCGCTCCATCGAGGAATAAGTTTCGACCTGGAGATCGGAGAGAAGGTCCGAAGCAGTCTCGAGGGACTTCTGTGGCGGAGGCGACTCCTTCGTAGGTTTGTTTGCGAGGGATTCATGGTAAAGTGCAAGAGAAAGTGTTACTCGCGCGCGAGGGGTTTCGAGGAAGATCTATAATATCCATAAGATAAAGTCCAACCGGGGTCGATCGTGGAAAATACAACCTTTCCCTCCGTAACTTGTCGCAGAGTTTCGACAAGTTCGAGCCATCTATCTAAACCATCCCGACTCCTCACCTCCTCCAGCCAACCCATTGCCTGCTCTACCAACGATTGAATTGTCACTTTAAACTGGCCATGTTTTTTGCTGAGGAGAAGAATATTGGAATTAAGGGCGGCGAAGTCACGAGCTTCGTAGGTTAGGGTGGACACGGTCGATGCAAGAGTAGTCGTTGATTTAAGATCTGAGGCCTTTCGCGACGTCAATAAGAGCCTCCAATAGTGTCAACACAAGCTCACATTTCGCGTCTGTTTCTCTAGGACAAGTAATTTCTCGATCGCTTCTGACAGTTTACCTCCCTATGACGAACGCTTAGAACAATTCAATACCTCAGACAAGAACATTAGTACCTTTGCGAGAGCGGTAGCCTCCGGGACTAAGGCTTGCACTTCGGGGGTGAAGTCCCTTTCTTGTTTCTTTACTTCAGACATTGCAAGAGTACAGATAGATGCAGAGCCAAGGAGCAGTGAGTGGGAGAGCCAGAAATCAGAGTGTCAAGCACGACGCGTCATTCGAGTGGGTGAGACTCAGATACCATATTCGTCGACGCGTCTTAGAGCGCGTGTTGATCACGCACAACGCGACTCGTGTGTGGACTGTGGTCTACTCGAAACGCGACTCTGGCCCGACTCATGACATGGACGCAGCTGCCGTACGCTCAGAGATAAAGTCATGGGAGCGTGCATTCAAGGCAGAGCATAGCCGAGACCCGGCTATCGAGGATATCAAAGCCCAACCAAAGATTGGTCAGTCGTGTTCAGATTACTACATGTCAGTCGTGACTGCTTATCTTACTTGAGCGACTAGCCGCTAAGTATAAGCTATACAAGAAGCTCTCAAAGGAGGCAGCTCAATCGCATGTAGCAAAGGAAGCACATCGACATGCCCCCTCGACTCCACCACGTCGGTCATCCGACCTACCAGGTCCTTCATCTCTTGTACCAAAGTCGCGTGCAACGGCGCACGCTCCCACTGAAGAGACATCTAATCCTTTCTCCCCTGCAAAGTCGCCCCGTAAAAAGCAAATCTATCATAATCAAGCTCCTCAAAGCACTTCAACCTCTTTCAACCTTCCGTCAACTCCGCCCAGGAAGAAAAGAGTACTACCCACTCCTTCCCCGGATCCATTCCCGCCTATCGAAACTGCTCCAGAAGTAACATCCCCCGTTGTTAACAGTGCAGTAAAGAAGGCAAGGAAACGTCTTCGCGGTGACCTCGTTTCTCCGACTCCTAAGAAGCCTCGAGTGGCATCCACATGGCTCACTTCCGATTCGGAAAGCAATTCAGAGAACGATCGCGAGGTAGATACAGCGTTCGTTGACGAATCGCCTGTGAAAGTTTCAAATGGGAAAGACTTCAAGCCCTTATTTGATGAGACTCGCCTTCCACAACCCAACTTCACTACGACCACGAAGAAGGGACCATATTCACGTGCGAAGTCTGCAGTTGATCCTTTCGCTGGGCATTCGACTAGGCAGCTTCCAAATGCTCTTCAGGGAGAACCAAGCGGCTTGACGAGGGCGGCTTCGTTGCAGAATCGGAACAAGATCCTCTTAACTTCTGCACGGGTGAAACCAGTTTTCTCAGGGAAACGGCCATATGCTTCGATGAGGTCTGACTGGCCCGAGGATTCTGCTACGATTAACGTAAATGAGACCCGACCTGCTGCAGACTCCCGAGCTAATCTAAAACGTTCAAGTTCTGTCGACGCAGATGACATGGCATCCAACGATCAGCCTCTTCCTACGAATCATGGTGGACTGTTGCCTCCTTCACCATCTGCTAGTGACCACGGAAAATCCGAGACTCGTACGACGGCGGACAAGTTTCGTGCCAAAAATCGGAAAAAGGTGAAGCTAACCTTGGACAATGAACTTGGCGAAGACGATCAGGCAACCGATGAGGGCGTGCAGGTAGTTGACCTAGACTTAAGCATACATCGACATGCTGGTTCTCGAGACGTTGACAGTGACGAAGATAATTTAATGCGAGAAGCTTTCGGGACAGTCGGGAAAATCAAATTTGACGTTGAACCTGAAAGCCAAGAATACGGATCCGAGGATGGCGAACCAGACATTAACCTTCCAGACGACCTCCGCAAAGTACTCCACATTTCCGCATCTCAGTCCCGATCTCGTGAAGAGCAAGTCCTCGTGGATTCCTTGCTACGAGGAAGGATGGACCCGCAACATCTCCGGGGCGAGGTGTGGGGAATTGGTGAAATTGATAACGTGGCAGCCGCCGTAACTGATGGTGAAGAGGACTGGGCGGGGGAAGGAATTCCGTGGGAGGTAGGCGAGTTGTGAATTAGGCAAGTCTGTACGTTTGTTTATGTACTAAACGTCGGCTTTTGCTGATTCTTATGTGTCTTAGATCGTTTATACACGTCTGATCTGCATTGTAAAGTTGCCATTTTGTACACGTGTACCTTGCATGTTCCACTGATATTATTAACACAACCACTTCACTGCCTCGTTGAAGAACCTTTCCAGGCTCTTGAAGCATACTTGTCTGCAGTCACAGTTGCTGCAGTATGCGATGAGTTATGCCGTCGTCAAGATGTGACGGCGATTCATAGTGATATTAAGGTGCCCCTGTCCATGCCTTTATGGTGCGGTTCAGATACGACGTAACATGCCTTCTACACGCCGAATCTTGGCTGCCTGGCCGGTATATATCTTGTGCACCTCTTACACCTTCCGTTTGTACTCCACCAGAGTTGAGTCCATTTGTGCTCACACGATCATTCAATTCTTCCTCTTATTCTGCTACAAAATCTGTCTATAATGCTTCAACTTCTCAAAGATCCCGAATTGACGAGATTCGTCCTCGACTATGTCCTGGAGACACCTGGAGGTCGTCGTACCGTTTCGCGAATTTCGCGGACTTGCAAGGCCGTCTCGGAGATGGCGCTCAATTCGCTGTGGAAGGAGCTAGACTCATTACTACCACTTCTTTCTCTCTTTCCTGGCCACCTCTTCAAGAGGGCTCGTCGACCAGGTCAGGGCTTTGTAAGTGGACTAAACTCATTTCAATTCACTCTTTTTTTCCAAATTGACCGATCCGTTAGGAGAAGCCACCTCAGCCAGAGGACTGGAATCGTGTGCTCGTCCACGGAGATCGGGTTCGAAAGATTGCCTACAATGAGAGCGTTGGCAATGTTCACCCGGGCATCTTCTCTATTATTGAGAAGACCAAACCGAGGGACTACATTCTTCCTAACTTAAAGTTTCTCCATTGGAAATGTGAATCTAGTGAAGGACTGGAAAGGAGCAAGCTTTTCTTGAATCCTCAGCTCCGATCTGTGACGCTTGAAGTTGGTGGAGGTGTGCCACAGGAAGACCTTGCCGAATTCCTTTCGGTTGTTTCATCAAGCACGCGATTAACATCGCTCTCCGTTACCTCACCCACGCGGTTACCTCATTACCTCCCTCGCCTGCTCCAGCAGCAGACGACTCTGGAAAAGGTTGCACTGATGGCGCCTGGTGCGCTTGCTCCTTCTATCGGACGCTGGTTGTCGTCTATTCCATCGCTTAAGAGTCTGCAAATCGAAGTTGGAGACCGCTCTGATGGTGTTATCGCGAGTTTCTTCAATGGTGTTCCAACTTCTGGAAAGTCGTCACCTGGATTTGTCTCTCCAGACTTTGTGATGACACCGCTCTCTGCAGCAGATTCGACTGTTCTTGTCAATTTTGCCACGGAGCCAGGATTTAAACAATTACGACACTTAAGCATTAGGTAAGTAACAATTCTCGACTGTAACGAACAATACTTATGAGTACGTACAGCGGAGAGTTGGGCTCTGCGACTAATTTCCTCGCTCGGGTCTCAGCACCTCTTGAAAGCATCGAGTTGGCCCTTGACGAACCCGACAACGAAAAGGAGTGGCGTTCTTTATGGCTCACCGTGAGCAGGCAGTTCAAGAACAGTCTTCGTTCAATCGTGATCTCGCCATCGAGCAATTCGCGGTTTGTGGATCTTATCCGCTCTACCACGCGGGGGGACAATTCCGCCCGGCGTTTGCGACTAGACGGATTAGTGAATACGGAAAACTCGAGGGTCATCTTCCCTCAACTTACACATTTCGAAGTGGACCTCCCGCAATCGCGCATCTTCCTTGACGAGGACCTGCAGCACCTTGCCACTGCGTGTCCCAAACTTCAGATAGTCAAACTTTGCCCGCTCTCGAGATGGCCTCTTCCGTATGGTCCTCCGAAAGTGACGCTGACAGGTCTGGCACTCTTAACAGCAGGTTGTGAACAACTGCATACGCTGCATATCCCGATACACGCTCACCGAACGGACAACCGTACTCTATTTGAGATTGAAACCTCCTCACGTTCTTTGACAACCTTACATCTTGGTCATTCATGGGTCGACGATCCATTAAACGTCGCAATTCATATTAGTCACTTCGCTCCCTACCTCGAAAACTTAAAGTTCTTCCGTGAGAAGAACAGGCCTGGCTACGTTGAGGCGCATTGTTCTGGATGGCAGCGCGTTAGCGAAATACTTCCACAACTGCAGCAGCTTCGCCTACATGAGCGGAGCCACGGCCAAACCACTGGTTTCACTAGCCGTCCTGCAGCACCGAGCGATCCCGCTTCTTCACCTTCCTTCATGCGCCTGCCTGGGACACCCCCACTACGCAAGACGGTGACACGGGCAGTACAAGCAACACCCGTTACGAAGGAATTCGCTATACAGACCAAGGTTAATGTTCGGCACAAAGGTATCTCAACAAAACCCGTGCCTTCGGAGATGCGCGACGAGGGCATCGATGCTAGGCCTTTTGTGCGCGACGAGATTGTCCAAGCACGACCAACAATGCACGAACAAGCTGTCGAGGCGCAACCGCTTTTGGTTTCCAAGCTTGTCGAAACGTTGGTAATTCCGGACAAAGTGACTGCTGATGCCTCGACTTCTCCTATCAGAGAAAAATTCGAGGAAGACACCACCTCGAACGATGAATCTTCCTCCGCGCCATCTGGTTATCTCGCCCGTTCCGCCGATTATTTGACGCAAATTGTGCACGCCGTATCGCCGCCTATTTTCCTCAGGCTATTCAGTCTCTTTAACCTATGGGCGATCTTCCGAATTCAGCCTTGAAAAACACCTTTCGCTTACCTCACTTGATTGACCAAAATCCGCGCAGCGAGTCCGCGATTCCCGCCCCTGGGTTCACTTCGTTCGTTCACCGTTATTCTCGGATACGTTCATTCGATATGCTTCTATGCGCTTCTTATGAGTCCCCTTTCATCACGTATGCTTTATGAATTTCCCTCAGCCTGGTATGCTGCATTTTCTCTTTATGGCCTCTTTTGTCATCCCATCCATTTCCCGCATAGCAACAGATATTTATTCGTGCATTACTGTGTTGTTTTATCATTTTGATTGCCCAATTGGAGGTTACAAGTGCTAGACTTGGTTACCGCATAGCGTGGTGTTCTTTGTGTGAGATTCGCGAGCGGCTTCTCAGGAGAGTGATGCATATATACAATAATATCTCCGGAGCAAGGGCACATATGGAGGTCCCTTGCTGTCAGCAGAACAGCTAATTGATACCGCCTCGGTGGCACCGCCTGCTTCCCAGCTCCTTTAACATTCGCCTCTTTGCTTTTTCTCTGACTGCAAATCTCACCACTCTCCTTTGCTCGACTCCAGAGCCTGTTGCCAACTCTGAGAGAATCCGAGAAACAAGATCGATCTCTCCATCACTTCATGTCCAAGCTCATACGTAATCACGGCCATTCAGTTCCCCGCCCACACCAGTCAAATGCGCTGAACATCCAACCCTTGCACCTTACTAAACGACTTCCACGTACACCCGAGCCTTCAGACGAATCGCGTTCTTCTGCGACGCAACCTAGAGACAGGAATGGCCAATTAACTTCAGGTGAACCCACGACCCAGCGGCCGCCGCAGAATTCAACACCGACACCGTTAATCGATGCAGACGATCCGGCTTTCTCGAGTGACCCAAACCATCATCCAGGCCACCATATGCATGGTCCCTTATTAGGGAGTACTGCACCAAGAGGGAAACTGTCGCCAGCGAGACATGCTAGGGAGCTTGACACTGAGCCTCCTCCAGCATATGACGATGTTCCCGCTATTCCCGATTCCTTAGCAGCACCGCATGCCCAAGACGGATCGAATTCATCGTTCGGAAGCAGTTCCAACGAAGATGTGCAGAGACCAAGTCACTTGCGTGAAAGTGCACTGTCGTCTTATTCCTCATTATCTTCTCCGTTCTCGAGCACAACCAATCTACCTCAACCGAGAGAAAGCGTTTTGGACGATATGGACGATCAGACAGAGGAGCTTTTAGCATATTTGCAAAACGATGACCGTGAACGAATGCCCTCGAAGCAGCGCGAGGTTCCCATGTCTCTGAGACCTCATCAGGGGATGCCAATGAATTCTGAAGCACCGCCCAACCAACAAGAGCGCAACGGACCAGGCCGAGATGCCCCGGGCCTGGCTCGCAGTGCTACCGCCCCTACTGCTACGCGCTCCGTCAGTGAGCCACCAGCTGCAATGGGCACTGAAAGACCGCGCCTTCCTCGACGTGGAAATACTTCTAGTCCTCGCCATGTCGCAGATTTGGACCGTATTGATGAACTAGATGAATCTACGCCACTAGGTTTGCCCCTTCATCACAGAGGTCCTTATGAGATGCAAGGAAAAGTGGATACCCCTCCAATGCGGCCGATACGTCTTGATCGAGAGCGTCAGGTATTTCTTCTCTATCCTTAACTCTTAGTATGTATGCTAACATAGAGTCAGGCGCCTCCGAAGCAACATGTTATAGTCGCTGAAACACCTCTCGATGCACCTCCGGCACCAGTACCCTTCAGACTGAACTTGAAGCCTGGTGAATTTCTGACGAGAGTTCCACCGCCTGCGAGAAGTCGAACAACGCCTCCTGAGCAGAATCCTGCTTTGGCAACCGGATACTATCCGCCTGTCGCTCGAATGCAACCGGTCCACCAACAACGACCACGATCCATTGCACAAGATCAATTTGATCCTCGCTTTGCTTTCCGGGACAACGTCCGAAATGAATGGACGCCAGAGCAGCTGTACGAAAATCATCAGTACGTGGCCCCGCCAGCGGCGTCGGGAGATGTTCCACGACTCCCTTATCGTGCGGACGGACGCAATATTTCTCCTGTAGCATCTGCCAACTCTTCACGACAAGACGTTCGGCCTAATGCGGCTCCTTATCCTGACATCAAATTGCCTCCTGTGGAACCTCCACGTCAACGACAGGTCACTTTCCAGCAGCCCCAGCAGCAGTCTTCGCTTTCGCGATCCGTCAGTCAACCTGTGTCTTCTAGTGCTAGCAGTGTATATTCGGCATCGTCGACTTCGCTTTCTCGTCCTCCGCCTTCCGCAGTTGACCGTTATCGGCCAAAGAAGATAGTAATGCCAGCACCTCTCCAACAGCAAAGTCAGAATATCGCACGATCTGTGCCTGGTGACATGCAACGGCGAATGGATCATAATGGTGTGATTGCTCAGTCGACTGCAGCGGTTATTCCTGTGCATGATCCGAAGAAAGCTAATTTCTTGAAGAAGAGGGCGAGTACGACTTCGTCTCCCGCACATCAAAATCATAAGCATCTGGCCCCAGAGCGTTCACCTTCTATGAGGAATCTCTTCAGCATGGGCGCGGGCTTTGGCAGGAGTCTTACACCAGACCCCGAGCCAAATGTCCCGAAAGCAAGCAGGAAGCTCAGTAAACGCAGTAAAGCGGCTTAGGGTTACCCTCTTTATGCTGATTTCTTTTGGGACTGTACCAATGGAACTCTTTACTATCGTTTCTTGACTGTGTGGCAGCTATGAGCTTGACATGACCCTTACGATGTACTCTGACTTCTTTTCTGGCTAGCTTATTATGCTGTTGTTAACATGCTGATATTTCGTGGTTCTCGTATGTTTTAGAAGTAATGTATTGCTGTTGTGTAGTGTACAAGATTAGTGGGCTTGTAAAATCAGAAAGGACGAGATGTATTTCATGCAAATCCTCCGTGACAACCTGTTTGCGTTGTGTTCACAAACAAGGCAAAATAACGCGTCGCATTCGACGCGTCCCTTTCACTCTTTCCCATTTGACATTGCAGGCATGCCTTTCGAGACGTACACAACGAGTTCCTCTTCTAGGAAACGCCGTCTTCTGGATGACTCTGATGACTCTTTCCACTATTCAAAAATGCTCAAATCTCAGCCAAAAACGCAGACGGATAGCGAATGTGCTCGGCTCGTTTCCATCAACCAATGTGGCCGTGAGGAAGGTTTGTGGGTCCATATTTACGACAATAATGAACTGATGACTAGTATGTTTGAAGTTATCGTGCTTACACTTGACAAACCTGTAACCATTGGGAGACATCTTCGTGAATGGTGACTTTGTTTGCGTCCTAGTATTAAAAAATCTTCATTTATAAGGGATGATGAAGCACGTACGTTATCTCAGACAAAGTGGTATCCAGTGTGCATTGCAAGTTCTATGTGTAAGTCTTTCACGGATACATAATACCTGTTCATTGATCTATCTGAATTGTTCAGCGTGATGTCAAGTACCGGGGGAGTACTAGTGTCCTGCCATGTAAGGATTCAAGGTAAGTTGCATTGCACTATGTATCATACTAAAAGCTATCAGGATTACTCCACGAATGGCGTCATAATAAACGGCCGCAAATTACGCCGAAATGCGGCGATAGTCATGGATGGAGACGAGATCCAGATCCCTAACTCCAGAGGTATACATTCGACTGTACTTTGCGTCGAATGCTAATGGTCACAAGTCTTTAAGTGTATTCATACATTGAAGGAACCCCGGGAACATGTAAATATCTTCGAGCAGACGCCCCCTCAGGGTGTTTATAAGGTAAGTCCCGTCGAATTATTGATTTGGTTGATGGATCATATTTTAATAATGAATAGAACCTGGAGATAGGATATTACACTATAATGTCGCACTGTCTTGGGAGGTGAGATTCATCCTATTTTCCTAGCTAAGTGGTAGCATTCATAGGCTTGTATTGTTAGTGGATCCTATGCCTCGGTCCACCTCGCTTTTGACACCCTCTCGTCTCGACAAGTCGCATGTAAAACGATCATCACCAAGTCCAGAAGGAAAGAAGACATGCAAAAAGCTAAGAAGGAAGTTAACATCCTCAGGGGGCTCAAACACGTAAGTAGTCATGTTGTGTCGAGACAAACAACTCCATCGAGCTTATCTGCGCAGCCAAACATTAATGGAATACTAGATGTAGAGGTCAACTCACAGGCCGGCTGGCTGTATGCATTTCTATTCGTAAAGCCCCTGAGCTTCCCGAGGACTAACATTGTGCAACTAGACACATCTTCTTAGAAGTAAGAATCGAATAGCTTGTCCGTAGACGATGTATACCTTACCTCTTTTTGAAGCTCTGTACGGGCGGAGATCTATTCACTTACACGACGCGTCGTTATCGATTGAGTGAAGCAGAGGCGAAGTTTATCACGTTTCAATTATTCAGAGCCATCGAGCATCTCCACGACCGGTCGGTTTCTCATCGTGGTATGTCCATTCAGATTTGTGTACCACCCCACAGATATTTACTGCTTGTTCGTCTAGATCTCAAGGTTGGGAATAGCTACTCCATTTTCCAATATGACTGACCCGTCTTCCTCAGCCTGAGAACGTACTTCTATACACCCCCGGACCGTTCCCTCGGGTACAGATAGCAGATTTCGGTCTCGCAAGAGCAAGAGCATATCAGGAAACGATGACTGTATGCGGGACCGTCTCATACTTACCTCCGGAGGGTATCATGGCTCTCGATAACAGAGAGCTCGGGTATGTCGGAATGCCAGCTGATTGCTGGAGTGTCGGGTTAATCTTATTCATCATGCTATCGTGAGTCCTCTCGTTCCGTTCGTACTACTGGTTCCAGCCTTCCATTTCAGAGGGGAGCATCCATTCGACTACCCCAGTGAAAGCAACACTTCGAAGATGCAGAAGACAGGAGTTTCAGCAGCGGAGTTGCAACGGCCTCCGTTTTCTCAACGTTCGGTGGTTAGTGAAGAAGTCGTCAAGACGCGAATTATCAAGTGTAGTGTGGAGTTCACCAGCTTCTGGGACAATATGCTGAAAGGTAGCGAGTCCCCTGGTATCTTCACGGAGACTAACGAAATGCTTTAAAGCGAAAGATCTTGCAGACAGCTTATTGTCCCGAGATTACAAGTATAGGACGACTATCAAAGAGGCTTTGCAAAGTCGATGGATTACTGATGATCTGGAAGAGCTTGTTCACGACTACAACGAAAGGATCTCTAACTAAATGGACTTTACTCTTCGTAGACTGCTGTACATACTGATGTTCGAGGCTCCTTCTAACCTGGTGCTGGTCTAAAATTGCACTCTGAGGAACGCTTCCTTCTCTGTCACGCTGCTCTAGCTACTGTTACACGTCCGATTTATAACTATAATTGATACATTTCTCTGCTACTGCCACTGTAATGTGCTCTTTATGATCATGTACTGAATCTGCCACTAGTCCCCCGAGTCGGAATTTAAGCTTTGAGGAAGTTGGCATGGAAATGGACGTGATCTGGCGCGAATGTCGAAATCTGGCAAGGTGTCTAATGTTAGCTACTGAATTGGACAATCGAGATGGCAAGGGCTGTCTGCTGAGGCAGCCAGGATACTGATACTCACGAAGTAATAACTATGATCATAGTCTTCCTGACTGCGTACGCGAATTTCGACCTCGTCGTGTCCAGCTTCTCTTGCAGCTTTGAGGAAGTTCTCCGGAAGCAGTTGACCCTGCTTGTAAAAGTTATCGCCCGTTCCCTATGCAACCAAAAATATTAGCACATATCAGTCATTCCTGAACCTTGAACAAAGTGGAAACAGAAAAGGTAAAAAGAAAGATCTCACATACATAGTCGATCAAGATATGCACAGGTTCCTTAACCCCACGAATAAGCTCCGTCGCATCATAGCGTTTACTAGCTTCTTCAAGTCCACCGGCAAGGTATCCCTTGAACGCCTTCTCACCCCACGGACATTTCGTCGGGTTCGAGATGGGTGCGAAGGCGCTTGCGGAGCGGTATGTACCTGGTGGAGAAGCGAGGTAAATCGTCAAAGCTCCGTGTCCGCCCATTGAATGCCCGAAGATGGACTGGCGGGAGAGATCGATTGGGATCCCGGAGGATTCGAGAACGGAGGGGAGTTCCTTTGTGACGTGTGTTAGCATTCGGTAGTTCTTTGCGTATTTGGTAGCGGTTGCGTCGAGGTAGAAGCCTGCGCCTGTACCGAAGTCCTGTCATTGAAAGAGAAGAATTAGTGGCGTTAAGAATGATAGCGGTTATACGTTTGAAAGTGAATGAGAATGAGATTACCCAGTCGTCGTCCTCTCCCTCGACACCTGCCCCACGCGGAGAAGTATCAGGAAAGAGAATCGCAATTCCCTCGCTTGCAGCATCTTTGAAAAAACCACCCTTCTGAGCGCTGAAACAATCAGGTTGATTATATGCGCGCATGTATGGAGACCAATCAACGGAACGGAATCATTTTTCAGACTCAGATATATTAGCAGTACAGTAAATTGGCTTACCCGTTGTCCTCTGTGCATGTTAAACCAGCTAGGTAGGTCAGTAGAGGAACTTTAGCGGAAGCTGATGCATTGGCCGGCAGGAAGAGATTGAAGTTCGCTTTGAGTCCGCCGAGAGCTTCTGACTATGTGTTATGATGTAGTAGCATCAGTATCGGTACCGGTGGAACAGAGTAAGACACGGTAATAAGTCGACCACCTCTTATTCGCCTTCAGGACGAAAAATTTACGTGCATATACACACCTTGAACGAGTATTTCGTGAGAGTCCCCTCAAATACTTTATTCTTCGCTTCTTCTTTCAGTTCCGCAGAAACAGCCATACTGACTGAGAAAATAGATAATTCGATAGCGAAAGCGTTCTAATAACAGAGCACAAAGCACAAGTCGAAATGACTTAGAGCGTTGGGGATGGGGGTGTCAAAGATAAACAAAGGCAAGATGAATTGCGTGAGAAGTGTCAGGATAAAGTGATACCCGTTCGACGTCAGTCCTACGCAAAGCCAAAAGGCACGGGACCCACAACGTCGATCCCAGACCCGTTGAAGACACCTACCTGAAAAATAAAAATCTAATCTGATACCTTCTATACTCAGACATGTCTCGCAGCCTCAAAGCCGAATTGATCGAGTCTCTATATCCGTATTTACACTACAGCTATACTTGTAAAATTAGCTATGTATGTTGCGAATGAATAAGGTTGCATGTATGTATCATGTATCGTGAATGAAGGAGGTATATAGAGCTAGTTTGGTGAAAAAGAAAGACCCCATAAAGCAAAGAATTTGAAAGACCGCAACTTCTCCATGACTCTACATCTGTCAGCTTCTTCCGGGACTAGAGTCAGATATCCTATCACTCGTGTTGTTTTTAATAGACTGTGGACCATCCGATGGAGTCCGAGCTGGAGGACTTGGTGTTCGACTTGGTGTCCGTGGTCCACGATTTTCGAAGCCCTCCTTCGTCTTCACGCCAGCTCCTGCCCTGCTAGTTTCGGCCTGGGCACTGGCTTCGGAGTTTTCGGGCCCACGAACCCCATTATTATCACCAGCGGTAGGTTCGTCAGCTTCCGTCTCATCAGCACTTTGCCCCTCAACATGCCTAGCGATGTGATCCGCAACTCCGAGGTAGAACGTTGCAGGCTTGAACTTTATCTGTCGACCAGTGAACTCCGCCCATTTATACCGAGCAGTATTCATCCATCCGATCAAATCGAGGTGATTCACATCTTTAAGTGTGCCGAGGTAAGTCCCCTAAAGACAAATCATGATTAGTGAAAAGGTGATTCGTATAAGACAACAACACATGATTCATACGAACCCATTTCGATGAAGCTACTGAAACGAGGCCATCATTCGGGCCTTCTTTCTCTAGGATCACCGAGTGCGGCCACCTAATATACAACACGAGGTTTAATAGCCTGTCAAAGTATAAATAGAAACTCGCACCTGAAGGCGTCCAACAATCCGGGTTCAAATTCCGCACCCCAGCTAAAATACTTTACACCTTCTACATCAGGTGTTTCCTCGTTAAATTTACGCATCGCTTCGGTAGTGAGGCTTTCGAAGGCTTTCCCATCGCCGCCGCCATTTGGCAGCAGTTCAAGAAGCGAGACAAAGGATGGGAGGCGCTCTTTACCGACAGTTGCAATGAAGTGATCCGCGAATGATGAACCATGGTGTGGAGCTGCGATAGTTGTGATCGAGAGTACTCGGAATTTACGCTGCGTAAGATGCGTAGTCAAATAACGGCAATCCAATCCACCCTGTGAAAGAACAGAGTTACTCTGATGAAACATAGCCATGACGAGGGTGAGATGACAATTACCATGCTATGACCTTACACATCGTATCAGCACACGACAACTGATTTGGAGAATAACAATAATTTACCTATTAAATGGACTGCTCGGTTTGGATAGACCTCAGATATTCGCGCCTCAAGGACCTTGGCCCGCTCCATGGGACTACTCGTTGCAGGCACGCGTGTGATGAGAACCTCAATACCACGAGCTTCAAGCACTTCTTTAATGCCTCGCCAATGTGAGACACTCATTGGTGCAATAGAAGGTCCAATTGTGACGCTGTCGAAGCCAAGTAAACCATGGCAGAATACAACTGGATTCCTTGGAGCAAGATCTACGAAAACGTTAATTGCATGCGTAACACGATGTTTGGCGTAAGACTTACACTTCCTGCGTATTCGGGCTTGTTCACCCTCGATCGTGTCGGCTCGGTCACTATCATCTAGTAATTCATCCACATCCGCCTTTCGATCCTTCCCAAACCACCATCGCGTTGGAGAGCCAGTACTGAATGGCCGTGCATGGGCTGGCGTTTGAGTATCCGAGTTCAGAGTTATCCCGCGATCGCGCAGATGCCGAAGAGAGTCAATCGAGGTCCGCGTCGGCGGAGATTGTGTAATGTCTACGCAAGGTAGATCCGAGTCTGCGTTGTCGAAGTCGAAGCCTTCATCACTGAGAGCAATTGAGTGGCCAGTAGGTTGGCGAAGCACTGGTAGAGGTCTCGTGACGGATGCAGTGGGCAACGTGGACCGCGCGAGGCTCTCGAGGAAAGGGGGAGAGCGTCGTACCGCCGTACGTCCGTTCATGTGCGGCGGTAGACATGCACGCGGTGGTCTTTGTAAATCATGACCCGAGCCGGTGTAATCTAATGAAGAAGGCGAACCAGGAAACTCGTCCTCTAAGGCTTCACGGAGCGCGGAGGGTGGAGTAGTCGGGGAAGACGCAGAAGAGGACTCGGAGCGTGGAGAGGACTCGCCGCGGAACCAGTGGACAATCGGTAGCTGTGATGTTGACTGAGCGAGGTCTAGAGACAGATGCTTTGTAGAATTTTGCTTGTATTGGTTGACATTATTTGAAGACTTGGAACGAAGAGAAATCTGTGAACGCGAGCCAGATGCGACAGATCGTTGAGCTTGTCCGCGCCACATCGAATTATTATTATCGTCTATACTTAAACGAGAATCACGGTCTACATCATCAAGGGCAGATCTGGGACCGTTTCCTGAGAGTAGACTTTGAAGACGTGAGGAGAGCGGTGTGCGTGGCCGCGAGTGGGATGGAGAGTCCATGCAAGACAAGAACCGTTACGCGTTCAGCACTTGCACGTTATTTTACTCAACGCGTCGATTTGCCTCCTACTACCGCGCTTCCGCCATGAATAATCCTACGCTGCCCTCTGTCCTCCCATCCAATCCTGCCATCCAAGATGGTGAGCCCATGCCTCAAATTCAATGATCCCGGATGTCTGACGCTCCCTCCATTCAGTGACTACAACGCCCGAACAGCTTGCTGCCGGCGTCGGTCGGGTCAGTAATCCATCTGAGTACGTGTTTTTCTCATGATCGCCACAGCAATGTTCTTAGCTCTAACTTATCCGCTCGGATTGATGACCGCGACGAGTAGAACACCGATATATATCTGCGCTTACTCTAGTATGTAACTTATTGTGGGGTTAGCGTCTGTCCAGTGCTTATTATTGGGAACGCAGAGTGCTTTAGGCTTTTTCCGTCCAGGGACAGACTAGAGACGCATCGCAAAAGTGCTCATTTTCCTGGGGGTGGCAGAAACGGAGCAGAAGAGCAGTCGGAGGTAGACAGTCGGACACAGATTATTACGTGGAACGATCATTAGTATAGACTATCAGACCAAATAAATTGATTGAATGACGGTCTCGAGGATAAATAATGGGATGCAAACAGCGGCTACTCGACATCATTTATTCTACCAATAGTACCATATTTGGAGATGCACAGTTCCCACGAATACAAATTCCGTCGAGATGGATTTGGAGGTAGTCGACTTCCTCGTGCTCGCACTGCGTTTCCTCTCTCGTACTCCCTCCCTATCATTCCTTTTCCGACGCCATTCCCCGCCTAATTCACCCACACAATTCCGTTCCTTCTACCCTCTAGGGCGAAGAGAATGTCTTTCTTCAGCAGGAAGAAGGCCACAAACCATGCGCCCTCAAACTCGACTCAGGTCACTGTAGGCGTGTCCGCCAGTCAGGCTCTCGCTCAGACCAAGGAGGCCGCCGAACGGCAAGCCCTCGCTCAGCAGCAGCAACAAGCCGCTCAGGCACAGCAGCAGGCACAGGCGCAAGCGCAGGCTCAGCAACAACAACTGGCAAGGGAAAGGGAATTGGCTGCGACGTCAGTCGTTTGCTTTTGCATCATCTGAGTAGCTTTAGTTGCTGATCCTTTCACACTTGCGTTTTTTTTCTTTAGGCAAGCACAGAAAGAGCGAACAGATGCAAATGGGTCGGCAGCACCGCCCAACAGCTTGTCGCCCGCCAACGGGCCCCAAAAGCAGCCAGCGTACCCATGGTCAACGCGACGCTTACAGTTCCCGCCTCCCGCCATCCTCCCTAAACCGGGCGTCGCACCGCCTACTACTCCTTCGCCCTCACCATTTCCTCGATACGGCCACTCATTACCTGCAGTGGCGACACAAGCGGGAGAGCTGTTACTTTTTGGCGGTCTTGTCAAGGATACTGTTCGCAATGATCTATATTCTTTCAACACTCGGGAGCTGTCTGCGACCCTCCTTCAAACGGCCGGGGAGGTGCCTTCACCACGTGTTGGTCATGCCAGCGCGCTCGTCAGCAGTGTCCTCATCGTCTGGGGTGGTGACACCAAATCCGACGGCCGACCATACGTCTCTGACACGCAAGATGATGGCTTATATTTGCTCAATCTTGGTGAGCTGACTTCGTAGTTACTCCTGATTGATTTGATTTTAAATTGCCTTTCCTGCACAGTCACTCGTGAATGGACCCGTGTTGCTATTACTGGACCTGCTCCAGCCGGCCGATACGGGCATGCCGTTGCGATGGTTGGTACTCGTTTCTACGTCTTTGGTGGCCAGGTGGATGGAGAATTCCTGAATGACCTATGGGCGTTCGATCTCAACACTTGTGAGCTTCTTTGGCTTTAATTTTGATGATGACTTTGCTCACATGGTTTCAGTGAGAACCAAAGCTGCCTGGGAGCTGATTAAGCCTTCAAGCAACGAAGGTCCCGCCAAGCGCACGGGTCACACCTGTATCACCTATGGAGACCGGATTATTATGTGTGTACCGATCATTTTTTCTTCCTAATTAAAATCTTGTTAAATAGACTTCAGGTTCGGCGGTACTGACTCGCAATATCATTATAATGATACATGGGCATTCGACACCAACACCCGTGAATGGTCAGAACTCAATTGCATTGGTTTCATCCCATCACCGCGGGAAGGCCACGCTGCTGCGCTTGTTAACGACGTGATCTACATCTTCGGTGGTAGAGGCGTCGATGGTAACGACCTCGGTGACCTTGCTGCATTCAAAATCTCCAGTGAGGGCTTCTCATGACCCATTTGGGTATGTTCCGGGTTTTAACTGATAGAAATATTCTTCCTTCTATTACGAAGATCAACGATGGTATATGTTTCAAAATATGGGTCCTGCGCCGAGCGTCCGCAGTGGGCACCGAATGGCGGCTGTCGGAACGCGCGTCTTCGTTCTTGGTGGCGAATCTTCATCAACTGGCCCCGCTGATGACCCGACAATCATACATGTTCTGGATACGAGTTAGTCATACGCTTAGTTGTAGTTCGATTTTAGTCTGACAGCCATGCAAACACATAGAACACATCAAGTACCCGGAGCCGAGTAAGCCGCCTCCACCTGATGCGCAGAACACGACTGCACCACGTCGGCCGTCGGTCACTTCCGGACAGTCCCCCCAACCTTCGCCGCCAACTCAGCACACCATGCCGAATGGCGCTGCCCAGCGAGCCATGTCTCCGACGGCACGACCGGCAGCAGATGCAGAAGATCTTCGCCGGGCTATTTCTCCCCCAGGTACACGTCCAAATGGAGGTCAAAAGTTAATGAACGGTATAGCTCTCGGAGCAGCTTATCCGAATGCTTCCAACTCTAAAGGCAAAGCACCTACGCGCTCGCGGCGGGACGGCGACGATCAGTACGCCGGCTCTGATGAGGGCGGGGACAGCGCGGCAGAGAATTCTGCGCGTGAGCGCGCCATGTCCCCCGACGCCAGCAGGTCCAAGAGCCCTTCTTCGCAAGAACCCGTAAGTATGTTAGCGCGCTCTATGTCACCACAGCAGATGCAGATGCAAGGTGAAGCCTATCTGCCTAATGCAAATGGCCAGCCGCAATCGCCTGCGAACATGGCTAGCATTGCAATGCAACGCAATGCGCAGCGCACGCGGACTCCGTCGCCTATTGTTGACCGCACAAGACCGCCTGACAGTTACTCGCAAACTGGACGATCGTCTCCGACTGTGGTTAATGGATATAGTCCTGGACACACGCGTCCTGGTTCAACGGGTAACGTTACAGCGGACCTGATTCGCGACTTGAAGGTTAAGGAAGCAGAAGTGGAGACATTGAAGAACCGCCAGGCTTGGATGAAGGCTGCACTTCGGAATGCCACCAATGCTGGATTTTCCCTTGCAGAAGGGGAAGTAGACCTGAATGACGAACCCGACAGACGAAGTCCCGCAAGTGACGAACCGGATGTCAAAGCTCTTGTAAATATGATCGTGAGACTGAAGCAGGAAACTTCCCGAGTCCAGGTACGACTTATTTCAGTATTGCTCAAGTATTTCTGATGAACTCACGTGACTGTGTATTCAGACTGAGCTGGCTTCACAAGTTCGCAATGCTTCAGAGCGCTTCCAAGAAATGGAGCGTACACAGAATGCTGCGGTCAAGGAGGCAACGTTTTATCGCGCCAAGCTCGCGGCACTCGAAAACAGCAATCCAGACGAGGCATCTCGAGTGGACCGACAGCGCATTACTGAACTTGAGCGTCAGGTTTCGGCACTTGCACGGGAACGCACGGAGCAGACGAAACAAGTCGCAGAGTTAAGTAGCATGGTGACTGTTCAGACTCACATTGCGGAACATGCAGAAGCTCGAGCTGCCGAGGCAGTTCGACGTTCGGATGCACTTCAGGAAATGCATGATCGTGCCATGCAGCAGCATGCAGAGTTGCAGGATCGTAATAATGAGTTGGAGGGTGCAATGCAAGAACATAGTAGTCGCCTGCTGGAGCATGTAGCGAAGGCTGCTACATTGGAAGCGGAACGTGTCTCTCTTGACTCACGAATGGAAGAGCTCACGGCATCGAAGGAGCAACATATTCGTGCACTTGAACAGGCACGCGCTGCGCTGACAGCATCTTCCTCGAGGACTGAAGAGCTTGAGGCTCAGTGGAGGCAATCTCGTGATAAAGTCATCCAACTCGAGATTGATCTGGCGGAAGTCAGGAATGATCTCGAGACACGGAATTCTGAGGTAGAATCACTGTCTCAACGCCTTATGGATGCAGAGAACTCGTGGGCCAAGTCCCGTGAAGAGGCCGATCAACTGCGAGCTCTGACGACTGGTGGTCTTGGTGAACTCCTTGATATGCATCGTGACCTCAAGTCCGATGAGGACCGTGTTACACGTGGGCACGAGGAGAAGATACACGCGATGGAGATGGAGGCCGTCTCACTACGCAACATGGTCAAAGAAGCTGGACAACGTGTCGAATCGTCGCAACAGGAACTTGTCCAAGTGCGGAACCATGCAAAAGATGCGGGGAAAGAGAGTCATTCATTACGGACCCAGCTAAATGGTATTCGCGTTCAGCTGCAGAGCGTTGTTGCTGAAACTGGCAGATTGCGTAATGAGCTGTCAGCTAAGGAGACTGAGTTGCAAGAAAAGACGCAATTGGCTGCGGATGCGGACTTGCGATTGGCGATGTTCAGGAACTACTTTGCCGAGCATGGCGAGGTTATCGATGAGGACGATCTGAAGGCGAAGATTGGAGAGGCCCCTGCTCGTGTAGTCGAGCTTGAAAATAAATTAGCAGCACGCATGCGTTTGCAGGATGGAATGGAAAGAGATCTGGATGTTGCAATTCGCCGAAGAGACGAGTTGGAAATGCAAGTGAAGAAGCTCGCAAATCAACTAGAGCATATGCGTGCTACTCAAAGCCCGGGTGCTAATAAGAGTGACGAACAATGGGAGACTCGTGCCTTGGAGGCAGAGCAGAAGCTCGTTGAAACGGAACAATCATTCAAGACGAAGTTACAACAGATGGAGGACGACTACCAGCTGGCTGTTAAGTACGTGAAGTAAGTGACGATCCATTGTTCAAGTATTAAACTCGACAAGCTGACATGATTTATGATCTGTTCAGGGGTACCGAGAAGATGATGCGTCGCATGAAAGATGAAGTGAACAAACAAAAGTCACTTAATGCTTCTTTGGTATCTGAACTTGAAGCTCGTGGCGGCTCCAGTTCGGAAGTGCTCGCGCGCGTCCGAGGCGTCAATGGGCGGAATACTCCGCTCTCCGACGACGGATACGATAGTCTCCGAGTTCAACTCGGTGATGCCCAACGACAAAACCAGCGCCTCACGTCCGAGAATAAGGACTTGCGAAGGCGGATGGAATCTTTGGAACAAGAGATTGAAAATCTACGGACTAATCTCGTCGCCTCGCAGAGAGAAGCAGACGAGCGACTTAGCCACGTCGAAGACCTTGAACAGGACATCGAGCGTCTCGAATCTGCTTTGGCCGTTGCCCGTGGTGGTCATGATGAGTCGGCTTTGGAACGACTGGCTCTCGAAAATGCTACGCTCAAGCGCGAAAACGAGCAACTTTCACAGAAGATTGACCTGCTTTTAGAAGATGACCAATCTGCATTTGGTGGTCGTGAACGACCGATATCAGAAATCTCAGAACGACGGGCGAGTAACTCAAGTGCAGAGAACGATCTGGCGTTCCAACATTTGTCGAATGAGCTTGACGACTGGCAGAGACAGCTTGCGAGTTCCATGAGTGCTCGACGTCCCTTGAGCGATCTGGAGGACCGTGTCGTTGGTGGCCACGAACGGACAAGATCACGCTCATAATGAAATTCCGTAATTATTTATGCCACCGGTACCTTTTTTATCGCTTTCTCTTCTCCTTTCTCTTCCTATTTTTTCTTACCGCGGCTGATACCCTCCTCATCCATTCTATGTCCATATTATATTTCGTTCCCTTATATATCTGATGCATCTTGTCCTGTCTTTCGCTTTTTCGTTTTTTCCTACCCTTTCTTCCTGACGGAACCTTATGCTTTTATGCCAATTTCGTTCAACCTCCCTCCGGCTTTACACTATCCTTAATTTGCTTTTCTTTTATCTTCTCCCCTTTTTTTCCGAGTTCGTTTCTTTCGTATTGCTACGTATGTTATTATATTCGATTCGGGATGCAGTGACAGAAAACCCCTCTCGGCTGTTTTTTGGCGCTTTTTTGTTACGAAGTAGTAGTTGCTTTGAATTCTTATTTTTGATTTCAGGCTCGTAAGAGCCCCAAGACGATCTTGTGGTGTGACGGAAATAAGTTGAGATAAGCGAGCAAGGGAATATTCGTGAAATAATCTCGTCCGATGAAATTCATCTTGTCTGATGGGATTGACAGATTGATTATACAAATAAACGTGCAAAGACAAGTGAGGTGCGATGTAAGTTAAGATTGGGCAGCTGTCCGTTGAGTCCACTCAATTGCCTTCTCCTTCACGATTCGTTGTCCTTCCTCATCGCCAATCCGCCGTTCAAGCTCGAGCCATTTCTTGAAGAACGACCTATAACAATTTTGTTGTTCAGCTGTGTTCTAAATAAAAAGGAACAAGAAAAGTACTAACTTCGCTTTGTGGCTGGTCATCTTGTGTGAGAATACGCGCTCGAATAGGTTTCTATTCCGCAGACTGTTAGTCATTTTTCTTCCTTTATGACGCTGGTTGAAGGGGCCAACGTACCGTACGCTCTGAATGTCCTTTTGTCCAGCTTCCATATCCACGTATATGGACCATAAGTCCCAACGCTTTGGGTGTGAATCTACGATGCCCTCGAAGATCGTCTTGCCCCTCTCGGGATCGCCAAGCTTGTACTCGAGTTGCGCGAACTTCGAGATCGTCTTCAAGTCTGAGTACACCACGTAGATGCCAGTCAGTTGATAGAAATAAGGGCTAAAGCTTAATAAAGGCACTGACGTTTTCTCTTTTCCAAGCTCTGTAAACTACGAGGCAATAGTTTACGGGACTCATCAGCTTGGCCACGTCGTAGATAATGCTCGCCGAAGAGCGTCCAGACTTTTGAACTCTGGCCGAATTTCTTGCATGTGCGTTTGTATTGCTCTTCCGCTTTCTAAAAAGTGTAGAGTAAAATCAATAATCCCATGTTGCCACAGATCATTGCACCCTTACCTCCGGTTTGCCTGACTGATCAAATATATTCGCAAGTCGTAAATGAATTGTTTTTGAATCGTTATGCCTTGCAGCATCTCTAAAGAGAGCTTCCAGACTTTCGTCCGTCCCATACGTGTTCTCCAAGTTCAGAAGGGCAATCCAGACATTCAGCTTCTCCTGTTCCTCTCGTATACTGATCGCCTGCAGCGCGCGTTTCCCAATTTCCCTTGCCTTGTCGATCTCGGCGAGCTGTAGTTGGAATGACATGTATTGGATCCAGAGGAAGGATGAATTCGGGGATGCGAGTAGATGGCGTTCAAAGTCTGCCACGGACTCTGGTGTTCGTGTTTGCATATCGGCTGTTAGGTCTTGCTCGATCGTCTTTTTCTTCTTCTTTTTACGCTTTTTGTCAGACGGTGCGTCTGAGTCTTCGTCTGATGATGACGAAGTAGCCTCTTCAGCGTCGGATTGTTGTTGTTCGTTTGTCCATTGGAAACCTTGAGGTGCAATGACTGGAGCGAGTAGAGGAGCGTTTTGCTTTGGAGAATCAGGAACGACAGTAGGAGGGGCAAAAGTAGAAGAGTCGACGATCATTTCGATATCATCTTCCTCATCCTCGCTAGCGTCTTCGATAACTTTGTTTTCCTCTGCATCCGATTCGCCGCTCACTTCGTCCTGCATCTGTATATCGCCATCTACTTCAGCATCAGGTTCCATATTTTCCGGCTGTGATTCTAAATCCTCTTTGGAAAAGTATGAAGGCTTGAGGCCTAAGGAGATGTGGCGCTTTTCGGTGTCGACTGACAGGACGATGGCCTTTACCGGATCACCTTCCCTGAAGTGACGTAGGGCTAATGTGACATCCGCGTCTTTATTGTCTGTAATCTAAATCGAAAGATTAGTATCATAGAATAAGAGAAAGCGTGCTTTACGTACCTCCGATTTGTGACATAGACCGGATAACTTGGCGCCGTCGATAGAAATGAAGATTCCGTAGTCTTCAACCTTCTTCACTTTGCCGTCGACTTTCTGGCCCTCGGTTAAATCACTCAGCAGTTTTTCCGGCTTTTCAGGTAAGGTCTTGGTAGAACGGAAGGTCATTTCGACTTGTTTCTTTTCACGGTTGATCCTGATAGACAGTTAACGTATGTGAAAGTTGACTATTCATGAATACCTACCCTAAAATTCGTCCGCTGACAAGCTGATTCTCCTTGAAACCACTTTTCCAGTCTTTGACATACTAACAAAATAATATCAGACAAGCGCATGACAACTATAGGGCCACTTGGCCGGTGGCACACATACCTCGTCGTAAAGTTCCTTGATCTGCACGCGAGCATCAATTCCACGCCCTATAGTCACGAAGACACCATGTTCGGCGACATTCTTCACAAATCCTCTGAGTCTTTGCCCAACCTTCAAGTCTTCAATGCCCGGGACTTCGAGATCAACGACCTTCTCTTTAGCATTCTGGTCTAACCTAGACGGCCTCGTCGACAATGTGAGACGTTTCGCTTTCTGGTCAATTACAATAATCGCTGCAGTTATCGTAGAGTCCATCGCGGGCATTGCGATTAGTCGCTCGAAGTCATCCGTAGTATCAAGAGGATGCAGAGTACCGGTAACTCTACCCGCAAATTTCACAACGGCACCTTGTTTACCTAGCTTCACAACCCGGCCGACAACGGTCGAACCCTCTGATAACGCGCTTAAGTCGATCGGTTCTTGCTTCGATGATGAAGCCTTCGGAGAGGGACGGTTTGCGACGATGACGATCCCCTTGTCAAGATTACGCGACACGACAACTAGATCCTCCATTTTCTCGCCACTCGTGATCGACGATCGTAGTTGCTCTACTGTTTTACGCCGACGGTTTGCAATATTATGCAGAGAAATCAAAGCGCGTGCCCGCGATGGCTCAAGGATTAAGACGACATTGTCGCCATGCACTTCTTGTACTGTTCCAGAGACGGTCTGCCCGACCTCTACGCTCTTGATGTTACCTATAGTAGATTCCCCTAATGCCTGTCGGATGCTTGCGACTATACGACCTGCTTCTCTGTCTACAGATACGATGCAGACCTTTAACGATTTTCCCACCGCATAAGATTCAGCAAGATTCGTAACAGGTGTCTCGCTATTAGATAGTCAGCTAAATGTTAAATGCCAAACGTGCTGCGTGTATGTGGACATACCTGACCTCCCGTGCTGGGACAACAGCACGAAGATGGTTGTAAAATTCCACCACGAGACTCTTCTCCAGGACTTTACATATCGTACCATGGATCACCATACCAGCTTCGGCATCTTCTATTTTTGATAATATGGGTAAATCCGATTCAACCAGTGTTTTCTTTGCCGTCAGCATGATCCTTTTGCGGTCAGGTTCAACCACGAGTACCTAGATGACAAAAGTTCTGTAAATGATGAAAATTAGACAAATAACAAGATTGACGTACCCTACACTTCAGAGTTCCACCGGGTTTGAAACGCTTTTGTGGATGCTTTAGCATTATATCTGCATAATGATTTGGCCAAATCATAGCGTCGACATTCCCATTAATCGATACGAAGAGACACGATTCGGTCAACTTTTTCACGGTTCCTTTCACAAGCTCGCCGACGGTAACGTCGTCTACCCGTAAGAACTTCTGCGAGAGCACTGAAGGCCTAAACGATAGTTGCAGGATGCCGTCTAATGCGTGAAATCCAACCACACGCGCTTGGCGCGATGTACCGATCTTCCATGGACCAGAATTAGATGATAGAGAGGGAACATGGTCATCAGAGACATGAGAAATCTGTTTGGTAGACTTCAGTTTCCATTGATATATCCCCAACGCGACAAACGTACATGAACAAATCCTTCCAGGTCTTCTTCCACACCGACAACTAAACCCCTCTCTGGCTCCACCCGTTTTACTTTCACTGATTTAAGCATGGTCCCAACTGGGAAGCTCTCTTGTACAGACTGGCCACTTTCTGCACTACGCTTCTTAGCGTCCAGTGTAAGCACATGTTCTTTCAAGCTCAGTGCAAATCGTGGTGGACTGGTTCCAGCAACATCATACAGAATGCGAGCTTTAAGCTTCTTCCCTACTTTGAACTCCGAAGCAGATGTGGAGGAGGGTAAATGATATAAATCGATAGTCCCTTCAAAGGAACCGAGTATTTGGACGGCTAGACCAGACGGAACTACAGACGTCACAAGGGCCTGTACGAGCGTCCCTGGAAGCACGGAAGAGACATTCGTCACTTCTTTTTGCTTCACGATGAAAGGGTCAATACTTCATTTGAGTGCTAGAAAAACACGACTTACAATGGCATTCTTAAAATCGGACTCCGAGTCAGTGAGAATACAAGTACGACCGTCGTCGCCCATTTTCTCAACGATAGTGTTCATGAGACTCCCAGTACGTCTCCGATCGCTGCTGCCATCTTTTTGGGCTTTGAATCGCAGGAAACCCGAAACATCCGGTAGTCCAATATTTAGAACGTAACCATGATCCTCTACACTCTTCACTGCCGCGCAAAGTGTCTTTGTAAAATCATCAATATAAAGCTCTTGCCAAAAATATGACCACTTACATGACCTTTCTTCAGGTCCGATTTATTAAGTCCAGAATTAACTTGTTCAGGTATAAGGCTCAGTTCCACCCTACGGCTGGCCTTCTCTACGCCGTCCTTGGAATGGCTGAAGATCTGTCCGTCCGTACTGCCAGGAGGTTTGACAGAAGAGACTACCGCGCGGACGTACTGACCGGTTTGGAATAGATCGGTCAGGTCCGGTGGGTCTTTAGCATGCCCTTCAGACTCTGAACCTTCCTCCGATACATCGTCTGCGTCAGCAGCCTCCAATGCACTTGTTAATTCCGAAGAAATATGCGTGATTGGAACATGTCCAAGTAGTTGATCAGGGAGCGAGACAATCAAGCTGAATGGGTAAACTGCAACGATTTGACCCAACAGTTTCATTCCAGGGACAATACGCTATGGCAACCTTAGCTTACGGAGAATTATGCCTTGAATTATTCACTTACTTTGTAGTTTAGATGCTCAACTCGAACACCCGATGATTTTGGTTTGTGCACTTCGGTAGATAATTTTTTAGCAGATCTCGATGCTGACTTTACTCGCTTGGCCTTCTTGGATGGCTTGTTTTGTGCAGCAGAATCCTGACCAAAGTACGGTGAGGAGAATTCCAACAGTTCACAATACAAGTAGACTCACCCCGAAGACGTCTTCATCGTTAAGTTCCTTTATAGCTTCAGCCCTTATTGCCTTGTACTCGACTGGCGTAAAACTGGTGCCCCCGCCTCTTGGAAAGTCTACCTCTTCTGGTCGAAGCACAGAGGGAGTCTGAGTCTTGACATCTTCAGTTGGGTCAGATGTTTTAATCCTCTTCCGCTGACGCTGAACCGAGGAGGACGAGTTAGGCTCTGAGCCTCTTTTCTTGCTGACCATCTCTGAAGAGCCAAAGAGATAGGCAAAAAATGTGATAGCAAAGGTGCCGACAGCAGTACGGCAGGGCTGAGCTATGGACTTACTAGTAGGCCTGGCGTCCAAATTTTTGGTTTCTATTCATAGCCGTGGGAAAGTAGCGGTCACACGTCTGGCCGACGCGTGCAGCATCTTCGACTCTTTCTCATCTCTCTTCTGTCTACGACGGTCGCATTACGCAGACATTATGGGTAAGTGTGTAAACATAACACATTATTTTATGCTAACTGATGATTCACTTAGATTTTCAGGTATTTGTTCTGATATTATACGTTTGCAGCACAAATGCTGACTGTTGATCAAAAAGAATCGAGTCGGGTCGAAGTTCGGTGGTGGTGGTGTAGCAGGCGCTTCGGAGGCCAATGTCGACAGGCGAGAGCGTCTCAGAAAATTGGCGATGGAGACCATTGATCTAGCAAAGGTGAGTGCGTCTTGTCCGCAATCGGCTTCCAGTACTTATTCCTTGTAGGATCCATACATTCTCCGCAACCATCTTGGTTCATACGAATGTCGTCTCTGTCTTACTCTTCACACAAATGAAGGCTCCTACCTTGCACACACGCAAGGTAAAAAGCATCAGACCAACCTGGCCCGACGTGCCGCACGCGACATGAAGGATGCGCAGCTAATGATTGCACCAACTCAAACGAATGTGCAACGCAAAGTGTTCCTGAAAATTGGAAGACCGGGTTATCGGGTCACAAAAGTACGCGATCCAGAAATGCGACAAGAAGGGATGATGGTCCAGGTTCACCTCCCACAAATCAAAGACGGTGTCATTCCACGACGTAGGTTCATGAGTGCTTGGGAGCAGAAACGGGAGCCTCCAAACCGGGCTTATCAATATCTCATTGTAAGGGCAGTTTATAAACTCTCTTCCTTTCTGTCACGACTAAATATCTTATCCTGATCCAGGTCGCGGCTGAGCCATATGAGACTATAGCGTTTCGCATTCCTGCTAGAGAGATCGAGGATGACGATGACGATGAGGGAGGTTGGAACTGGTCGCACTGGGACGCAGACACGAAGCAATACAGCTTCCAGTTTATGTTTAAATCGCATTTCTGATTTCGACCTTGTGTATCATTATTGTCATCATGTTGCTTGGTAGCTCGCTAATGAATGAGTAGGCTTGCGTGACACGCTATATACCAGTGTACATGAGAGCATACAACAAAAGAAATCAGGAAAGCAATTAATCGTATCCTTTACCACTCCTTTGTTTCGCTCTCTTGTTACCTTTGAAGTGCTTCTTGCTTCCTTTCCCAACGACCTCTGCTCCATTGGCCGCTAAGACAGAAGCAATTCTCGCTCTCCGACCTTCAACGGGTGTTCCGTCGTCATTCATCATGTTCTGGTGTGGATACACCGTCCCTCGAGAGTAGGCCTGTCCATGACGAGCGGTGCCCTGCACGAACGGCCGGGCAGAAAGTGCTGAACCAGGGGAGAAAAACGATTCGTCTATCGCACGCGCTTTATGACTCGTCACGGGCTGTCCTTCGCCACTTCCACCCGTGTCAATGAATGTATCCGCATCCTTCGTGACTCGGGTGATAGGTGCTCGTTTTCGTTTTGCTATCCGTCGTAAAGCATATTCCTGCGCTTGTCCATTAAACTCGTCCTCCGATACGCCAGGTGGAGGATGACAGTATAAAAGCTTCGCATTCACGTAGTCTTTCAGAATGTACCGAGCTGCACGAGCCTCATCGGGATTCCCCATTCCCGCTCTAGCGAAACCTCGTGCCACTTCAAACAATTTGTCAAGGTGGAGTCAAAAAGATTAATACGATTACTTACCAGCATATGTTGTAAGAAGGTCCTCAGCACTGACTTTGCCATCGCCGCCGTCTTCGTGGGTCCTTGTGCGAATTGTCAGTCCATAGGTAGCCTCAAGAATCGCCTTCGGTATCCGCTTCACAACAAGTGTGGTAGGTGCAGTATACTCGCGTAGCTGGTCAATGGGCAGTACACCATCGCAAACCAGATCCGCTGTAGTCGTTGCAAACTGAGGGAAGACAAGGCCTGGACAGTCACATAGGACGATGGAGGGGGAAAGATGTATTGTCTGGAAATGCTTCGTTTTGCCTGGCGTAGCAGACACACTGACTTTCTTCTCGCCCAGAAGAGAGTTGATAGTGCTGGATTTTCCAACGTTCGGATAACCGACGAGACCGACGACAAGTTTTGATGGTATATTCGCCTCTGCGTCAATGAAAGCTAACATCTATGTCAGGCTCTGAGTTCAAGAACCGAGAGTCATTGTCACGCACCTGATAAATCTGGTGCAGAGTCTACGAAAAGAGCTTCCAGCTCAAGCACACTGAGTACTCGGGTTCTGGGATCTTTGCTATCTTCGCTTTCTTCTTCTGCGTCGAAATAAAGATCATCGTCCGAGGATGATTCGTTATCAGAGCTGCTTTCATCAGTGTCCGAACCCGGTGATTCGGGTGGGTTTGAAGTCTCCTGTGGTTCTGATAGTTTTTCGCCGTGATCTTCAGCCGCTTGTTCGTCACCAATTGATCCCTCCACACGTTCATCCTTGGAATTCGGTTCGTGTGGAACAAGCCTCCGGGCCTCTTGCAAAGCCACTGCTTTAGCTGCCGAAAAGAAAGCGTACTGTATCCCCTCCCGATCGAAGTAATCTGCCCAATACCGCCTGAAGAAATTGAGTGAATGCAAAAGATATCTAACAAAATATCTGACCTCTGCTGAGCTGTAAGTAAATCAGCCTTGTTAATCAAGAGTAGCGAATTTCGCTTCCCATCGCCAGATCTATGTTCTCCCTCTGGAACTTCCACATCTTTAACGTATACTTCTAGGTCCTCGCACCGGAACCGGAGGGGATTGCGTGCGTCAACAATTTGAACGACCAAATGAGATCTCTCAAGAACTCTCCATAATTGCCTCCACACCTCTAGGTTGCGTTCGAATGGTGTTAAGAGCAGCCCCATATCATCTTGTAGCCTAACAAAATGCCAATCAAACATTAGACATGGATTAGACACAAGAAAGCACGGTACCAACTGAGCAAGACCCCTTCTCCACTCGAGGAACGCATCACGTTCCTGCCTCTCCAGCTGTGCATGTGTCATTTCCCGTGTCCACGGGGGTCTCCGAGGTACTCGGAGACGATTCTTGTGCTGTTTATGCTGTTCAAGAGCCTGCTTCTCTTCCTCGTCGGATAGAAGAAACGGATTATGTGCGGATGAAGCACCAGCATTCGGTGTTTGGACAATTGTAATGTTGCGACGTTCTATGCAGGAAGTTAGTAAATGATACTCGCAAGTAATTATGTGCATATAGTCTACCTGCAGTGAAGTCTGTAGCAGCTAACTGTGCTGTATTCAAAAATTCATCCAGGTCATTCTCTTGTGTCACCGACCGCAGCCGGCTTGACGAATCAACATCTGTAGTATACTTCAAATGATTTAAAAGGTGTCTTTGTACAGACGGCAGTGAACTGACAAGTTTGGTCTCCTGGGCGCGACGAGCATCCTTAGATTTCTGATTGATAATTGCTCGTCCAAGGCCAGTCGGATTCAAATTCTTCTTTTTCACTGGTGCCTATTCACATGTTAGATACGTGTAGCAGATACCTCCTACGATACCTACCATTCTTTGTAACTGGCGAAATATTATCTCGTGAATAGGGAAAGATCAGCGTAACAGTCGAGGTATACTACTGCTGCAATTTTATAAATAAATTTACTTCGTTTCGTGACAGCTACCAACTTTAGTCACAGTAACAACTTTCAGACAGACGACAGTTCACTCTTGCACATTTATTTTGGCTACCGCTAACTTTCAAGTTACTTGTCCTAGATCGGCAGGAATGAAAGTAATTGAGAATTGATGCGCTTTGGTCGAATAAGAGATCAAAAATTTTCTTGTTTGTTTGAAATACGTGATACACAGCACATCACCAAATTGAACACGAAAATGTATTGGAATTTACTGCTAAGACATATATTTTTTACATATTGTGGATCCTTATATTCGCTTATAAAGTCTACATGTAAATATATTGCCTTGTCAGACTCTGCACGTTTTGGTGATGCAGCAGTCGCGGAACCGAATTTAAAGAACCCCGAAGAAACCCAACAAAAATTACAATAAAGCCTTTGAGAACTTTGCAAATGGTCTCGCGAAGGAAGTAGAGTACGCAATCAAGGAAGATTTGGTCGGACTAGAAATTCGTTGAGAAAGACGCTCCGAAATATGTCAGAGAAACTTACTAGCTGCGGTCCACAGAGCCTGGTCAGTCCCGTTCTTGAATGGCGTCTCGGTCAATACGTATGTCGTGTCAAATGCTCCAGCGGCCCAGGTGGTGAACCCAACAAGCGAGTCGGAGTTGGACTTGACGAAAGCGAGCTGGTTGTTCAGTCTAAACGCCAGTAAGTTCAGAGTTAAAATTAGATTAGAGAGTCGATGGCTTACAAAGTCTCGCATGATGCAGTGTTTCCACCACCTGTTTCGGAAAGGATAGCTTGACGGTTACCGTTGGACTTGAGCCAGCTGACAAGCGTTTGAAGGACCTGTACGTTGTCGGTTGTGCAGTCTACGAGAAAAGTGTAAATGCAGTAACGTCTCTTCCTAATTACAAGTTCACCAACCTGGGTGAGTACCTGAATTGTCGCTGTCGAGGTACTTGTGAACTGCAAGGTAGATCTTAGTGCCATGCGATCGGAGCCGAGGACCGAACGCGTACTTACCATCGAAGAGCAGCTTAGAAGTGCCTCCTGCAGGATCGGTCACAGTAAGAAGGTCAGGACCTGCTTCAGTCGGGAGAGCCTGAGCAGACGAATAACTGGATCCAGGAATCAGAATCAATTGAGACGTCGCTCCAGCCGCACGGATCGCGTTAACAGCAGCTTGAACGGAGCCAGCCCAGGCCTTGAGGTCTGGAATGTCGTGCGGCTCGTTCATGACACCGAACTAAAGAAAATATGAGAGGTAGAAGATTGACCCGGCTTCAGTGAACTCACGATTACGCGAGATTCGCTCGCGTACTTCTCAGCAATCTGGGACCAAAGAGAAGCGAATTGGTCGTTTGTTGGTCCACCTTGAGCAATAATTTCACCATTCCACCGAGCATAGTTGTGCTACAGTAGATAATGATTAATGAGTAGCGAGAAGCTAAGGAATATAACTTACCACATCCAGAATTGCATGGACGTTGCTACCGGACGATAATGCGGCCTGAACCGTCGTATCGTAGCTGAATGTTGAATACAGGTAAGGTCAAAAAATTCTTGACAAAGCCATCAAATCTCACATTTGGAAGAAAGTTTCGTTGATGGAGCCTCCGACGGTAGGTGTCATCAGTTGCCAAGCGAAGGCTACAGTTAAGTTTGTCGTCAGCATCTCAGGACACTTTCCCCTGTCCAATACTCACGGATGCGGAAAATGTTAGCTCCTTGGCTCGCAAAGTGAGTGAATTGATCAACGGGTGGGGACACTCCAGTTCCGGAGAATGATCCGTTGGTTGCCTACGTGGATGATTTATGCTTGATATAATTGATATAGTTGATGCTACTTACAACACTAAAGTCATATCCAGCCGTGTTGACACCACCTGAGTAAGAAATTTAGTAATGTAAAGCTGAAGATTTCTTGGACGATCGTACCCATGAATGGAATGGAGGAGGCGGGCGAAGAAGGTGCAGGAGAGGACGACGACGTAGTAGCCGTTCCAGGCAAGCACTGGCTGTAGTCTACAAATTTTGGGCTCATTTCAGTCTCACTCTTTCAACTCACGTTTACGCTAACTTACAATCGTTCAGCTCTGTGCAAACGCTGCCAGAGACGCAGGTCGTAGCCCCGCCTATTCAAGAAAATAAGTCTCAGATATCTTTGGAATACGTGGTAAGGAAAGTACTTACTCCATCCAATCCCACCACCTTCCAAGGATTGTTGTCAGCTCGCCTTCATACAGTCTAAAAGTCAATGCTCTCACATTGTTGGTAGAGCTAGTTGTTTTCAAATGTTAATTGCTGACTCGGGTGGCACTTAATGTTGTAACTCACCCCAGACTGGGCGTAGACAAAGGGCAAAAGGGCAACAAGAGAAACAGCGACCGACTTCATTGTCAAGATCAGATGGTCCAGGAGACTGAGCGCATTTGCCTCAGTTTCAATTGCTCTTATACAAGGGTCTCCACGTCTCTATGCGCAATCTCGGAAAGAACTGTCGTTCTTTACTATAACCGACACTTCTTCATGACAAGCCGCTTACGTCCGACGTTTTACCCGACTGCCAACGGCATGTCGACCCAAAGTTAGCGCTATGTCAAGTCGATCTAGGCACCAGAGTAGCCACCCAACGAGCCTCTCAGGACTGGAAATAAGTCGTTTTAGCCAAGATACGACCGAACATATTCCACGACAGTTGTGTTACTGGCTGTGATTGTGGTGCAGAGCAATGATACGTATTAAGCTGAAAGCACAAATATGCGATCAGAAACGGAGAAGACCAGTCTATTAGTACATGCTAGTATAAGAAGCAGTATTTTTCTTATTCTCAACCCATTTTCATGCGTGAAAACCAACATGACTGTCGTTACGTTGCTGTCTTCCTGAACATCTTTTCCATAATTAAGAAAAGACTTTCCATGAGCTGGCGGTACGCTTACCTGAGAACCGCCGATGAGCGGTAAGACCGATCTTCGGAGAAATCTCACAATACTATTGCAAACAAAGACGTCCGGAGTATCGTGGGCTCCCTCTCATTTGTCCGTAATTTCTTCCGGTGCCAAGGACACGTAGTAGACTAGTAGCGATCTTCGAAGTACGCAAATATACAAAGGCCACGAGATTTAATGTATCCACAGAGCCCAGACAAGTTAACCAGATTCAGGTACAGAAATCAAGAGAGTGGATGCAGTAGACCTTTCTGTCAAGGACGTTATAAACGGTAGTGGTAGCATTTCCGGTACAATCTCTGGTTGAACTTCGATGGGTTGAATTAAGTATGCTCGTCACGTGTTTCAAACAAAGTACCAGACGCGTCGATCACTTTCTCCAGCCACTAGCACCAGCTTTTCATGCCATCCTCCAGCCTAATGTCGTCTACCAGTATAATATCTCTGTATAGATCTCTTCTGCGCGAAACAAATAGATTACCTTACGGCTACCTAAGGTAATTGTTTCTAACTGTCCGAATGACGCTCTTGTGACCAACGCTTCGGTAGGGCTTTCTTTCGGTTCAAGTATCGAGACGATGTCGATGCAGCTGCTCGCGCGATTGCACATAAGAGCCAGAGCTCATTTACCAAGCTCAAAAGATTGAGACGCGTATGTATCAATTGGTCCTCAATCGACTGCGTTTTTCTGAAATCTGTTTAGGAATACAGAAGACTTAGAGCGGCAAATGATGGTGACCCCGATTCATTCGTTCGTTTGCTCGAATATGCATACGGTCGAACCGGCAAACTCAGAAGGGAGCTTTTGGAAGTAAGTGCCACTCGCAAATTATGCATAATCAGTGTTTCTGAGACGCCGTTCTAGCCCTTCCTGCACGATGCAACGGCCGAACCGCCGCCGCCTATTATTCCCAATGTTGAAAGCTCGCGTCCTCCGATTTACACACGAGAAATGAAAGCACTCATGACCTCCAACCTGTCCCGGATAAATAAGAAAGGGCTCAAACCCCAACTCCTCAACGTACCACCTTCTCTTCCGCGTCGTTTAGATCCGAATTCCGAGGAGGCGCGTCTTCTGGGTCCATTGAGCAAACGTCGCGAAGTGAACGCGCGCTGGCGCTTTTTCACCGAAGAATCTAAAAGGGTAATGCCTCCACTTCAAGTGTCCGTCGTAGATTTAGACAGAGAATCCGGCACTGTCACCGCTGTGCCGCCTTCTGAAGCAACCGACAAAATGCAGCACCTCGGTCTTATTAGGGGTCAATTGCAAGGGACCGGCTTGCTAGAATCATTAGAGAGCATGGTGAATAGCCGCAAGGAACCAGCAGATGCCACTCAGAAGCAAAAGGATCTTGAGCAGTCTGATGTAGATGGTCAGGTGGTTGGCCAGTCCGCTCCTGTGCTTCCGACGAAGTTTCTTCGGAGGGCGCATCAACGATTACTTGGAAAAGTTCCGGTATTGACGTTTTGTCGCAAGACGTCCACTTCAAAAGGCAAAGTACTTGAAGGCGGATCCTATGACATAACCCTACCGAAACAGGCCAATTCGCCAAACTTGATTCGTTCGACCTCTACACTGCCTTTGGTTGACGAAGTGAATATCGCGTGGATACGCAAAGCCGAGGAGATGGACAAACAAAGATCAGTTAAGAAAGCCACTTAATAAATTACATAACGAGTAATGTACTCTAACGTTGGTAAAGAATGCTAATGAACAAAAAATCCAATATAAGCTGGTATTAGGTCGAGGCAGAACTGTCAGAAGTAGTCCAAGCAAAAGGAGATACCCGATGAACAGAGATGAAGTTAAGACGCGGGCTCCGTAGTGGAGTGCTCAAGATCAAGCCCATGCAGTTCAATAACATACATACTATAATTACGGTCCGAGCCTTGGTTGGTGCCATTTTGGCCGATGCTCTGGTCCACTCCACACTGCAAACTCAACATTGCTTGATACTCTTCAAATGTGAACTTCTTCTCCCTCTTGATGTTTTCCAACAGAGCCTGGCATATGAGAGTAAGTACTTCTACTCCATTAAGCGCACCAGACATCACAAACCTGAGGTCCCAAAGAATACAGCCCGAAGAACTCTCGTGCACGCTCAAAATCGGAAGTTGAAGACCAACTTGACAGCATCTTCAAACTCTGTCGAATGGCGATAATATTCCTTAGGATCTTTCTTATCCCATGGATGTTTGCGAAGCGTATGTAGCGAGCATTGGAGATCAGAAGCTCCTCCATAAGAGACTCAAGGCCCACAAAGGAGAATCTAGGGCGGGGGCTGTTTAGACACGGAGTAGTAGTATATACATAGCCACGTACAATCGCTCTTTCTCTGGCAAAGTAGACGAAAGGCAGTCGTCGGCTTGTCCAAGTTCACTATTGAGGTCAATGATATGAGGATCGGGCTCGCTGTCCTCTTGGTCGATGCGATAGTTGCCCTTGCAAGCCAGTTAGAGAAAGAGCTGTGGGGGCGGGGGGATGGTAATGACTTACATGACGCATCGCCGAAGTGAGGAAATAAATAGCTCGACATCGAATATCAATGCGGATGGTGAAGAGTATCGCCTGTGCAAGTTGCTCGTACGTCAAGATAAGCGCACCGAACCGACTATGTCCATCCCAATGTCAGAACAATCGCAACAAGATTATGAGATTATACGTACTCTCCCATCTCACGAGATAAAGGTAATCGTAAATCGCCAGTCTCAGGCTGCAGTGGTAAAGGAGGGAACACAGGAGACACAGCAGAACCAGGAGATCTGATATCCTCGTCTGAAGAAGATCTTAATCCACGTAGCTGCTCCACAAACCACGTCTATGAAAAGGGAGAATAAACGAGCTTCCATCAAAGGGAGAGTAATGCCACTGACAATGCTATGATACAGGCTACCAAGGAAAGAAATGTCATGCACGGAACCTAGCAGATCCTCCCGAGTGATTTCAGAGCTTTCCGGTATTCGCAGTTCAATCCGCATTTCTTGTTCGCATATCTCGGAAGTGCGACTTTCGTCAATCTCCTGTAAGACACAAGTTCGTAAACACAATAATATGCGTGGATTATGGCTATCTGACGTACTTCCTTCATTAGCTTACTGAGACAAGTGGTGAGATCCTCTCGTTGGGCCCAGCGAGCAGATACCAAGAGGCGAACATCAGTTAAATCTTGACTATTGCGTGACACAACGTCCTGGAATCGATCACTACATCGCTGATAAAATTGGATGATGACGCTAAGTATTAGCCGAGAATAACTTTCTCTGTGGAACGGTGTTGATCGGAGCATTGCGCAAAGTGAGTTAATCAACGCCATGAGTTGAGTACAAGCCTGACAAAGCGGATGAGATCTTCTAGAACACGTCCATAGCCCAAACGCACCTTCAGCAAGGGTTGAGAAGACAACTTCAATGAAGAAGGGTCAACTAAGAATGCATCGTGGCCAGTTACGATATGATGGAAAAGAAGAGACGACTTCTCTTCCAATTGCGGAAGATAGACATTAAGGACAAAATCGTCCAGGAGTTCTGTTGAGGCCCTTGTTGACTCTAATCCAGAAGGTAGAACTTCTGCAACTCGGTTCAAAAAGACTAGTGTAGGCTGAAAGAGTACGCTAACATGAAAAGCGTCAGGTCGAATGAGTAATCGATGGTGCTCCGCTCCTAGTAAGCGCTCATCCGTCCCGAGATTAGACAGCATCGTTTGCACTGCCGTCTCCAGAGCTCCTTGAACAAGTCCGGGAACGGTGTCCCGCAGAATGTGATTAAGCTCATCCTCGTGCGCACGAAGTGACCTGCCTGTCACCTTCGTATCTGTGTCCGAGAAACGATAAACTTGCTAGAAAGTTGTAAACAATGTGAGACATGAGGAAGTTATCGGAATATCCCAGTAGCAACATACTTTGCCTCGATCGCGGAAGAATTTCGATTCTCTCAATATTTCATTAATTGAAGAGATTGGATTACGACCTGCTGTCATCCCTTTCTCCTCGTCGCTCAGATAGTCATTTAAGAGAGTTCGGACCTGGAGGCGGCTGATCTATACAAAGCGATGAAATAAAAATAATTCACTTACTTCACTCTGTATCGGCAACCAAATTTCAGCTAATGGGAATAGATTACCCGGTTTCGCTCCAGAAGTATCCTTGAAATCACGGCGCTGGTAAAATCATGCAAAGCTCTTAGGACAGGGAATGACACTAGCGTTTAGGTCGCTCACCGAGCCGATACGATTTGACACTTCATAGACAACGCGTAGACCTTGGGTGACGGCATCGAGCTTCGAATACAGGGTCCAGAAAAGATCACGAAGAACTTCGTGGTCAACCTGCCTCTCCATTGACTCTAACGCCGCCAGGCGTAAGGAAGATGCAGTCACCGAAGACGACATATCGCCCATCCCAATTTCATTCGTAAATACGTAGACGCTGGACGGACGGCCCTGAATGCTGGATGCATAAAATGTTGCCCGTTGGCTCAGCTCAGCCCTTTCATGTATTTCGTCGACGGTTTGATCCACAAGCGAGTATATTTCTGTCGGAAGCCTCTGACTGACAATGTCCAAGGCACTACCTAGTTTTCCGAGAACAGCCAATGACTCCAAGAGCGTTTCCAGATAAGAAAAGGAATCTCTCTCGGGATTGTATACATTATCTCGATTTATGAGGCTCGAGAAGGAGGCAACAGAGAAAGAACGAGCTTGGATGGAGCTTGATTTTATCTCAACCTCGTTGGTTTCGAGAAGAGATTCGTTAGGCTTTGTTGCCAGGTCGTTAAGGAACTTTTTGAGACGTGGGGGGCAGGATGAACTTGACAGCGACGGACTTTCCTCCGACATTGAAGGGGCCTCCTTATCATATTCAACCTCTGGCACTTAACGACAGAAATATTAGTTGATAACTAGTGGTAGATGGAAGATACGATCACGTACAGGTCATACAGTTGGGAGTGTAACCAGCCCAGCGGTTTTCACACCAGAATGATTTTAAGAACAAATGACTATGCAATTCGTCAATTAGGATGTCTCGGAGAGACTGTGAAGAAACGGTCTAAGGTCTCGCAATATGAGAAGGTTGGAGGATGCTCACAGTCTCCTGGCTGATAAGATAGGATCGAAGATCAGACACCGCGCCAATTTCTAGCATTTCAGGTTTTCTGATTGTTTTTAAGCTCCGTACAAGCAGCCCTGCCGCCTGCAATAAACGCTTTTCTGACATCAAGGATTCCAAAGAGTCAGGTACTGATTTCAGATGTTCACTAGTAGACATTAGACCCTCAGTGTCCAGGAGCAGTAGTGTGAATATTACTCACATTTCATCCAACAGTCCCAACATCTCCTCGATCGTCTGACCACGAATCGAGAGTTGAATCAAGTCCGACCGCTTAGTCCCTAATGCATCTTTCGCTTCCTGCAATGCTGTACGCGCCTCGACGACTTGTGACTGAGTCGCATCCAGATGGTTGAGCACTTGCGAGTGATGCGGGAGTGCCGCCGCGAACGCCTGGTAGTGTTCTATGATTTTAAGTTGCTTGAGTATGTATAATAATCGTGTATTGTAGTCACTTACTATCGACTGAACCCTTCAAGGCCTTAGATAACATAACTTTCGTCTGTCTGAAAGAGTTAACATCTTTTCCAGAAGTTGAGCTATCCAGTAACTGTAACGCAAGGTCCACTGGATTGAACTGGATCGTCGTGAGACACTTTTGTAATCAACAAGACGAGCTCTATGCACATACATCTGGATCGGCAACAAAAGCCCAGTCATCCTCGATACGGTCCAACACAGCTATAACCCAATTATTAGGAGATAAACATTATCAATAGTAAAATTTACCTACAATCGATGTTGCCAACTGCCTTGGTCCTCCCGTTTACCCGCCGACCAGGGACCTTATCCCTAATTCGCTTCTGTCGTTGAGCTTCCTCTTCTAGTTCTCGTTCTCGTTCCTTTTCTCGTTCAACGGTCCCATTTGTCATAGCACGCTTCCGCTGCGCACCAGCTTGCTGGAATGCAGTGAGAGCTTTGAGTGCGACGGGGGACGTCTGTTGGTCCTCGTAGCTTCCATTTGAGAATGTCTCCTGAGACCTTGAGGGTCCCGCAGAGTTATAAGAAGAACTTGCACCATCGAAAGGTAAGTCTCGTGAAGAGATAGAACTAATAGAGTACTGTGAGGCATGCCTTGGGCGACGCTCTGATCGTGCTGGGCGAGCTGGAGATGCGAAACCAGAGGCCGAACCCGTCGACGAGCTCGGTGTCATTGGACGTGAGGGTGCACGGTTGCCGACCGCGAGAGGCATGGTGTTATCGAAGCGACCATCATAAGCGACCGGCGGTGGATTGTTTGCTCTTCTTGGAGTCGGGAAGGGCTGCTGCCTCGACATGAGGGTGAGAGCGCGACCTGTATGCGTGCGTGCTTCGGTGCTGGCACTGGGCACTTGGACTCGACGCGACTGTTGCTACTGTATAAAACGCAAATCAGTGCCTGCCACCACCACAAACACCTTACCACGATGCTACCGCCATTCCTCAAGCCAATATCAAAAGTAGAGCAAAACGAATCGTACCCTTTCGCTGCTGTATATACCCACTCCGAAAATCTTGGCAAGAGTGAATCTTATTCTCTATGGTGGCCATGGCGAGCGGCTAATACCCAACCCAGTGTTGTCTTGCTATTCGTACCTGGTAATTCGCTCTCCTTGCTCGTACCGTCTCGATAAATTCAAACAAAAGCTGTACTACTGCAGGCAACCCGGGTCTAGCTGATTTTTATATCCCATATCTCTCGCACATTTCTGAATCGGCTCCAGACTCTCTAGCAATTCTAGCTCATTCACTCATCGGTCATTCTCCACGAGTTGCCGCCACACCCTTGGCTTTCTCTCGGCTTGAAGCGCAAGTTGAAGGAATAATTGAGATTGTCGACAACATTGATCACACTTTTGGTTCTGCTACGAGTATTGTGCTTATTGGACATAGCGTTGGCGCATGGATAGTATTGCAAGTAGGTGTTTGCTAGTTGTCATTCATCTTACGTCGCGTTACTACATTTTAACCCATGTACCATACAGGCACTTAGAGAACGCTCACAAAGGATAACTAGCGCATTTCTTCTATTCCCAACCATTGCACATATTGCGCGGACGCCAAATGGGTCTCGCTTTTCGGTACGTAAGGAAGAACCTTGATAATGGCTGTCTAAAATCTCAAAACGCAGTGGTTATTTCATGGGCCTATCCCTCACATACTGGCATCCATGTCTCTGATATTCCGAGTAATTCCGAAAAGAACCATATCCCTTCTTTTCCGAGGCTGGCCAGATGATCAAGTCAAAGTGCTCTGGTCGTTTCTGAATTCACCGTCCTCGATCTTAGCTGCTCTGACAATGGCGCGAGAAGAAATGGCTACCATAAAGGATCTTGACAAGGTTCTGCTGCATGAAGTAAAGGACAGGCTTTACTTCTTCCTTGCAGAGGCGGATGACTGGGTTGGAATAAACAAGGATGCCATTTTGAGGGAGATGAGCGACGACCTTCACTCCGTTCGTGTTGTCCACGGCCAGCATGGTATACCACATGCATATTGTATCAGTTAGTTTCTTCGTTTAATCCGTGAAAGCAACACCTCTTAAGGCAAATCACCCTTAGATCATGGAAAAGAACTTGCCGACCAGACTTTGAAATGGCTTGAGGACGAGATTCTCCATACTTCAATATGCCTCGACACTGATGACCAAGAAACACAAGTTTAATCTAATCTAGTACAAACTATTATAGCTTCTGCATGCAACGTATGCGAATCGTGTAGAGTAATGATTAGAGAATAGCAAACTACAACAGCAATGGACAAAGGACGAAGCGATTGGGAATCTCCAAAGACATGAGGAATAAAAATAATGCTAAGCGCAGGGCGTAACGGGGCGAAGACAAACAGCGCAGATAATACGTTCCAAGGTACAGGTTAGCCGTGGAAAAGCTGATTAAGTTCTTCCATGCGTCGTTGCTGGACTTCTGCCTTGCTAAGATGGGTGCCAAGCGTCATATTCGCGAGTTCGGTTTTCTTCTTTTGTACTTCCAGTAGTCGCGCCTCAATCGTGTTCTCAATGATGAGTTTTACGGTTGTGACAGGTTTCCTCTGTCCGAGTCGATGCTAGGCCTAAATTAGCAAGAGCGAAAAAAGTAGTGCGTGGTAACTTACAATACGATCAACTGCCTGGTTTTCTACCGCAGGATTCCTGACAGACATTTCGTTAGGAACGTTATCAAGTAGGTCGGTTGATATTATACGTACCAGTATGGATCCATTAAATATACGCGCTGAGCGGCGGTTAGGTTCAGACCGACACCACCAGCCTTTAGACTGACAAGCAAAACTTCACAACCGGGGTCATTTTTCAAGATATCCATAGCTCGGGTACGTTCGTCCCGTCTCATGGTACCATCGAGGCGCTCGTAACGAATTCCAGCTGCTTCCAGAGCATCTTCAACTCTAAAACATCAAGTTAGAGCACGGAAAGCTGCTAGAGACATCTTGACCTAACTTGTCTAGCATTGACGTCCACTGGGAACTGAGATTAAGTTAGTATAGCTTTCCTTATGAATCTGTGGAAGAACTCACAATACGACTGTCTTGACGATGTTGTCGTCGATATCATTGCCTTTCTCGTCTACCATCTGGATCTCGATTGAAGAAGGATCGTAATTGGGCGAGTACGGATTCATACGTGAGAAGGTGATCAAGTCCCCGAGTAAAGCCTTCACTTTTGTTGATGGATGGAACTTCTCAAGATCCACACCTTTCTGACGTTTCTCCTTTTTCGTTGGTTTCTTCTTTGCTGACAAATCACCTATCGAGCAGTCAGGACTGACCTCCACAGCGTCTGTTGGCCTTAAAGCTGTCTGGCATGCCGAACATGATCGGGGAGAATCATCTGGAATATTTGGCCAGCCTGGAAAGATACTGTTCTGGAAGCAGGCAATGCAGAATAGATGCTGACAACGGGAGAGTATTGGACGATATATGACCGGGCTACTTTGTCGTGTTGGTACGCGGGATGATGCTTTCGATTTTCGTCCTCGTTTACTTCCTGAGGCAGACTCATCTTCCAAGCCGACCTGCGCAATGTCTGCAGGCGTTCCCAACTCGCAACCGCATTCTACACATTGAGCAGTACCGGCATCGCGGATAATACTGAAAACAGCGCTTGCTCGCGCTATGTCAATACCATCTCTTGCGATGGCTGTGACTAAATCTTCAAAATTATGGACAGACTCCTGTAGGTCCTTACCCTCGACCAGCTCGTAGTGGTCGCATATTTGACGAAGACGCAGAATCTTTTGAAGAATTCCGACGTAATTCTTCATTACCTCATTTTTGTGAGAAAGTTCCTTGAATTCATCCCTTGACTCCTTAAAGAATTCATCGTAAATTCGTTGCTCCTGCTCGTCGAACTTGAGAAGACGAAGTTCGTCGCGACGAGGTGGAAGAGACAGGATTGACGTTCCATCTTCAGCCTTCGTCTCCTTGGTCCTTCGAAGAGTAATAGATTTCATCACAATTTGTAGGCGTGCAACTCCAACCGGCTGTCCAAATTTGACAGGGACGCCGATGAACTCCTGCCAAACATTCTTGTCGTCAAAAGGGTTAAGACGCAAAAATTTGATTAGTGCGAAAACGTCATCGAGCTTGTTCTGCACAGGTGTTCCAGTGAGGCATAGCCTGCGATCGGCTTCCAAATCGCATGACGCACGACTCGCGACGGTCGATGTTTCCTTGATCGAGCTGCACACCAAATCAGGTGGGTAAATATAGAGCAACTAGCGAACACTTACTGTGCTTCATCAAGAACGACTCTAAACCAGTAGATACTCTGAAGAGCACTTGTCGCCTCAACGACACCAGAAAACAACGCTTGTTGTTTCTTCCTCTTCAAGCTCTTCTTTTCTTTGGCTTTTGGAATCTGTATGACTTGATTCCCACTTTCGTCAAACTCGGCTCCAGAGACGTCATTGGCACCTTCTCCGCTTACTTCGTCGTCCTCATCGTCTTGAACAGAAATACTTTTTGTTTGTTTTGAGAACTCTGAAGCGAGTGTCGCATACGTCGTGATAACCGCATCGAAATCCGCAAGAAAATTAGGATCAGGACGTCGAGCATTCCCATGATATATATACACCCTTAAAGGTGTACCTCGAGTTGGTTTATCCACAGAACCTGGCATATGACCGTTGGCCACTTGCGTTTCCTCGCCATTGCGGACATTTCCTTTCCCCTCTATCCGGCCGTCAGTATCACAGCAAGACTGGGAATTGAGTGTCATGTCTGACGTCGTTTGGACCAAGCAAGTAGTCGAGTTGCAACCCGTTCCTGCACCGCCCACAATTTGTACTTCGCCGGCCCAATGCTCCCGAAACTGATCCTCCCAGTTGACAACAGTGGATAAAGGGCAAACAACTAGCGTTGCCCTACTTCGAACCTTTATTCTCCGCGCTCTGGAGTACAGGGTCTCGAATTTGTCTTGTTCCCTCTGAACTTGCGCCTTCTTCTTCGCAGAAAGTGAGCTTGGTTGTACAGATACATCAGGCATTCCCCAGACGCTCCCTGCGAAATGCGACACAGAAACTGCGGAATCTGAGTTCCTCTGCTCAAGCGGAGGTCTAGGAAGTTGCGGCAATGGTTGCTGTGCAAACGTGCGAGCGGCGGGTAGGGTGAGTGCGATAAGAGATACGCAGGTAATTGTCTTTCCTAATCCCATCTAGAATTGGCTCAGCATCAATGAAACAGACTTACTATAATCAACCTACGTCGTCAGCTAGCAGAGCGCCCTTGCAGTCAGTAGGCTCCGTAAACACCTCCTTCCGAGTCACCAAATTGACCCAAGATTTGGAGGAGAAATGATTGTTTGTACGGGATTGCCACAGCGACGACGATCTTCCACCCGGTCCGGATATTTCTCGTTCGCGTTCAAGGAGAAACGTCAATGCTTTCTTCTGATGGGGATACAGTTTAGTAGCAATATCCGAGCCTTTCAATAGTCAATATCTGCACAATTCATTACGGCGTACGTAACGCACCAGGTTCGGTTTCTTCCAACTCGTCTTCACTCCTCATGTTTTTAAACACTTCGTCCACCTGACTCCTTTGCACTTCTACGCTCTTACCTGAAACAGCCGGACTACTCCATCCGCCTCCCCCTAACCCTGCTTGCCCTATCCTTGATGATCCGATGTTGAAGGTACGCGCGTGACCCCCAGGAGGAGGATTATGCGGATTCAAATAATGCAGTGCTTCTAGACGAGTCTGGTCCCAAACGTCGGTAGGATGGTCAAGAAGGAGGCCCGATTGCTGCAGATAGCGCGCAACGATAGGGATGTTGCCATTCGGGGTATGGATTAGCATCTGTAATGGTAAAATAGGAAGCTGAAACAGTATCCTATGAGTCCGTGTAACACAAAAAGTAAACCCTAGCAGCTTACATTTGGAACACCCCTTCTGACTTTCGCATCTATTCTAATTAATCCCTTTCCCAACATAGGCCCCAGCGCTGTGGCTACCTTCTGTTCGACGACACCGAAATTTTCGCCAGGCAGGACCTCACCAGTAGGAATCCTAGTAGGTGGTGTCTTGATATGGATGGTCTCTTCGCCATTAGGACTACGCTGCTTAGCCATTGGATCATGCTGAAGGCGCACTGATGCCCAATCAGCGCATGGTATGCCCTCCGAGTAGGGGATCTGATGTTGCAAATAAGAGATAGGATAAAGAACAAGCGCCGTAACAGTCAGCTGTCCTATACAGACAGGAGTCTTCGGCGGCAGATTAAGCATGCCATGAGCATGAACTGGTCCATGTGAGTCCTGGGGGATATGTGGCGCGGAAGGATTTGAGGGAGGCGGAGAAGGAGAGGAGGTAAGATCAATGACTTGATTGGAAGATTGTTGACGTTGCATCTGCTGGTGTTGAAGTGATTGCGCACCATTACTGAGGTTTAACCCGGACAAAGACGGGGTCCGTACATTGCTTGTTTGTATATTCCGGTTCGGGAAGAATGCTGACGAGTCTGAGGGACCAGAAAAGTGTGGTCTATATGCGCCCTGAGGTTGAACGATGTGCGACAAGTAGTCGGGGCGGGTGGACTGCACGTGGAGAGCGGCTGGATACCGCGAAAGCACAGGCTTTGAAGACACCGAAGGCGAAGGCGATCTAATAGAAGGAGAAGACGCAGTGGAAGACGGATTGCTGTCTAAATCAAAGTCCATGCGTTGCCGTTTCGTGTGCCTCGGCCGTGCTTGAGGATCATCATCCAGCGTGAGGTCAATCGGATTGGAACGCGAGTAAGGTGCAAAGAAAGAAGAAGAAGATGCAGATGGATGCGTCTCAGAGTGGGTCGCCATTGTGTAGGCGGTGAGACGGAAGATGGAAGGAAGGAAAGCAAGCAAGATATGAGCAAGATGAGCGTCTCTCGAGCTTTTAGTCACATGATTTTTACTTAGTCACGATTCTGGGACTTCCACAAGTTCCACTCACACCAGAAGTCTCGCACACCAGAAGTCCCGTCGAACTTCGGTTGCTGCGCACGCATTCCTATATCGCACACATATGTTTTTGAACTTTGCATTGTCCGAGTTTTCGTCGGTCGCCTCGCATAATCTCTGATCCGTGTGTTCTCGAATCTTTCTTTTCTCAGTTTGTTTCCTTCTCGCGTCATCTCTGACAAAGTGCTCGTCATGTGCCTTCAGGACTTCTAAAAATGAATAAAAAGCGCGTATAATATTCCTTGGGGCAACCGAACACGAGCGGTCCCTTTGTCAGGCCCTGGCTTCTCTTCAATCCTAATACACTCATCCTCGGTCCGCCATACTTCCTGCGTTGCCAAGCGCCGCTTCTTCACAGCTCCAGCAACGGACACGTGAACGTTCGCGGTATGACAGCGCATTTGATATGTATAGACCCCGAGAACGAGAAGTTCAACTCGCCGGAAACAAGTCTCTAGATAGAAACCTATTAAAGCTAAACTTGGCGAAGCCATACTGCTGGCCTTGTCGATGAACATCTGCTTGGTACTGCTTCGCCCTTCGGGACTCTGATTGGTGGAGTACAGGAAAACGAGGGTGCAAAGTATAAGGGATTGCAGCGCTTCCACTCATTGCAGGGGGGTGGCTGTCACAGGAACCCTCTAGATCTTTTGCACTCCTTATGCATGCAAACAATTCTAGACATTGGAAAATCTTTGTTTAGAGTCGAGTTAGACGCTTTGAACTCTTCACATGGCCTGTGACTGGGTTTAATTTATACACAATGACTCGATTCCATCTTATGGAACCTCCGTGACAATTATGCTCTGTGAAGGATTAGCCACAGCGTGTACAACAAACAGTAATTCGCAAGCTCTATCGGTGCAGTCTTTTAGATTGAGAGAAATCGCGTGGATTGTGCTGAAATTTTGAAAATGAATAATAAAGAACTTTTTCCGTTCAGCTAGGTAGTCCGTACATGTCCCAGCCCATGGCATAGTAAGCCTGTTGCGCTGCAGCTTCTTTGGCAATTTGTTTGCTTGAGCCCCGACCTTCACCCTTTTGCACTCCGTTCACTTCAATAAAACACACATTGGCTTCGTCAGCTTATACTGGTGGGACAATAACAATCCAACCCACCGAGACATGTGATTATCCAGAGTGGAGCATGAGGAGAAGCATGGTTGGAAGCCTGATACTGGACCGTAAGATGATTCTGTGAACATCGCTGATTAAACAGCGGTAGGAATTTTGCAACCGATCTACTAGGAGTTGCCTGTGACTCTATTATTGGGTGCGCAGCCGCTGCGGTGTCAGGAATACTAGCTTGTACTGCGCTGGATTGTACTGGAATTGAGGTAGAAACACTGGTTGTCGATGGTGGAGGAGTAGGTGGCATGGGCGGAGGCGCCGCTACAGGCGATGCTGCCTCTGTTCGCTGCCTCTTATTCGCTCGTCGTTGTTCAATTTCCTGGTACATCTCTCGGGATACGTCATCCTCGGAGAGTATTTTGACCTCAGGATCAATCAGCTTTGCGATCCAGTCCATTGCTATCTGTGGGCCAGACTGCACGACTACTGCTCCAACGTAAGCCCGGAAAAGGCTTCTGGTTTCCTAGGATTCAATACCAGTTAGAACCGCATTTCAAGTGTATTATGGTGCCAGACGCCGAATACCAACCTCAGGACTGCTGACATCAAGAGTATCAGAATGAGTGTAGCGCAGTCTCTGACGTAAATTATAATGAGACACCCAAGTCTCATAATTCCCCAAGGACAGTATTCCATCCCTCAGAGACTATTATACAACAAACGAATAGAGACTTAAGCATCTTCTCCTGAAACACTGAAGACAGCACGACGCACAGGTATGTCTGAAGCGCGCACAATCGGCTTCTTTGCATATAGAAATCGTGTAGCTACGAACTCTAGCATTGTGCCACCTAATTCGATGAGTCTCCCATTGTCTGTGGAGTTCTCTGGATGGTAGTCCAAGTTGAGCGACTCATGTGAGAACGCCTCCAGTATCAAATCACCCGTTATTTGCGGCAAGGCAGGGAAACCTGTCGTCGTTGGCATCTTTTACCACCAAACCCCTGAAAGACGAAGTGACCACAAGATGGCGTTTGAACTTGAAGTAACCTGAGAAGCTCACAGAATTTATATGCGCCCATCACGTTCAAGTGCACGTGAGGGCGTATAGTAAGGCGTCGGGCTTGAGAAATGCACTTCTCGCACATCAAAGAATCCGTATCTTATGAATGCACATACGCAGTCTTTCACCAACCTTACGAAAGCACCTTGATGACAGAATAATACCGAGGAAATAAAAGAAACAAAGGAAACAAAGAAAGGAGAAGCGGATACATAAACGAACCAGGCAGATGGCCGTTGTCTCTCAACGAACTGAGCAGAAAATCTTTATTGAAGCGATGTAGGATACTGCGACGAGAGAGGTGCTACTGGAATCTCAACGAACTTCAGGGCTTGGGCATCACTTGATTCGGTGCTACCCTTAGGACGAGCTCTCTCAGCTTCTTCTTTTCGAACTCCAGTTTCTCCTGTGCCCGCCTCCTCCTTCTCTCCAACCTTGCTTTCAAACCCCTCGCGATCCATCTTCTCTTCAGCTCCGCCTTTCTATCCAACCTTATCCGTTCACGCCACTTGAACGTCGCTTCTGCAATGGCTTCTCGTTTACTACGACCCTCAATTGTCTTCTTCAGCTCATCGGCCATGTATTCCTTTAGAAGCAACTGTTGACGAGCCTTCGCGGCAAGGTAACGTTCACGCTTCTTGGCACGAGAGTGCGGGTTCGACAGTTCTCTCGCGATGAACAACTCCATAGGAAAGTTTTGATTGTACGGAATCTCCTTTCGTAACATGCGATCATAATCATAGCCTTTCTCAGTGCGCAAGGCTGGAGTCGCTGACGATAAATGACGCGAGAGTTTTGAAGGGACATAGGTCACCTCGGCTATAACATCTTGTGGTGTATCATACTTCGTCGCTATAGCAAAATTGATTTCAGCTGTAAAGTATCAAAACAGACTCCACACATACGTTTTGGGACTGTCGGTTTATCTGGTTCCGGCCACGGTATCAACAAACGCTCTTGCTTTCCTGGTCTCCAGTCAGGCAAACGCGGCGTCGTCGCAGTTGCATAACGCTCCCAAACCCATCGTCCCTTCACCCATTTCGGTTCCGAGGTTCCCATTCTCAAAGCAAACACACTGATACGCCGAGCGCGTACAGAAATTCAGAATATGATAAGAGCAGGAGCGCAATCGACATACGGTAGATTGCGCGGTTCAGAAGACCCGGGCAACGGAGGGAAATCATGGTTCCCCAAATACAGTTGAAGACCCGAGTAGTGTACATTCTTGTGAGGATTTCGAACTTGGAACAAGCTCCGTATATCACTTTCGTCTCGATCATTCCTCTATTTTTTAATCGTCGATGTTTTATAAACGCGTCGTGGAAAATACACATAAGACCTCACCTTAATGTCTCCTTCGATGTAAACCCTATTTGCAAATTTATTGATTCCCTTCACCTCCCGAATCTTTGCACTTTTTTCTGCCATGACGCGTACCTGGTCTCCGGGTACTATGTTCCACCATTTTATTCGGTCTTTGGGCAGGACAGGCTCTGGAATCCTCTCTACTCTAGAGGGAGATACGATATGGCGCGGTTTTGCGACAGGCAACAAATGACGAAAGTTTATGGTGCTCTTTGAGGTGATAAAGATTTTGCGCGCCTCTGCGCGAGGCACGAACTGCCTGGCGCTCGACATACCTACACCGTTGTGACACGGTCTTGGAAAAAGTCAGACTCGTTTCGCGAGAATCGCGACGCAATAGTCTATAGATACATTCAAAATCACGTGGACACGCATTTCTCACACTGACTGTTAGAATTACGAAACGCATTCAAGAATCAAAATTATAGAGGATAGCTACGTTACTCAGCACTTCTAAAATTATATGGTAATCGAGAAATAATCTAAAATGCAAGTATGCAGATACGGTAATGACGATGCCAGATGCTGATTAGCCAGGATGTGTCAACCGCTGAAGAAGTCGAATGGAATAAAAACTATACGCAAATGTGTAGAAAGGGCTTGTGATTCATGTAAAGACTTTATTATGGTCGGATAGAATGAACACTTGTGAACTAGCGGGAAGTTGATGGATTCGACACGGGCTGCATCGCAACGTGTTGGCTAGCTGAAGCAATCGCTTCCTTTTGCTTGCGCAAAATGCTACGTAACGCTGTCAGAGTAGCTGGATTGCCGTGCCCGTTCGTCAGGCGAGAAATAGCATTCAGTATACTGTAAGTCTTATGAGCATGTTTCGTTGTTATCAATCACGGAACAGACCTTTCTGGACCCTTCGCAACAACTGGACAATGCACGGGAAGGTGGTATGGTGCCTTGTTGCATATCTCGCAGATTCGTAACTTCGGTTTCTTCTTGGTCGGATTGTCCTGGGCAGGTGGTGTACTTCGCTTGAGAGACAAAACAGGGTCTGCCGAAGTTGTGCTCGGGATGTCACGGCGCCGTTCCTCGCTACTTCCGACCATCGCCTCCCGCAATCCGACTGGTTGTCTCGTATCCACTTGGTAATGGTTCAAAGGTCGGTCTGGCCAGCCATAATGCGATTGGACTGGCAATGAGGGAGGCATTGGAGGCATTGGAGGCATTGGAGGCATTGGAGGCATTGGAGGCATTGGAACCATTGGAGGTACTGGAGGCGGTATAATAGGCAAAGAAGGAATTGGTTCTATAGGGTCCCTGCTACGGGGAAGGCTAGCTGAGTGGCTTGCGTTCTTCACCGGCTTGGTTGGTTCCCCAACGATGAGATATGCATTGCCCTTTTTAGATAACTCTTCGTCAATTGCACGCACTGCCTTAACCTGATTGTTTTCCGTTAGATTCATTATGTTGCATATGGGCTCTGGACTTACTCGATCTTTATAAGGCTCCTCGTCAGAGTAAATCAATTGCCTTCGATAGTTGAGAAGATTAATTGGGTTTCCAACCATATAGCATCCTCCAGGGCCGTGTATCGTCTTGCATAGCCCGCAACACGCAAGGTCGGTATGACGTGCTGGTTCTGGTTGTTCGTAGCCGCTGGGCAGGTTTGCTGGTAAAGGTGGCTGATGGGCTTCAGGCTGTCCGCCGTTTGCATTTGCGTTTGTTTTGGCATCGAGCTCTATTGAACTGTTTTCCGTGGGTGATTCGCTTTGGCCTCGGCTATGAGGTAGATTGTAGTCATCATCATCAGCGGATTTATGACGCTTTCTCTTCTTCGGCGATTCAGCTCCCAAGTCTTCAAAATACTTTGTCTGGGCGAAAACATCATCAATGAAGAGGACAGATCCTTTAAACTTGATTCGCTAAACCTACCTTGACCATTGTAGCTTTTCGTCTGACTCCCCTTCCCGAGGCTTCTTGAGCCTCAACCCGACTTTGCTCGCCGGCTATCTTTTGAAGGGTCTGGGCCCAAGAATCACCGTTGTCTTCCTCAGCCTCAGCTGGTACTTCTTCGAGGCCATCTTTATGTGCAGACCAGATCTTTGCAAAGGAGAATGCGTTGTTTGACGTCTCCTCTGCTTCACCATGCGCCTCTTCTTCAGACTCAATTTTCTCGATAAGAGCATCGAGGTCATTGTCAGAGTCTGTAGTTTCTTCTCAGTAGCCGTTAATGCAGGCAGTTTAGAATATATACTGACAAGTAATATCCCGATAGCTTTCAGAGCCATCCTCCTCAAAGAGAGCCTGTGCACCGAAAGTCAGGATTGACTGAACCTCATTAGAGTCCTCTTCATCATCCATTTTCTGCACGATGAGATGATCCAGGACAAGCTTCTTCTTCCCCAGTTGTATAATTTTCTCTGATTCCGCGGTCAGCGACCATCACGCATCATAATCAATACGCTTACCTTCCGCAGAGTTTTTTGTCATAAACTTGAATACCAAGCAGGTCTTCTTTTGTCCATAACGGTGTGCCCTGGCTATGGCCTAATGAAAGAATTAAATTAAGGAGGCGAATACAGTTGAGAGTTCAACATACTTGCAAGTCCTGCGGAGAATCTCAGCATGGCGGAATTTAGGAATAGAAGGGCACCTACCTGATGCGGATTGAAATCTGGATCAAAGATGATGACAGTGTCTGCACTCCATAGGTTGATTCCGACGCCTCCTGCACGGGTCGTCAGAATATAGATAAAAATATCAGAATCCTCTTTATTAAATTCATCCATATCCTTCTGTCGCTGTGCTTGCTTAGTGTCCCCGTCCTTAGAGAACGTCGTTATATTGAATCACCGAAGGAGAAGTAGCAAATACTCACCAGTCGCTTGAATTTGTACTGTTCGCCTTCTAGGAAGTCCTCACTTTTGTATTTGTTACAATGACGATACAACTTCTGATGCTAAACATGTACTTACATTATATCCAATGCAATTTTGAACTATGAGATTCGTTAACCTTTGCTAGGACAACTGATGTAACGGAATCTCACCTGGCTGAATAATAACACGCGGTGCCCTCGAGCCTTGAGTTTAGGAAGCAGCGTTTTCAGTAACCGTAATTTTCCACTACCATCTATGAGCTTAGAGTGAATCTTCTCTGGTGGAAGATCTCTCTGTTCAATGCCATCTGCAACGAGATAAGGATGCTGAAGGCACCTTTCTTAAAGATAAGGTCATTGCTACAATCAAGGAAAAGTAATACTAACTTTCGAAGCTGCATAAGCATATTCCGTAAATTGGAGGTCTTGGCCGCTGATTTGTTTAGTCTAGTGGAGGAAGCTCCTCTTAGACTACGCAGAATATCCAAATTTTTGCCTGTATTTATTATAGTTAGACAGAAGATCACATATGTGAAATGGCTTACTGAGAACGGATTTGTAGACTTCCTTCTGGAGTTGCGACATCGATACAGGTACAATGATTTCGTTCTGTTGAAAGCAATCAGAATTCTCTTCAAGAGCGGATACAATCTACGCACCTTGGCCGGCAAATCAAGTACTTCCGCCTTGACACGACGTAAGAAGTAGGGCCGCAATCGTTCGTGAAGGTCCTTCACTCGTTCTTCATCAAGCTCTTCATATTCTCTTGTCAGTGCCTCAAGGTCGGTCCATTCTTCTGGGTCCAGGAAATTCATAAGGTTGAATAATTCCCGGATATTATTATTAAGAGGAGTCTTAAATGGACTTTAAGCCTGCTTCTGTTGCAAGAATGACAGTAGCAACTCACCCCAGTCATAATGATTCGGTGGGCAGTTTTTAACTCCTTTAGTTTTCTGAAGATCAAGGACGCATCACTTTTGACTGAAAGACAGTTGAGTTCTAGCGAACGTGCCCAGAGATTTGAACATACGTCTCTGTCCCTCATCCACAATAAGCACTTCCCATCGTGGATTGTTCTTGAACACAGCAGTGAAATCCTTAGGGTTGGTCACCGCTTCATAGGTCGCAATCAGGACATGGTACTTCGCACCAGTAGTACCAGGAGCAACTACGGGGTGTTGAAGCTCATATTTCTTGATAATATCACGGGATTTCTGCTCGCCGTAGAAAGGGACAACACGAAGACTAGGTGCCCAACGGGCAAACTCTCGTACCCAGTTCGTAATCGTGGAATTAGGCACGACTACCAGATAAGGGTACACCCTGGTCTTCTCATGAAGCAGGCCCAAGAAAGTGATTATTTGAACAGTCTTTCCCTGCGAATAGAATAAGTGCTAGCAAGGACAGGTGTCAGTGACATGGACTTACCAAACCCATTTCGTCTGCAAGAATGCACTGCTGCTGGTTAAACCAATTCCTGCATAGCCAATTCACACCATCCACCTGCAGCACCGATCAGTAACGCAATCCTTTTGCATAGTCTAATTCTTACCTGGAACGGCATCAGGTTGAATGTGTTTTCCTGCCCTATGTCGTAATTGCCATCCTCAGCAATGCCGAGTTTAACCGGACTCCAGTTCTTCCGATTCTCAAACGTCTTGATTTCGGCAGTCGACTTTTTCCTCACAAATACAGCTCGAGACCGCACAAAGGTTCTGAATGCGTTTTCATAATCAGTATGACCGAAAGTCCCAGGTCTAGGGGGTGAATCCCAGGTCGCTATATCAAAAAAGATCAAGGTCAAGCAATAAAGAACCAGGACAGTCAAGCTCACATTCGTCGTAAGGAAGATCGTCCCATTTTATGAATGCCCATATAACTCTACCAATATGCTCTTCGCCTAGTTCCTGACCAGTACGCTTCTCGAATTCCTCCACAGTTTCCGTTACTTCAGCACTCGGCTGCTCACCCAAATCAAGCGCGGCATCAAATTCACGTCGAGCTTCATCAGAGGCTTCAGCAGTGCTATCTTCTTCATCCACATCCTTGAGCCGCTGCTTCTTCTGTGACCGTCTTGCTTTCCGAGGAGCCCATAGCAATACATCCAAGACGCGATCAACCGTCTTCCATGGCAAAGGGATTCTCGAGGGAGCATCCGGTAGAGGAGGAGGAGGAGATCCAAATTCGCTTTCCCCTGCCTCGACAGAGGTAGCCCGAGATGGCTCATCTTCAGTATTAAAGAGTCCTGGTCCAGCATCATGGTCTCGGGTCGAAGCAGAATTACAATCGACGGCAGTGTTGAGGAGAGTAATCTTAGGTCCGCTCTCATAGAAATGTTTGAGCTTTGCCCAGCTTCTTGCAACTAGCCACATATGCGGAACCCACTGGACACGCCTGTAACTCCGGTTGATCCATTTTACCAAATACTCGCGTGGCAATGCCTCTCTGTATTTTGCTGATTCTGGAGAAGTCATATAGGGATCAACAGCATTCGCAGGAAAAGGTCGCCAGGCAATGATTTTATCCAAGGAGAAAACGTATGAAGCACAATCGTAACATTGCCATTTATTTTCTTTTTGATAGAACTTTGCCACTTCATCTGGCGTAAGGTCATCATCGTCGACCGGCAGATGAGAATAATGTGCAAGACGTTTGCAAGTGCAACACCGAAATAGAAGTTCATGCGGTGATTCTAGTCGTGCGATCGAGACGTTGTTACTTCCAGGCATAGATATCCTCTGTGATCGATCGTTGGCATTGACGCCTTCGTTTTTTCCCAGTATATTGCCCGAGCTCTCCTCCTTGACCTTCCGTTCAGGTTCGACCACGACCTCTTGGCACACCATGCAAATTCCTCCTTTTGAACAAGATCCACAAAGGAACTCCGTGGCCGCGTCCTTGTCGAGATTCTTCATATGTCTAAGGTTATCCTTGGCTTTCTCTCCTTCTGCTTCCGCTTTCATTCGAACAGCTTTTACGATTTCTGCTCTCTGTACTTGTGTCAGGCAATACCAATGCATTGCCACACAACATTTAAGGCTAGGGACTCAAGTTAGAATTGCTTCGAGAATACAACGAACAGCTTACCATCTAACCCAACCTCCGAGCTTTTTGAAGAATTCTTGGTCATCCTGTGACAGGTCATCATCATCTTGCTTCTTCTTTCTCTTCGTTTTCTTTTCAGACTTCTTCAATAGAAGATGAGCGGGAGCTCGATGACACCTCTCACATTCGTCGCGATGAGCTCGAAGTACAGCAGTCTCCGGATCTGAGTCATACACATCCTCGACATTGCGAACCCGCCCATAAGCGGGCCTTGGACCTTTCCTCTTCATCGGTTGTTTTCCCTTGTGGCGAGAGCGGGTGATCTCATAGTCATCCGATTCTTCCGTTTCGCCACTACCATAGTCACCGTCATCGTTGAAAGTGTATGACTTTTTCTTGACATTCCGAGAACTACGTCGACGGTGTGAATCTGACTCCGTTTCTGCGTCTTCATCCTCGTCGCTGGTAATAGTCCTGCGGCCCTTCTTTCTTCTACGCATCCTTGGGCTATAAGGAAGTAGTTCGACTGACTTGGTTGATTGACGCGTGGTTGCTCTGGTACTGCGGCGTTCATACGGCCTATCTGAATAGTCATCCGCCTCGCTGTCGGTCTGTTCGTCAGAGGACTCCGAGTCACTAACATAGTCATCCTCTCCAGATGGTTTAGGTTTGCGCCTCGCAAGGCTAATTACGAACTTTTCACGATGCTTCGGATGGATGCGAACAGACGATGGGTCGAAGAGAGGCAAATCGCCTCGTTCCTTTCTCTTCACTACGATAAACAGTCGCCACGAGTCCGAATAACGTGTTTACAATAAATGTATACGCACTGTAATCATTGTAAAGATCCGGGTAGCTATTCCTGAACTCCCAATCTTCCTTCTAAGGATAGCATTAGTCAATTATCTTCGTACTTTATAAGTTTTAGTTACACATACACGGCGAACGACCTGGTCTCCGTAACGTGCATAAAGAAAGCGTTTGCCGCCCAACCGGTATTCACCCTCAATTTCTTCCACATCAGACACGTTCTCGGATTCTGATTCGAAATTAACGCCAAGATCCTCCAATCGTAGGTATTTATCGAGTGTTTTCTTGTCAACCATCGGGACATCCACGTAAACACGCGTCTCTTTCGCGTGCTTACGACGCGTCGACGCGTCGAAGGATGGAGGAGTCCTTGGAGGCGTCTCCATAGATTTCTCTGATCGCGTTGGGATTGACGGGCTTGCCATTGATGAGAAAAGCAGAGCTGGGTCGTCAGAGTCGGTACCCATGGCATCGACGGAGGTCAGACGTAAGGAGTGCAAGGAAAGACAAGCCAGCACTGGCGCGTCCTGTCACGTTTTAAGCATTGGCTTGCGCCCGAGGCGTGCGAATTCGCTTTCAGACTTCCTTTCAATCGACCAAATCAGTCCTTTCAATAATCGATTCAAATGTCTATTCCATTACAATAGCAAGAATAATGGGCAAAAGCCAAGAAACATCCAATTACACAAGATGATAGCCATACATAAACGCGAGCTCTCCAAAAACATCAGATAGGTCATAATGAGTACATGTTACAAAGGCGTCATACTGGTGGGGCGCGTCGTACAAAGATAGAGAACCAAGGAAACAGGGCGAAAATGCATACGAAGGGAACTGTAAGACATCCGCTTGTTCTTTCAAATTTCTGGCTTTCAAATACGATGGCTTTTACCCCATTACCATATCTGTGGCGTCGCGTACGTTCGCTGGTCGTACTCGGGAGGCATCATGAACGCTTCGAGTCCCAATTGCGAAAGAGAATTACCACCCAGATTGTCGGATAGCCAAACGGGCAGCTGTTCATTCGCAGTCCCTTCAAATCCACGCCAGATTTGATCCAAGTTGGCTGCATCAGCATTCAACTGTGGTTGGATGCTCATGGGTATATGCGCACTGTGCATGGATCCATGCTGGGAATAGTTACGATCAAACGTAGGGGAGACGGGGGTCGTAAGGCCTTGAGAGTGTTGTCGCTCAGGGGGAACATTAGTGGGTGTCATGTTTGATGATTGACGAGGCAAAGTGGGCGAGCGGCTGGGCTTGCGTTTCTTGGATTTTTTCAACATAAGCGTAAGTGTATTCGCGTAACGACGTGCAGGAACTAGCAGGAAGATCAGTTAGAAGTTTCAGATATGTTAACGAGCTCTGTTCAACATACTTTCGGATAAGACGTCAATGAGTCGTTGAACGAGTCCACGAATATGTTCAATATCGCATTGGTCTGGACTGGATGCAAACAAATAATGATTTACTGCAGCCACGACGCCAAACAAGATACTCACAATATTCTAGCGAGGCGAAGTAAGAAAGATGCGGTGAACGTTGCAGTCGCGTGAGTATAATGAACAGCTAAAGGTTGACCATCAGAGAAGTGTCTAGACAACGTGCATCACACCCACCATATTTGAGACCCTCTCTGTAAGAGCTTGAGCTGATGGTGATGGTGAGTGCTTGCTGTGCGATCGCCAATGAATCCTGTGCTAGCTGCTTGAGGTAAGGATGCATGCCCTCGACATCTTCTGGCACCTCGATGTCTCGCAAGGCGAAAGCATTATGAAATAGCTCCGCTAAGAGTTGTTGTATTTGGAGACTTTGACGGTAAAAGGCTGATTGTATGATTTAGCCTACATCAGCACCGCCTCAATTCAACGCCAAACCACTCACCCGCATCCTCATACTTCTGCGAGAAGGCCGAATCCCAAGTCGCGAACCAGTTTCGGAATTCGGCATCGGCTTCGCGGAGAACTTCGAAGGTTTGATCGTTTAAGGGATGATCCGGAGAGAGTTTGTTATGTATTCTCTCTCGGATTGCCATGAGCTCCAGTGTCGAACAGAGTCGCATATCATCTTGAATGGCGAGGGGATGCTTCAATAGCAGCCGCGATCCCCATATACTCTCATCGTCCTTCAAAATAGCGGGGCGGCCGGTACCATAGGACATTCTTGTTCAAACAGTTAGCTGCGGATTTAAACAGTAAGATTCACATACTGGTGCTCAAACAGATACAGGCAAAACCAAATACGCGAGGCCGTAATAAGCTTCCTGTCTTCCGCTGAGGTAGTAGCCTTTCCGGCCTCGATGCGCTTCATAAGCTTGGGCCAGGCCTGATGCATAGCTAATGAAGGAACGAAGTGAGCTTAACACGTAATCCAGAAGTAGTTGCCATACATAACTCAGCCGCCATCCGAACGGCATGCCCGCCGCTCAGCCAACCATTATCCGACCAACCGGAGACAAGGACTGGAAGTTATAATTTTTAAAAATGCTGTCCTGCCAGAACACCATAACGGGACATACTCATGGCTTGAACGGCCTCTTGTCTCGTTACAGGGGCAAACAATGTAGCACATGAAATTGTCTGGCATTCTTCCAGACACTTTAAGTATTGCTCGCCAGGAGGACCTGCTTGGCAATTAGGCGAGTACCTCAGAATGAAAGATAATACGAACCTCCGCCATCGCGAACTTTCGCAGCTACCATGCAAATAGCATCAAATGCAAAGGGAGATCTCTCGTGAAGGGACTCGTAGGTATCATAGTTAATATCAAACACGGGTAAAAAAGTAGAGCATCCGGCATAATATCTGCTCAGAGTAAGCATGTCAGATTATTCCTTATGTGCCTTCACTTACATCTTGAAAAGGTCGCGAGCCTCCCCCTCCGAGATTATCTTCTTTGTAACAACTACAGCAGAATGTCAATTAGCAATGTGCCTTAAGATGATTATCAATACATACCATCAGTAAAAGTAACGCGAGGAGGACGATGGGTCGTTTTTCTGCGCTTCGAGGGTTTCTGTCGTTTAGAGTCCGGAGAAGGTGATCTCTGGCGACTGCCTGGCTCGCTGTTTTCTCCACTCTCCTAGACGAAACTCAGAAAAGAAATCTCGACAATCATGACAATAGCATACCTGTGCTGCTCTCTCCGCGGCAACGTCCGCGAGACCACGTAAAACCTCCCAGGGCGCTAAGAGTCCCTTAGACGGAAGCTCTCCGTTGTCATCATCCTCGAAGTCGCTGTTGTTGGAACTTGTTACGTTTGAAGAGCCAGCAGCCTTCCGCTTTGGTGAGCGATGTCCTGTAGCTACATGAAGAGAAGTGGTTGGTTTTAATGCGTGCTGACGCGGCGATGTCATTGAACCTTCTCCTGAATGATATCGCACTGAAGAAACATTTGACGGGGGCACCTGACGCCCACTGATGTCCTGGAACGATGAAATCGGTGGCAAAGTCGTCCCTTGCGAGCCGGATGGATACACAACACCCGATGCGTTAGTATATGCGCCATTAGGAGGCGGCAACTGAGGAGGGTGCATATCACCTGGAGGCCGCTGCGTGGGACCAGAACCTGATGATGGACTTCGATACGGCAGTGGTGCATTGGGACGCTGTGCTTGTCTTGACTGTGTGGGACTTATCATTGGTGGAAGGGTATTTGGAGTCTGATATGTACTAGTCGCAGAGCTTTCTGAAGCTACGGCATTGTGATGAATGGCAGGCTTGATGTCAACTTCCATGGTAGATGCGGTCGGAGTTGATAAAGAAGGGGACCCACCCGTGTAAGCACTAGGCGACGACCTGAAGGGGGCATTGAAGTTGGTCTGGGGAACGGGAGGTATGCTGCCGGCGCGCAACTGTTGGACCAAGTCTGCCAAAGTGGAATGGATAGCGATCTGCGTCTGGCGGAGATCGGACACAGACGCTTCTATGGCCTTGATACGCCTAACGCAAAAGTAAGCGCCAGATTCGGCTGGAGACGCACGATCGAGTAGGAAGGTAGACGTACTCTAGCCCGGCTTCTCCGGTTAATGTTGGTTCCCTAGAAGGCTTTTCGAACAGACATTCCAGTCCAGCATGGCGGCATCGGCGACAAGGTGGCTGGTCTGCACCCTCGCAACGCATTTTTTGTTTCCTGCAAGCATTCTTTGGCAAACAGGCTCTCAGAATTTAGTCACAAAAAGTACGATTTGGCAGGCTAAACGCACGCATGCACCTATTATGCACAGAGACAAACCGGACGATGGAAATATGTCAGTGGCTATGAAATTTCGCAGCAGACGGGTCGCTCTTACGGGGGACGCGGTTGAGGGGCTTGGGCTTCCGTTCATCCTTCTCTTGCTTGATTGAAGCAGAGGCATCGTCAGCAGAAGAGCCGTCCTGGTGCTTGACGTGGACACCATTGCTGGAGCCTTGGATCGGGGGACCTTGGGCCGTGTTGCTCATATCGATGGTGGGAAGATGGAAAAGAGTAGCGGGTTGGAAAGAAGGTGGGGGGATGCGCTGACTTGGATCTAGTGATGGCGAATGAGAGAGCCCGTCGGATTGTGAGAGAGGAGATACTTCCGCTCAAACCTTACGTCGGTTCTCTTTCAGCCTCGTTGCCGCCGAAGCCGGGTCGCGCGGACAGCCACGTCCACTTTTTGCACAGAAAGTGCCGGAGATGATGGCAGGGAGCAGAGATGAATTGAGGGAAATAATACAAATCGCGAACGAAAAGAGTGTTCCTCGAAGGGGAGTGCTAGGGAGTATCAAATGACCTCGGACGGATATTACATACTTATCACATAATGACACAGCGGAGGCATACACCGATCGGTAACAACAAAAAAACTCTCCCTTGGGCCTTGGCTCTCCTGATCGCCAGATGCCGACGGGCTGTGCGGCGGTCTTCCTCACTGCCCGTCATCGTCTGGGCGCGCTTGCAATTGACGCATGGCATGGCCACCAACGTGTGAACGGGAGTCGGCCCGCCGTGACTGGCACCGCTGGCTAGACCGTATTCTATATTTACACTCACACGGGACATGCTGATTTGACGTTCACCTTGCATTACGGACACTGCTCCGGGTTCGCGCGAAAGTCCATGCCGAATTACTCAGCTAAACATTCATATTATACTCATAGATGCGCCGTCCTTCTCTGTCTGCCCGCGTCCTGACCGTGTCCTCGTCGGGGTCTGCTTCACGAAGTGATGTCTGTCCCTCCTGTCGATGCGTCGGACAGGAATGCCGCTTTTGGCCAGAAGCAACTGGACGATGCTGTTACCCCGGCAGATAGCTTTGACGCGCCTGAACTTGCTCGTATGGTCACTGGAGAGTCCCAAGATCGCTCCGATTCGGACGAGAACAGTACCAAGGGTCCTTCGGTTCCCCAGGTCCTGTCCTATGAGCCCGCGCCGTGGTATGATTCCACTCGTATTTATTAAGATTTATGCTCTAACCAGCAGTAAAGGTATCTGCGAGTTCCTTTCTGCCCGACCAGTGCACCCCCGTCTAAGTACACGGTTGACACCGCACCTCTCATCCCGGAGGCTTCTGCGTGCGTGCTAGTTTTGATGGCCGATATTATTACCAGTCTGACAGTCTGGCTATACGTAGGTCAATTCTGAGTCGCATCTTTTTTGAATGGATCACGGATGTCCTACGTCTTGGTTATGCAAGGCCTCTGGAGGCGACAGACTTGTATAGACTCCAGGAGTCCAGATCTGCGAAGGTCATCGCAGATAAGATCACGAAATCATTCAAGGAACGCGTCGAGGCAGCAGATTCGTACAATGACCGACTACGTAATGGAAAAATTTCGCCAGGTCAATTAAGGTCGCTATGGTGGTTTTGTAAAGGAAACCGTAAGGAGAGAGAACGAAGGTGGAGGGAAAAGGATGGACAAAAGAAAGCGAGTCTTGTGCTTTCCCTCAATGACAGTGTCCTCTGGTGGTTCTGGTCCGCTGGTGCTCTAAAAGTGATCTCGGATAGCGCACAGATGTGCACTCCGTTACTCGTAAAGGTACTTTGAATCCCAATTCCGGATTCTTCTTAGTCTAATGCAGTTTGCAGGCGATCATCAACTTTTCTGGGGAAGCATTCGCATCTCGACACGGAGGGTCAGCAAGTAGCAATCCGCCTGTTGGCAAAGGAATCGGTCTAGCCGTAGGCCTTCTCTTGCTCCAAACTCTCTCTTTTCTTTGTCAATCACATTTCTTCCAACGGAGTGCCGCTGTGGGTGTACTCCTTCGTGGAGGCCTCATAAACGCCATTTATTCGCAGTCGCTACATCTCAGTACTCGTGCACGTTCCACTTTGACCAATGGAAAGCTCGTTAATCACATCTCCACGGACGTTTCCCGTATCGATTTTTGTGAATTCTCGCGTTCGCTTTATCAATCGACGTCGTAACACTGACTATATGCGCTTAATTCGTCCAGGTGCTCAATATTTCCATATGTTTTGGACGGCCCCGATTCAAATGATCTTGTGTCTGATCCTCTTGTTGATTAATCTTGGTCCGAGTGCGCTGGCTGGCTATGGCTTTTTTATCCTTATAACCCCGCTACAGACGAAGGTCATGAAGTTGCTATTTGGTCTTCGAAGGAAGAGCATGGTATGGACTGGTAGGTAAACGCAGACACAATCGGAATTGTTAGCTCATTGCCGTTTAGACAAGAGGGCTAAGCTCTTGCAAGAACTCCTTGGTGGGATAAAGATCATCAAATTCTTTGCTTGGGAGGCGCCATTTCTCAAGCGAATTGCTGAGTATAGGCAGAGCGAAGTAAAGTAAGTTTACTCCCACATGGTTGAGTGGTCACTTACAGGCGCTGATTTCCTTCCGTAGCTACATCAGGTCCCTTCTCGTCCTGCGTTCCGCAAATAATGCCGTCGCATTCACTCTTCCAGTTTTCGCTGCCGTGCTTTCATTTGTGGCATACTCGCTATCTGGGCATCCCATGGACCCGGCAGTGATTTTCTCATCTCTAACGCTGTTCCAATTATTGCGGCTTCCTCTGATGTTTTTCCGTGAGTATCACGATTTTTTTCTCTAGATCGCTGTGTGTTCGTAGCTAACGTGACCTCTGTAGCAATCTCTGTCAGTGCAATCACTGACGCTGCAAATGCTGCGGGAAGACTTCACGATGTCTTCGTTGCAGAGCTGCTGGATGAGCAAATGCAGAGAGATACAACGCTTGACGCTGCTCTGAAGGTTGAATCGGCATCATTCACTTGGGACAGCCCAGCTCCAGAAGCAGAAGGATCCAAGAAGAATAAGAAGGCAAAGAAGGCACGGAAACCTCCGGCGACTGCTCAAGAGAAGGGTGAGGGCAAGGAAGACAAAGTGTTCAGTCTGAAGAATGTCAACTTGGAAATCCCTCGTGGTTCTCTGGTGGCAATCGTAGGTAAGATGACAAACATCACGATCACTTTATGCGTATAGCTTACAAGTGTCCGAATAGGGCCAGTTGGCACGGGGAAGAGCAGTCTTCTGCAGGGCCTGATCGGGGAGATGAGGCGCACTTCTGGTTCCGTTCGCTTTGGTGGATCAGTAGGCTATTGTCCACAAAATGCCTGGATCCAAAATGCGACTGTGCGTGAGAACATTTGCTTCGGACGGCCATTTGAAGCAGATCGTTATTGGCGAGCTGTCCGCGACTCCTGTCTAGAACGTGACCTTGAGCTTCTTCCACACTACGATCAGACGGAAGTCGGTGAGAAGGGTAAGCACGCTGTTTTCTTTCTTTGTTTTTCTACCTATGTATGGACTTTATTTGTGAAGGTATATCGCTTTCGGGAGGTCAGAAGCAGAGGCTCAACATTTGTCGCGCAATCTATTGCGATACGGACATCCAGATCTTCGACGATCCGCTCTCGGCCTTAGATGCACACGTAGGAAAGGCAGTTTTCCAGCGGGTTCTTCAAAACAGCCCAAAAGGAAAGACACGCATATTGGTCACGCATGCATTGCATTTCCTACCCTATGTGGACTATGTATATGTCATGTTGGATGGTCGAATTGTTGAGCAAGGACCGTATGCAGAGTTGATAGCGAATAACGGTGCATTTGCGAAATTCATCCAGGAGTTCGGTCATGACGATAATGAGGATAAGGGCGAATCTCTTGAAGAGGTGTCTGCAGCTGACCAGGAAGATGGGAAGAGGCAGAAGGCTGCCGTAGCGGGTGCAGGTCTGATGCAGGTCGAAGAGCGTAATACAGGTGCAGTTAGTGGTGCAGTTTATGCAGCATACTTCAGAGCGGGCAGGGGCGGAGTTGTCGTACCATTGTTGCTTCTCGGCTTGGTCATGATGCAAGCTTCCTCGGTTATGTCCTCTTACTGGCTTGTTTACTGGCAGCATGAGTAAGTGAACATTAGATCATCTAAGTGTTAGCTTGCCTGACAATTCACTTCAGTTCGTTCAATATTCCACAAGGAGCATATGTGCGTGTCATATTTTTTACTTTTTTTCAACGCCCATCAAAAGAGGGTCTTACATACGTGGTTCCCTAGATGGGGATATTCGCAGCACTCGGCGTGTCCCAGGCCTTCTGGTTCTTTGCAAGCGGGGCTATGTTTGCAGTCTTGAGTTATTTTGCTTCTAAGACATTACAGTCCGTGTTCTCTATTAATCTGTGATACATATGACTAAAGCTCGTTCTAGCCGTATGGCTATTGAACGTGTCATGCATGCGCCAATGTCGTTCTTCGAAACGACGGTTTGTCCTTCTAAATCATTCAACATTACATTTACCTAACCGATCGCAAATATAGCCACTCGGACGAGTGATGAACCGCTTTTCCAAAGACATAGATACAATTGATAACATGCTCTCTGACGCCATGCGAATGTTCTCAAACACATTCTCACAGATGATAGGCGCTGTCATCCTCATCAGTGTAAGTCTCCTTTATTGATCCGATACGTAGATGTGTCATTGAAACACATTTCGTATAGATTGTTGTGCCGTGGTTCCTCATTGCTATTTCCGTTGTACTCGTGTTCTATTACTATATGGCGTTGTTCTATCGTTCAAGTGCACGGGAACTCAAGGTCAGTTATAATTCTTAATTCTTATTGAAGCACCGTTGAGATCTTGTGCAGCGATTGGATGCCATCCTTCGATCTTCGGTCTACTCCCACTTCTCTGAATCCCTCTCCGGTCTTGCAACAATCCGCGCATACGGAGAGACGGATAGATTTTTAGCAGAGAACGAGAAGCGAATAAACATCGAAAACAGGTACGTGAATTTCCTTCATGAAGACGTTGCTGCGCTTCTAAATGATCCAACACTTTCAGAGCATATTACCTGACTGTTGTGAATCAATACTGGCTCGGAATACGTCTGAACTGCTTAGGAACATTATTGACATTCGTTGTTGCCATTTTGACTATCGCAACGCGGTTTTCGATCTCGCCATCACAGACTGGTGTTGCATTGTCCTACATCGTTCTCGTGCAGCAAGTGCGTTATTGCTTTTACAATTCCTTGAACTTGTGTACTCACTAAAGTGATATTAGTCGTTCGCATGGATGGTCCGGCAGAGCGCCGAAGTTGAGAACGACATGAATGGTGTAGAACGTATCACCCACTACGCGACTGCCGTTGAACAGGAGCCTCCTCATGAGATCGAAGACAACAAGCCCCCGCCCCATTGGCCAATGGAGGGTAAAGTAGAACTCAGCAACGTCGAGCTGAGGTATCGGCCGGAGCTTCCTCCTGTCTTGAAGGGCATCTCGATGTCCGTAAAAGGTGGGGAGAAGATCGGTATAGTTGGTAGAACTGGTGCTGGCAAATCGACCATCATGGTTGCTCTATATCGGCTTGTCGAATTGTCAGGTGGATCTATACACATTGATGGTATCGACATTTCTACGTTGGGTCTTCGAGATTTGAGAAGTAATATTGCAATAATTCCCCAGGATGCGGTACGTTCCTTTGATTTATTTTACAGTTTGTTACTGACATACACTTTTTTCAGCTTCTATGTGAGTTGAAAGATGGGCTGATTTGCAGTGGTGTCTGCTAATTCGATTTTGGTAGTCTCCGGTACACTTCGTAGCAATCTTGATCCATTCGAACAACATGACGACGCAAGACTCTGGGACGCTCTGAAGCGATCATATCTTGTGGACGATATGAAACCAGTCTCCTTAGAGTTATCAACAGAGGATGCAGGTGGTAGTGGTGCGCAGACGCCAGTGAAAAGACTCACTCTTGATAGTCCGATTGAGGACGAAGGAAGTAACTTGTCCGTGGGTCAGGTAAGTCGTCATCAGAACTTAAATTCCCTTTCTATCGCCTTTCTGAACGCTTCTTCAGAGGTCATTGGTGTCGCTCGCTCGTGCACTAGTAAAAGACTCAAAAGTCCTCGTACTGGACGAAGCAACAGCGTCGGTCGACTACGAAACCGACAGGAACATTCAAGATACAATCGCACGCGAGTTCAGTGACCGAACAATTCTCTGCATAGCTCGTAAGCAGATCTCTCATCAATTTTCATAACAGTGGTTAACTCCGTGAACTCAGACCGCCTTCGTACTATTATCTCTTACGACCGCATATGTGTTCTCGATGCCGGTAACATCGTAGAATTCGACACTCCTAGCAATCTCTATCGACGCGAGGACAGCATATTCAGAGGAATGTGTGATCAGTCCTCCATCACGTGGGACGACATCCGCTTCGCTGCTAAAGCGAAAGAAAACATTTAATGATAGCATGGTTCGTTATGATTTGTAGCAGCATTAAATAGAAGTCTGCAATGGAATGGAATGGTTTGTGTATTATGGCAAGCTGAGATCTGCGTGGCATATCAAGTCAGCACGTGCTCTAAGACAAATATCTGCCACGGCATACTTTCCATTGTGTCTACACTTCATTCTTTCGACTTACTGCCACGTCATGGTATTCGTTTACTTTGTTTCACGGTTGATTTCGTGAGTGGTACCCATTGTGCGAGACGAACGTCATTTAATTTGAAAATATTCTGCGCCAGCTCATGGTTTGCATTTGCCCTTCCGTTGTTTCGTTCATTTCAAGCGCTGCAGAGGCGTCCGTTATCCGAGACAGACATTGAGCGCTTGACAAAGTACTGGATTGTGGTCGGTGCACTGTTGGCGTTTGAATATTCTGTCGAAGCCTTCATTAGCTGGTGGGTAACCGCATCGCTCGCCACACATAACCTCAAGACTGACTCAGGAGGTTTACAGGTTCCCGTTCTACTGGGAACTGAAGCTGCTGTTCCTGTTGTTCATTTCGCTACCTCAAGTACAGGTTGGTCACTTTGCCAGAAGCATTTACTTTTAGTCTTCACTCGCTAAGTCTAATCTAATTCAGGGATCCACGTACATTTATGACACGTGGCTGTCACCTTACCTTTCGCGCAATGAACTTTACCTTGATCGCCAAATAGACTCCGCGTCAGAGAACTTCCTAGGCTTTTTCCAGGCTCAGGTCCAAGTGATACTCGATAAGATAATGGGTCGGACATCGGCTGGAACTCCAGGAGCAGGGCCAAATGGAGCGACCGGCATGCAGGCACCTTCTTTCGTAGCGGACGGCGCACGTTTGGCCATGAGCTTCTTGATGAGCCATGGAGCATCCATGGCTGGAAGAGAGGATCCTGTTCGTCCAGGAGCTTCCCCACCCGCTTCATCAACTTCGATCCAGCCCAGCCCATCTGCTCAAGCAGGTCAGCGAGGTGGATTCGCATCGAACAGCCAGACGTCCCTTCATATCACACCGGAGGATGTTTACCAAGCACACTCACCCAAGACAGACGCTCACGATGGTGCAGCGTCCCCTGCATTCCCTCAGCCGGAACACTTCTGATTCGTTTCAGCGACAAGAATTGACATCGTAACCGTGTCATTTCGATAAGAGCATGAAAATTACAAATTTACTAGTTACTTCCCGCATAATCCAATCTGTATTTAAACGTTTGCAGCAGCGAAGATCATGATGACGCAATTATATTCTTGTCTTTGTCTATCAATGTATCATGAGCACAAGCACCAGTAGTATCCCTACGAGATCCTCGCTTTTCGGCTCCTTCGAGCAGGTCACTCACGGGTCACCTTCAGACTTCAACGATGCGCCGATCCTAGATTACTTGCGTTTAGATGAAGACTGCCGACCACTTCCTTCGGAAGACCCAATTGCATTTCTCCAGCAACATCAGCATCTCAAACGCCTACCACCCAATTTGCTTTCCTCATTCTCAAGCATCACAAGTCCAAAACAACGTACCATCATCACAGCCATCCGAAACAGACGCCTGAACTTCGCAAATTCAAGCCCACACGAGTTGGAATTCGACCGTGCTCGTGATACTTGGCCCCAGCTATGGCAAGGTAATGGTCAAGACCGTCCGAATTGGAGAGTAGAAGAGCGCGAGAACCGTGATGAGAAGGTCTGGGCTGACTCACAGTTTCTTGGTGGAGAGAGACAGCACGTTGGCAAGTTAGGGACTCTCTTGGGTGAGACCGCGTATACTCTACTATTCGTATCAAATATCTAAGTCTTCTTCAACTTTATTGACGCAAGGAAACTACGAGGAAGAGAGGGCTGCTGAACGAATGAGGACATCAAGAAGACGAGTCGTGGAGGAGTTCGTTCCCGAGGAAGACAGTGACGAGTCAGACAACGATAACGATGTCACCAATAGTACCTGGCCAGACAATTCTTCGGAAGAGAACAAAGTAAACTTTGAACGATTAATTCGCGAACGCTTCATATACGGACTGCTTGACGTGAGTTCATGTATATTAGAGAAATGTCCTATTTCATGACTTTAATCATGGGATGATTAATCTGCAGTCTATTGACTACGACGCTGTTGACTGGAATGATCGATGGGACCCGGATAATGACAGATTGGATGAGGAGCGGTGGTTTGATGAGGAAGAGGAAGGACCATGAAATTAGACAGTGTTGTATAATATTTCCGTTTACAACAGGCATCGTTTGCGACACATCAGAATGGCAAGATATAAGCATTCCATTAAAATACAAAGGAGGGCATACGATTACGTTTTTAGACGCTGCAAATGAGGCATATTACAGAAGAATGGGAAGAGCATCAAGATGAATAAATAATAACCCACGCACATAAAACCCTCGAAGTCGAGAATACCTTTTACTAAGGGATCTGTGCTGTATTGAAGGGATCTGAACTCTCATCCAATGCCTCTCCTCCCAATAACGTGTCAGTAGGTTGAAGTTGCGCTAATTCTCCTGCGCCTTCAAACGGCTCTCCATCAGGTCCTAACTGGGTCATGTCGAGATCGGTTATGTCGCCACCTAACTCCAACTCAGGAGGCACCTGCAACGACGTCCCTGGCGTATCATCAAGTGCAACAGTATCGTCCACAGCGGGATCAAGAGGGTTGAGGTCTGTGTTCAATGCCGATTCGTCGAGTTCGGGTGGAGGGGTTGGCGAGCCGGGTACTAATGACATGGAAAGCGGGTGACGCTTTGGAGGAGCAGGAGTTGCATCCTCAGGCTCTTGAGGAAGAGTAACGGGTTCCGAAACCGCTCGCGATGCTGAATCTGGCGCAACAGAATTGGTCTGGTCGTCTTGCTCCATGTCATCGTCGCCCTCCTGGGTTTCAGGTTCGTCTGGCAGTGGTACGAGGGGCAAATCGGGTTCCTCTTCATCATCGCTGAAATTCTTCAAGTGAAACGGTGTCAGTACCTAAGAAGAATGGATAAGGTGCATACAGCGCATACTTGTTTCTTATCCGTCTTTACCCACTTGTACACTCTCAACGCAGAGCTGGGTGGTGCATCTTGTGGCAATGACCAAACCTACATTTCAAATACTGTTTATAACTTTCCGGGATACCGTCTATGCAAATTCCACTTACTTTCTCCCAGCATGGGACCGGTTGCATGAGCTGCCTACGTGCAGCTTCTGTCGTCGCAGTACTAACTCCAATCTTTCGCTTCGTCGACATGGTTCAAGGCAACAGGGGAGACTTAGATGGAAGGGTTGAACCGAGCTGGTATTAAAAGTACGAAGGCAACGTCTAGTAAAAGGAAATAGACAAGGTGAGAGGAAGCAGATTAAGCAGAAGTGGTAATGCTCAACAAGAAAGGGTCACGTGAAGGTGAAAGCATTCTTGTCCAGCTCACTCACTCTTCCGATTTCTTGTTCTTAAACACACATAAATGCACTTTTCGTCTCTTTCGTTGATTGTTGGATTGCGAGTGAACCAGAAAATAAATGAGGCGACCGTGCTTTTTTCTCGATTGTGGGAAATAGACAACTCCAAATAAAATATGTGAATGAGTAATGTCTCTCTCTAGAACATATTATCTTCAGGGCCCTGCCTAAGTTGATGGTCGTGTAGCGAAATGGCATCGCGTCAGTTTCCGGTTTTAAAAACATGCCAGCTGAAGGTTGTGGGTTCGAGTCCCACCATGATCGACCCATGAACTCTTTTTCCCGCAAGGTTGTTTTCTATCCAGTAGACATTCATGTGATTTGTTAAAGAAAGCCAGGATTTTAATTATATTATGAAACTTGTCAAATCCTGTATACTCTGCACTATACTTAAGTTAGAAAGAAAGAACTAGCTCTACAGTATAGCTCAGGAAAAGAAAAAAACCACAGCACCCAGGATTCCCGCGTGGTCCCCCACCGTGGTACTAACTGGGCGGCATCTCGGTTAACTGCGCAGATCGGACGGGATGCGGTGTTTTCGAGGTCCTATGGCCGTGGATACACTTTAGACTTTGGTATAAGCTATATCCAGCTTTTGAGGAGACCAGGGCCTAATGTATCATATCTATTTAGCACTCTCCTTCTGGTACATACAATGAATCACACCATTGTGTCCAATCAGTAGTGATTCCGAGTAAATCTACATTTTGCTCAAGAATATCCGTCCGATTCCATTATCTAATACATTTGTCCTCAAGGTTGAAAGGAAAGCCATAAAGGATAAATCAACGAAAGATAATACAGGAAGATAACAACGGTCCATAAACAAACATAGCCCACAGGGAAAGTCTCCGAGTAAACAGTCGCATCTAGATGTGCGATACTTCCACAAAATCATATATGGCCCTCCGTCATGTTATCCAAAACGTCTCAAAGCTTCGCCTTCGCGCCACGCTTCGCAACAATCTCCTTCGCCTTGTCTCGCATTAGTCGTCTTAGTAGTTTTCCACTAGGATTCTTCGGAATAACATCCACGAACTCGATACCGCCCTTTAGCCATTTGTACTGCACCTTGGCATCAGAGACGTGCTATAGCAAGTATGATAAGTGCCGAAGAAACTTTAGATGAATTGATCGGTTCTTACTTTCATTATCGATTGCTTAATCTTCTCAGCCTCCGCATTGCTTCTCTTCGCGCGCTCTGCCGCTCTAGTCTCGAGCATGACGAAAGCCAGGGGAACTTCACCACTATAATCATCTGGGATGCCAACCACACACGCATCGGACACATCGGGGTGGTCTAATAGATGTCCTTCTAGCTCTGCAGGAGCTACTTGGAAGCCACGGACTTTGAGAATCTCCTGCGGACATGCAAATTTACTACATCAAAGAAGAACTAACGGTTCGTGATGACTCACCTTTAACCTGTCAACGATGAAGATATCACCATTCCTCGCGAACTTCACCTCATCACCGGTCCTGACCCAACCATCTACGAACGTCTCTTGCGTGCTGAGCTTCTTATTAGTACTGCACGAAGCAAGAATTTACCAAATGAATCACGTACGCCTTCTCATCATTCGTATACCTAAGCGCCATCTGAGGACCGGTAACGTGTAGTTCGCCCTCCTCGTCGTAATCCGCCAGCGTACCATCAGCCTTCACAACTCGCGCGGTACAGCCTGGAATCAGTTGGCCTCCGCTTCCTGGAGTACCAATCCATTGCGTAATTGGAACCATCGTAACAGTCGTGCACGTCTCGGTCATGCCTGAGAAGCCCGAGAGAAGCACAATCAGTCTTCGGTCGGATCGAAACACCGATAAAGATTTAGGGAACAAAGACCAGGCACATGACCCCGTCATGCAGAAAGATTTGCAAACAGGAAGATCGGAAAGAAGTGTTCGTTGGTTTATCTGACGTACCATATCCTTGACCAATCTGGGCGTTTGGCAAGACTTTGATAAGTTGCTGAGTCAATTCCCTGGATAAGGGTGCCGCTCCGCTAATGCAAAAGCGAACGTGCGAGAGGTCATATTTCTTCACAGCGGGATGCTAAATTAAATATAAGCATAATTGTATATCTGATGTTCGGCCTTTGATTACCTTGCAGAGCAGGACGACTTGAGGAGGAACGAGGCTGTGAAGAAATCGTAAAGCCAACCATATTCCCGACAAGTCTAAAACGACCGACATACAGAAGGTGTTGGATTTTATATCTGTCGATACTCTTCAGGAAATCCAAGAAGTTGAACCTCGGAATCACAACTATGGTAATCTATAAATATCAATGATAAGCCGCATGAGCGGTATTACTTATCTAGCCACGTACCCCAGAGAAAAGCAGCCAGTGTAACTGAATTAAGGATGATTCATGAGCTGCGAGAATATATCTTCCACTGAAGGACTCACATTAACGACCAGACCATAAATATCTGGTCACATGCGTCCGTAAGTCTGCAAGGTCAGAATACTGATCAAATGAGCTCACGGAAGAACGGTAGAACTAATTTTGCGTATGAGCATAGACGCATCAGTAATTTATTATGTATTAGCACGCACCAGCAACTGCGATGTCCCCTGGTCTGAATCGACGTTTCTCCCAAATAGTGTAATCCTCATTCACTTTGTGATACTCCGCCATTTGTACCACATTAGCAATTACAGCGTAGTGAGGAATAGCGACAGCCTAAAGAAAGTCTCCTGTCAGAGTGACTCAAGGCCCAGCCACATTTGAACAAGAACCTTCGGCTTCCCGGTCGTTCCACTGGAGAAACTGAGGAACGCTAGTTTCGTTTTGCCTTCCCCCGGTGCAAGTCTTCGTTCTTTAAAGGACGTCGGTTGTGACAGACCTTCCTTCACGAGATCCGATATTGTTGGATACGGGATCGGCGTTTTCGCCTTGAGCTCATCCATGAGGAAGATATGATCCGCTGCCAATCCAGCTTGCCGTGCTGCTGCGAGGGCCGTAGGAAGACTATCCGGATGTGACACCATTACAAACGCCTTGGTAGTTATGAGCTGATGTACCAGCTCGTCGGCAGTATAAGATGGATTGGCGCATCTATATTTCTTGTATGAAACGGGAGCAAATTGCTATCCAGAAGACGCTTACGAGACAGTTGCACCGAGTCTATGCGCGGCCCACATGGAGACAGGATAATCTAGGACGAATGCATAAGTTGCAGTTGCGGATCAAACGTATTTGACCCACCGACGTGATTCGGTGAGAATACACAAACTGAGTTACAGTGAGCCAAAGCACAAGGCTGCGCTCAGTTTGAATGCTGGTGCTCACCGACATCATTTTCACCTATCGGGTTGTCAGCTATTATCTGAGTCACGAACGAATAGGAGACGAGACGAACCAACGCCCCATCGCAGGTGCAATGCGTTTGCTAGTGCGTGTGTTCGTAGACGTATCTGAATACGCAGAGGTCAACGGACAGATACAACTTTACAATAATTATTTGTACTTACCTCTTCGTATTCAACCTTTCTCCCAGTGCTATCTTCGATGAGCCATGGAACGTTTCCTGGGCGAATTGGACGCTTAGGATGGTACGAGTCAAGTATAAATTGAGCAGCAGTCAAGTCAGCGGGAATCGGAGGACAGGGGACAACTGAGCGAAATTCCGGCATGGTTGGAGGGGCCGAGGGAAAATGAACAAACAGTACAACATGATTCGGGGCGGGCGGAGGACTTTATAGCGGAAGTTTACCGAGAGACCAATAGACGTCGGAGTCTCATGACGTGTGATCGTGTGTCCCATAACGAAACGTTCATGATCGGACCTTGCTACAACTTACCCCGATCCCATCATGAACAACGGATAAGCTCCTCCTTTTCTCACACATCTTTCCAGCATACCATACCTGGCTGCAGCATCAGGGATGGCTTCTAAGGGTAATAGCACTTCTCACTATTATTAGACGCCCGCCGGACGCCCGTCTGTGCGGCTTCGAGACATGCTTCGAAGTAAATGGAAGGCAAGATGAACGCATCTCATTCTGTCGTTATCAGCATCGGGAACTTCGATACTTGATGATGCCTATTATGCACAGCTGCCCAGGACAGAGTGCTCAACTTGGACTCATACCTGTACTCCATCCGCAGGCGCAGCACCCTTTTTCCCAGTCACATCTAATCTATGAAGGCACTTGCAGCTCTTTTTATGGCTGGACATAGCAAGCTAGCTACAAGTCCCTTTCTTGATCATTCTCCTGGGTATGCAGCTTGAATCTGCCAACGCCCTTCTAGTTACTCATCCAACACCACTATGTGTGGTCGTGCTATTCGTCTTTGGTTGCTTCGTGTTGCAATCAAATCCCTCGTTTATTCCGTTGGTTTTCCTCCTGGCGATTATAAGACTTTTCTTGTCGGTCATTATAACTGGTGGACGTGCAGGAGTCAAGATGACACTTGTCGTGGTGTCCCTCGCAGTAGCAACCACCCTGGCAAATATCAGCTCTGTTTTGAATGCTGTTCCTGAGGTCCAGTATTCGACAGCCGTACTTGCATTGTTTGTACTTGCTCTTCTAGCAAGCACTCTTGCCACTTCAAGCATACTTTCCGACACATACTTGCAACTGAACATTGATCGTGAACAGTTGCCACTGTTCTTCTTTCCTGCAGTATGGTCGACTGTACTACTGATTGCATCAACCACGAGCCCCTTGGGATATTTGGCTATATGGAGTCCAGTGCGTGGGCTGGGCGCCTATAACTGGATAAGATACATCCTTGGGCCGGTGGGAATCGATTGGATCGTTGGGGCATGGGCTGTTGTGGTAGCAGACCTACTTGCACTGTGGTTTACCGAACAGGCCGAACAGGCCGACTATTGCGATGGCTCGTTGATATCGACAAGTAGCGCCGGGGCAACTGATGAAACTGAGAAGTCTCAGAAAACACCACGGCTTCTGTGTATGATTACCTTTCTATGTCTCGGCACCGTCCCATATTATTTTCAGGATCCGTTGCCTACGCCGGTCAATTCTGCCACAACAGCGCCCCTATCGGTCGCGTGTGCTCTACCTTATGTTACGAACGTGACACGGCTGCCCAATATCGACGAACTCTTGCTAGAGACGGCAACATTGGCTTCTCTTGCTAAAGTCGTACTCTGGCCGGAAGGGGCGATACGATTTGACTCTGTCCAAGCGAAACGAGAGGCAATCAAGAAGGTCGCAGAAATTGCCGCGGGTTCCGTCATAGGCATTTCGTTCGAGGAGTACACAAACAATGAATCAAGAGGCTACAAGGGCCAGAACGGTCTCATGCTCGTTGACCGAAATGGGATGGTGTTTGAATATTACAAACGTCACCTCGTTCCATGTGCGTAATTTTGTTGATTATAACGCCTTGCAACTGAACATTTACTCCTTTTCTTCCCTTTTCCCAGTCGTCGAATCGAATGCGATGGTTGCCCATTCATCACCTCCGGACTTGTACGACTATCAGCTCGTCACAAAACGGAATTCGCGAGGTAAAGCTATAGAGTCTCTGACGGTCCCAATAACCGGATCTATATGCTTGGACTTTGCCCATCCGATGCCTTTCGGTAGACTTCCACAGCGGCCATCTCTTATCCTTGGAGCTGCGCGCACCTGGCATCCGAGCATCGGGGTGACAATGTGGGAGCATGCTAAATTGCGAGCAGAAGAGGTCGGCAGTGCTGTGCTTTGGTGCGACGGAGGAGAAGAGGGAATTAGTGGCGTAGGAGGGCGAGGGATGGGAGGCGGTGAAATCGTCCAAGTAGGACCTGGCTCATGGGTCCGTACGATTGGCTTGGAAATAGAGGCAAATCATAGGAGGACAACATATGCATTCATCGGTCCCTGGTTCTCTATCGCCTTTATCTGGCTGATGCTCTTCGCGGGAAGGATTTCGGAAAAGGTGGTTCAGAGGATTCGGGAGGGTGGTAATATTAATTGTTGCATCCAAGGAAGCGAGTTGAGGAAGAGAGTCCTGGATACTTACCATGCCTGGAAGAGAGGCAGAGAGGCAGATGAAGCAGATGAATCCACACATTTGCTCTAATCGAGTTACTCCTGCGAAGCATTTCTCGATCTTTCTCTATTTGTCTCCACGACTTGCATCGAGTTGCTGATTTCTTCTGTATTTCGATTATGTGTATATGATAAGTATAAATCGATTATATTGTACTTTTGCTGTTTTGACTTGGATATGAAGATCCGGAGTGCAGTGCTGTAAGTGGATATATCTGAGTGCTAAATTGAAGTGACCAGTCAAAGTTAGTTTACACAAATTACTGTATATGTAACCTGGTAGTAATCTATAAGCACATACTTTCTGATAGGGTTCCGCATCGTACCGTAATTACGGTTTCAGACCGTACTGTATACGGTTACGACTTTATAAAGTATATGTACACTATTATAAAAGACTGAGACTATTATATGGTAAGGCCTTCTCCCTGTATACATCCTTAAATACTGGTAATACACTTCTAAAGTAGTTTTCTTAAATAAAATATATTTTATTAATATTAATGCCTATATTAAATTGTTTTATTTATTATTTTATTATTTTATTATATTTGTTTATAATTATTAACTCATCTTATAGATAACGCGAGAACGCCTTATCTCTCTACATCCACTTACAGTATGCACCGCCGCATGGGCTGAACACGCTTGCTGTGCGTGTCCTTCTTGGCCAGGAGTAGTAGCAGGCCTAAAGGAGGAGGCCCCCTAACTAACAGCACATCTCTTTGTCTTTTGGTCGATACTATCGGATAGATCTCGTCAGTTAGCGGATTCAGCTGCTTTGCTTGCATAGACGGTCTCGAGTCGATTGTCGACAGTTAGCTCCGTAATCTCCTATATTCCTGAAAGATAGGCACGTACAAAAATTTTGTCGCTTAACCATGGAGCTTGCGTTGCGAGTAAATGCTAAATCACTTGTCGTCTACAGTGTTAGGAGTCTCGGTGTATACATTCACTAATCTGTGAATGCACTTGCAGATCTTTTTATGGTTGGACATAGCTAGCTACAAGTCTCTTCCTTACCCATTCTTCTTGGTATGATGCTTGAATCTGCCAGAACCCTTCTGATTTCCTGCCCTACACCACTAGCTGTGGTAGTGGTATTCGTGTTTGGTTGCTTCGCGTTGGAATCGCCTCCCTCGTATATTCCGTTGGTTCTCCTCCTGGCGATTACAAGGGTTTTCTCATCGGTGATTATTACTAGCAAACGTGCGATAGTCAAGCTGACATTTGTCGTGGTATCCCTCGCTGCGGCAACAACTCTGGGAAATATTAGCGCCGTTCCCGAGGTCCAATATTCGACAGCCGTACTTGCATTGTTCATACTTGCTCTTTTAGCAAGCAGCCTTGCCACCTCAGCTATATTTGCTGACACATACTTGCAATGGAATATCGATTGCGAACGGCTGCCGTTGTTCTTCCCTGCCATGTGGTCGACTGTACTACTGATTGCATCAACTACGAGTCCTTTGGGATATTTGGCCATATGGAGCCCAGTGCGTGGTTTGAGCGCCTATAACTGGATGAGATATGTTCTTGGCCCGGTGGGAATCGACTGGACCGTTGGGGCATGGGCTGTGGTGGTGGCAGAGTTACTTGCGCCATGGTTTACCAAGCCAGCTGAACAAGACGATTTGTTGATATCAACTAGTGGCACCAGTGCGACCGATGAAACTGAGAAATCTCAGAAAACACCACGGCTTCTGTGTATGATTACCTTCCTATGTCTTGGCACCATCCCATATTATTTTCAGGATACGTTGCCTATACCGGTCAATTCTGCGACTACAGCACCGTTATCGGTCGCATGTGCTCTACCTTACATTACGAACATAACACGGTCACCCAATTTTGGCGAACTCCTGCAAGAGACGGCAACATTAGCTTCTCTTGCAAAAGTCGTACTCTGGCCGGAAGGGGCGATACGATTTGACTCGGTGCAGGCAAAACGGGAGGCAACCAAGAAGGTTGCCAAAATCGCCGGCGGTTCTGTCATAGGCGTTTCTTTTGAGGAGTACACGAACGATGTAACAAGGGGCAACAAGGGCCGGAACGGTCTCATGCTCGTTGACAGAGATGGGATGGTGTTTGAATATTTCAAACGTCACCTCGTTCCATGTACGCAGTTTCATTTAATATTTCTCACAACCATTACTTAACCTCTCCCCTTCTCGCTTCTCCAGTCGTCGAGTCGTATGCGATGGTCGCATATTCATCACCTCCGGAATTGTACGACTACCAGCTCGTCACAAAACGGAATTCGCGAGGTAAAGCTATAGAGTCTCTGACGGTTCCAATAACCGGATCTATATGCTTGGACTTTGCCCATCCGATGCCATTCAACAGGCTTCCGCGACGACCGTCTCTTATCCTCGGAGCTGCACGTACCTGGTATCCGAGCCTCGGCGTGACGATGTGGGAGCATGCTAAAGCCCGAGCAGAAGAAGTTGGCAGTGCTGTACTGTGGTGCGATGGTGGAGAACAGGGAATCAGCGGAGTTGGAGGGCGGGGAATGGGAGGAGGCGAAATCGTTCAAGTCGGACCTGGCTCATGGGTCCGTACGATTGGCTTGGAAATAGAGGCGAATCATGAGAGGACAGCATATGCATTCATCGGTCCTTGGTTCTCGATCGCCTTCATCTGGCTCGTGGTATTTGCAGGAAGGATTTCGGAAAAGGTGGTTCAGCGGATTCGGGAAGGTGGTAGTATCGGCAGTACCCTTCAAGGATATGGGTTAATAAGGAGAGTCCTGGATACCTACCGTGCCTGGAGAAGAGGCCGGGAGATAAATGAAGCAGATGAGACTACACATTTGCTCTAGAGTCTAAAGTTATTCCTGCGAAGTATTTCTTGATCTTTTCATGTCTCCATATCTTACACAAACTCGCTGATGTTTTCTTCTGATTGTGTGTATGTATTATGTATATAAATTGATTGTATTGCTATAGTTTGCTGTCTTGATTTGGATATGAAGATCCGAAGTGCAGTAAGCACGGCCGCATGAGCCGGACATGCTTGTTGTGCGTGTCCTTCGTGGTCAGGAGCGGTGGCAGGCCAAAAGGACGAGGCTCCCTCGCCGGCAGCATATCTCTTCGTCTTTTCGGTCAATACTATCGGATAGATCTCGTCAGTTAGCGGATTCAGCTGCTTTCTTATATAGACGGTCTCGAGTCAGTTAGCTCCGTAATCTCCTATAACCCTTAAGAATAGGTACGTTCTAAAATGATAAATTTCTTGTTGCTTAACTACATAGCTAGCATTGTACGTAGTTGCTGAATCTCTTGTTATCTTCAGTGCATAACTTCACTTTGTCTCCACGTCCACGAGATCAGTTGTCACTGGGCAGCTTTCCACAGGCAGCCACATTTCCGCAACTTCCCGTCCGTCCCATCCGTCCGGCGATCGACCCTCGCCGACACGCACACCACTCTCTAGTTCTCCACCAGCACCTCTCACAAGCTGTACCGCTACCAGAGCGCCTCCCCCGCCTCCTCCAGCTCATCCTTCAACCTCTTCTCACCACACAGCCGCTTCGGCAGCGACAGAGAACAGCAACAGCAACAACACAAGCAGAAAACCAAGACTAAGAACAAGAAGGGCGGTGTCCTCGGGAGCCTACGACGGCGGTTCTCTACGGACTCGAAGGGCTCCTCCGAGAAGGAAAAGGACAAGGAAGCACCCAAGATGCCTATCCATACTAAACACGGAGAAACACTTGATTGGAATTATAGTGAGGAAGAGCCGGATTTTGAGAATTATGAATGGTTTAAGGTGCGTCGTTATTGGACTTTTTCTATTGAGGTCTGGGTGTGCTGATTGACTCGTGGTGGTGTGCAGGACCCACCTCCACCAAGACAACACGAGGTCAGAGATTACTTTTATCTTATCTCACTTTAAATTGTATTTGTTAAATGTGATGTGAATTCTTCAGTCAGATGCAAGTCCACCTGTAGTAGCGGACCCATATGTACCGGCTCCAAACGTCGTCGAAGAGAACGAACGATTTATATTTGCCCTTAAGAACGCACCTAACGTTCTTTACACACGATATAAGCAATACGGTCAAGTACGTCCATCTCCTCCCAGCGTATTATCATCGCACTGCTTAATACTCAATGCATTTATCTGAAATCACACATCACGCAAACAGCTCGGCGTCCTAGGCTGGTGCTCCGAGTTCAGCGAAATGATCGATGCACTCAAAGCCCTCGGCTTTCAAGGCAACATGTTCGTCTCCACGCGTGAACAGGCACTCAAGACCTGCGCCGATATCCTCCAACTTCACCTCGAAGTCAAGATGCAAATCATCATCATGTACCTTTCTTCCCAAGTTGCGCGTCTACGGAGGTTCCTCGATGGCGACGCGGTATATGACGATTACCCTGAGACGGAGTTCCCTATCGATTCGAGTCAGTATACGAATTGGTCGATGTGACGTTTGATTTTCGTTCCCTTTTTACCCTTTCATCTCGGTTCCATTCTCGCTATCCTACGCACACGTTCTCCGTTTTCCGCGGGTTCTCTTTCTGTTTGGTTACTCTTTCTCTCAATCTCTGTGGATGCCAATGTATCTGACATGCTTTCTGTTACGCAGTGATGTGATCTCGTCTGATCCGGTACCATGCATAAGTTCAAGTCATAAGTCGTAAATGCTCACGTTACTATTCTCAAATCCCCCCTGTATTCTTTATCAATTACAGACGTTTGCACACTTATCCTGTTTCACTACTTCTCGTTATGTGCTTTCACATCGGAACTTTCCCTTCGCCTTTTGTATCTGATTAGCCGAATGGAATACTAGTTTCATTGAATCGAACTTATTTTCCAACTTGTTCGCTCATCATGCAGTTAACCACCCACGAAATGAAATCCGTGCATAGGCTTGATTCGATTCGATCTAATTTGAGTCAACGACGATTTTTAAGTCAGAAGAAACCAATGCCAGCATTGACACTTCGGCATGTCGGAGTCAAAGTAGAGTCATTATAATTGTAGGTTCAAGACGCGCTGTTCGGAAGAACTTTTTGGCTGCCTGGACAGCTCCAAGTGGATTAGACAGTGGCAGAGGATTCATATTGCAGGTCTCGGGATAGCAGCGATACGTATCTGGCAAACATAACGCCTGGGAGAGAACGTCCCCTGACAGGAGTCATCGAGTACATCTCGAAGCGAAGGATGCTGCACGACAGACATAGGGATTGGGTAAAAGGAGTATTGGTGTGCAAGAGACACAAAGCAACTCTGTCCAGATGCACTGTCTATGTTACTATCATACTAGTTCTAGAATACTCAGTGGAAATCGAAGTATGTACAAGGCAAAACTAGTGTGAGTTTGTAGCTGGATTATTTATAAATTCTCTACAAGAATGCCTTGACAAGAAAATGTATGTTATTTCTTTGTAGCTGCCATAACTTTGACACTGAAAACAATGTACTACTATAGCATTTTCTTATGTGTGAAGAAATTCCATAGCCAATCGACCATCCTTTACAAGACTTGCAGGACAACAGTGGACAGACCCTTTTATACTATAGAAAGTGAAAGAAGTGAAAAAGAAAGAACTAGCTCTGAAGTATATAGTTCAGGAGAAAAATAAAAACCACAGCACCCAGGATTCCCGCGTGGTCCCCCACCGTGGTACTAACTGGGCGGCACCTCGGTTAACTGCGCAGATCGGACGGGATGCGGTGTTTTCGAGGTCTTATGGCCGTGGATACTCTTTAGACTCGCGTACGGACTATATCCAGCCTTTCGAGAAAACCGTCAATAATTAGAATAATGAACTCCGTCCGATTCCACTATCTAATACATTTACTTCCGGGGTCGAAAACAAAGGGCATGCAAGACAAATCAACGAAAGGGTAAGAAAGGAGAGTAAGTGCAAGTACATAAACAAGAACAGCTGTCGGAGAATAAGTCCGCAAGGAAACAGATGCTCTTAGATGTGCAGTACTACCGAAGCGATATCCATTTAAATCATCCAAATGTATCAGAGCCTTGCCTTCGTGCCACGCTTAGCGGCGATCTCCTTCGCCTTGTCTTCCATCTGTCGTCTAAGCAGTTTCCCACTGGGATTCTTTGGGATGACATCTATGAACTCGACACCACCCTTCAGCCATTTGTAAGGCACTTTGGAATCAGAGACGTGCTGCAAGAGCAGCAATGAGCACTGGGATATCGTTAGAATTTTGGAACAATTGTTACTTTCATGATAGACTTTTTAATCTTTTCGGCCTCTGCATTGCTTCTCCTCGCGCGCTGGGCAGCTCTGGCATCGAGCATGACGAAGGCCAAGGGAACTTCACCACTATAGTCATCCGGAATACCAACGACGCACACGTCGGATACGTCGGGGTGGTCCAGTAGATGGCCTTCTAACTCTGCTGGAGCTACTTGGAAGCCACGGACTTTGAGAATTTCCTACAGCAAGCAAATTTTACTAAATCAAAGAAAGAATCAACTGCGAATGATATCTAACCTTCACCCTGCCAACGATGAAGATGTCCCCATCCTTCGCAAACTTCACCACATCGCCAGTTCTGAGCCAGCCATCCACGAACGTCTCACGCGAGCTTTGCTTCTTATTAGTCTTGTGCAACGCTAGGAATTTTCCAACTGAGTAACTCACGCTTTCTCATCGTTCGTATATCCAAGTGCTATCTGTGGCCCGGAAACGTGCAATTCACCCTCCTCTTCGTAGTCCGCTAGCGTACCATCCGCCTTCACAACTCGCGCCGTACAACCCGGAATCAGTTGGCCCACACTTCCTGGAGTACCAATCCATTGCGTAATCGGAAACGCCGAAATAGCCGTCTCGGTCATACCTAGCAAGTCCGAGAGAAGTACTGTTAGCCCTCGATCCAAATAGAACACCATCTGAAATTTTGGGGAACAAGGGGAACAGTACGTGTCCCGTGAAGTGATTGAAAGAAAATATTGGCAGGTAGGAAGTTCAGAAGGTGTTGATTGGATTGTCCGACCCACCGTATCCTTGACCAATTTGAGCGTTTGGCAAGACTTTGATTAGCTGCTCAGTCAGTTCTCTGGACAAAGGAGCCGCTCCACTCATGCAAGATCGAACATGCGAGAGGTCATATTTCTTGACGGCCGGATGCTAAATCAAATATCAGCATATATGCACCTCTCATATTCGGTCTCTAACCACCTTGCAGAGCAGGACGATTTGAGGGGGAACGACACTTAAAAAGCATAAAGTCAATCATATGTCTGAAAAGTCTCTCAGGAACAACATACAGCAAGTGTTGAATTCTATACTTATCGATGCTCTTCAGGAAATCCACGAAGTTGAACTTCGGGATCACAACAACAGTAATCTGCGGAACTCCAATGGTAAGGTGAGTGGATGTTATGATATGTCACGGCCACGTACTCCGGAGAAGAGCAGGAAGTGTAACTGGAGGAAGAGTAGTAATGAGTTGCGAGAATATATTTTCCTCAGAATGACGTACATTAACGACCAGACCATAGATATCTAGTCACATGCGTCCATCAGCTCGTAAGGCAAATGTACTGATCAGCGAACTCACGGAAGAACGGTAGAACTAATTTCGCGCGTGAGTGAGCAAGCATCAGTAATAATGAGTACTATCACACACCTCCCACTGCGATGTCCCCTGGTCTGAAACGACGTTTCTCCCAAGTAGTGTAATCCTCATTCACTTTGTGATGCACCGCCCCCTGTATAACTTGAGAAATCACGGCGTAATGAGGGATAGCGACGGCCTAGAGGTAAAGTTTCCCGTCAGTCAGAACGATCCAAGAACCCTTCTTATCTAAATAAGAAGAACCTTCGGTTTCCCTGTCGTTCCACTGGAAAAACTGAGGAATGCTAGTTTCGTTTTTCCTTCTCCTGGTGCAAGTCTTCGCTCTACGAAGCATGTCGGTTTTGACAATCCTTCCTTCACTAGATCCGATATTGTTGGGAAAGGAATCGGGACCTTCGCCCTGAGCTCATCCATGAGAAAGATATGATCCGCCGCCAGTCCAGCTTGCCGTGCTGCAGCAAGGGCTGTAGGAAGACAATCTGGATGTGCCACCATCACAAATGCCTTAGCAGCTACGAGTTGATGCAGCAGCTCGTCGGCAGTATAAGATGGATTGGCGCATCTATATTTTATTATGAAAAGGGAACAAAATTACTGTCCAAAAACACACTTACGAGACTATCGCGCCGAGCCTATGCGCAGCCCATATAGCGACAGGATAATCTACACAAACGAATTCATATAAGAATGTGCAATTGTGGATTACATGCATTTTTTGCCTTACCGACGTGATTTGGTGAGAATATACAAACTGAGTTATGGTAAGCTAATGCACAAGGCTGCGCTCAGAAAAATTGTTACTCACCGACATCATTTTCACCTATAAAATTGTTAGTTATTATCCCAGACACCAATCAATAAGGGACAAGACGAACCAACACCATATCGAAGATGCAAAGCATTTGCTAACGCATGTGTCCGCAGACGTATCTAAACGCGCAAGTCATTTGCACATGGATATAGACTCGTACAATATTGTTATATACCTCCTCGAATTCAACCTTTCTCCCAGTACTATCTTCGATGAGCCATGGTACATTTCCTCGACGAATCGGTCGGTTAGGATGATTTGAATCGAGTATAAATTGCGCGGCAGTCAAGTCATCGGGAATCGGTGGACACGAGACGGCTGAGCGAAATTCTGGCATGAATGAAGTGGAGGGGAAATGAACAGTCCAGCATGCTTCCGTGTGCTCGGAGGAAGTTATAGCAAGAAGCTTACTCACGTACTGAGGCCGCCGATACCATGCATCCCTGGGTAGCTATGGCACGTGAGCGTGTATTCAATTATAAAGAAATAGAATTTTATTATTTTTAGACAGTTCAATTTTAGTTCTTAAGCATTCACACCTCACGCAATCAGTAAGAGCGAATGAAATCCATTCCAGATCTCCTCAACATTAATACTCCATAAAACAAACAAAGACAAAAAAGAGAATCATCAGGAGGAACAGTAACCTAGCTAGGAGATAGTAGGTAGGCATCGCTCGTACACGTACGAACGAACAGCACAAAGAAAACAAAAGAAACAACCAAAAAATGGAATAAGGTAGTCCGTCATTGGCATTAGCACGGTATCAAAATCATCAATCATCATCAGAATAAATAACAGATGGTTGCAGAAAGATAAGTCGAAAAAAAAAGGGAAATGAAGCGGAAGAAGTGTAAGAAAAGGAGGTTGAAGAAAGAAACAAAGCCCAAGAACATGTACACGGAACAAAGGGTATGAAATGAAATGCACAAAAAAAGAAAATATGCCAGGTGTTTAAACGCAAAACGCTTGCCTGTATGTAATAAAATAAACAGATCTAGATAGATGAATAAAACTTGCTTGGTAGTCCGAAGACGTGTGTGCGTGAGCTTGATTTGACTTGCTTCGAGTGGTACAACGATTTTTAGTTTAATTTGGAAAGTCAGGAGGAACTCAATGCGTCGTGATGCCAGCATAGACGCTCCAATACTCAGGAGTCAGAGTAGGGTCATCATGGCGTATTTGCGGGTCCAAGACAAGCGGTTCAGGAGAATACGCAGACTGCCTCGGCGGCTCCGGAAGTGGATTCGCAAGTGGCGGCGGAGAATTCATATCGAGGGTCTCAGGAAAGGAGCGATACGTATTAGGATAGTCGTAACGCCCAGGAGAGAGCGTTCCCTGAGAATAAACATGTGCGTTCGGAGGCGAGGGATGCTGCGCGATAGATACAGGGATTGCGTAAAAGGAGCCATGCTGTGCGAGAGAAGGGTGACTAGAGTCGTAATACGGACTCTGTATCATGTACGCAGAACCGTGCGGCGCTACGTTACTCTGACCGCTGTACACGGAATTGCGTGGGTCGTAATTAGAAGTGCCACCACGAATATTCGCTGCACTGTCTTCAGGACCATACATGCTCTTGCCCTTCCAAATACGATCCGCCTCCCAGGCTTCACGCGCAGTAATCGACATCATCTGTTCTGCACCAGCTGGGACGTCAGATACTGCGCGGCGTAGTGAAGCATGCCGCTCAAGCGAAGACACAGCATTCGTGCCAGAATTTACGTTACCATTCGCATGAGAGTTCTCGCCAGTCGGTGAAGAGCGTGAATCCGAAGAGTGTCCACCACCTGCATGTTTACTGTCTCTTCGGCGCGACGATCGTCGGTCCTTGTCTTTCTCGGTTGCATGTGCATCACCGTTGACCTGCCGATCGTCGAGACTCGACGAGCGCTGGTGCCGCAATGTACCGTCAATTGGAATGCGAGTGATCGTTACGGACGCCCGCTGACCGTCTTTCGTGCTGCTGTGTCTATGATGAGCACGACTCGAGCCATATACGCTGTCATACTTGTCATCCCTCCTACTATCACGACGGCGTGAACTCTTCTCAGGACTTGCTTTCTCCTTCTCCTTCTCCCTCTCCCTCTCCCTCTCCTTGTCCTTGTCGCGTCGCAAGCTCCGGTCCTTATCTCTATCACGCCTTGGAGCCTCTACGAGTGTCCACTGTTCCTGACCGACAGTAATTGCACTCGGTACACCTTGCATATAGCGCAAATTCTCCGATGGCGAGCGCACAAGCCTGAAGGTCTCCGTGGTAGACATGCGCTCCCTGTCCCTACGCGAGCTGCGGTTCTTCTCTCGATCGCGATCCTTGTCTACACCCACAGACTCCCGCTTAGACTGCCGATGTGAACGGTCCTTTTCCTCGTGTCTGGTTTTCTCCTCATAACGAGAAGTCCGTTCCTCTGCTCTCGCTCGGTCTTCATAATACGACCCCCTCTCATCCCCTCTTGGACGCTCCTCGTAGCGCGAAGACCTCTCTTCATGCCTCACCGACCTATCCTTCTCCACATCGCGTTCGTCTCTCCGTTTCTCCTCCCGCCGTGATTCTCTCCGTGCAGCACGAGCGGCTTTTTCCTTCTCCTTCTCTCGCTCCTTCTCCCTTTCCCGTTCTCGCTCCCTCTCTTTCTCCTTCTCCCTCTCCTTCTCCCGCTCCCGTTCTTGCTCGCGTTCCCTTTCTCGCTCCCTTTCCCTCTCCCTCTCTCGCTGCTCCCTAAGCCTCTGCTTCTCCCGCTCCGCCTCTATTTCCCGTTTTCTCTCTATCTCCCGCTCTCTATCACGCTCACGTTCCCTCTCCCTCTCGCGCTCGCGCTCTCTTTCTCTCTCCCGTTCCCGTTCTCTCTCCTTCTCGAGTTCCCACTCTCTCACCCTCTCACCCTTCTCACGCTCAAGTATCTTCGCTTCCTCCCTCGCCTTCTCCCTTTCACGTTGCCTCTCCTCCGCAGCCTCGACAGCCGCCAACTGGGATGCCGGAATCCCTTTCGCTCCAACAGGCGGGGGCGGCGCGACAAACGGGATCGTCGAAGGATGTGCCATCGGCGTCGGCGGATTCACATACAACGACGCACGACTAAGCGGCGAGTCATCCATATCCACGTCTTTCCCCTTCTGCACACGAGACAACCGTGGAGCTGGACTTTCTTCCTGTGTCTGTGACGTCTCCGAACCAGGGAAAGGCACAAAAGATTTCCGGAGTCCAGATTGCTGACGCAACGCGGCAGAAGAGGATGCGGCAGCTGCTGTTGTCGGTGACGTTGGAGATGCTGGTAAGGGCGGAACAGGCGGTGCGGGAGTCGGCGTCTCCACACGACGGTCGTAATCCGGCTCCGTAGCAATATCGGGCATGTTATCCATGTCCATCTCACTCGATGCAGGTGAGTCCATGAGAGTTGCAGGATCGACGAAGTTCTTCGCAGGCACCGGGGGCGGACTGCCAAGGTCGGCAGTTGAAAGTGACACAGAGACTACAGCAGGAGAGAAGAAGGATGGAATAGAAGGTAGGTTATAATGCCCAAGAGGTGGGGGAGGAAGCAAGGGAGAAAGCGGCGGTTCTGGGTCAGGTGTCGCAGGCTGAGGATTCTGGTGTTGAGTACGTGCAAATTGGGCATGTTCAGGTGTCAGCGGTAATTGTTCTGGCTCCTGCATCGGAGTGTCTTCCGGCGAATGATCTGGAGAATTCGTAACGCGCAGAACCGACTTCGGGCGCGGCTCTTCATCCTCAGTCGCAGAATCAGGCGAAAGCATAGGTGGGTTCTTTGGAGGTGGAAGGGGTGCAACAGACGACTGCGGTGACGCAGTAAGACCATTCGTCGCTCTCACAGGTGAAGCAGTCTCGGAGCCCGGTTGATCAGGATTTGCAATGGTAAGGTGACCCACTGTAAGCGGGAATTCTATGTCGATGGACGCAGACGTGCGGTGTGCCACGCGAGGTGGAGGTATACGTTTGCTGAGCTTCCTAGGTATGGAGACAGCAACAGTACCTTCCCTGATAGAAGACGATAATGAGGGGCGGCGCTCCCGTGCTCGATTTACGGCTTCCTCATTCCGTCGGTCCATGAAACCAGAGTGATCGTGCAACGGTTTGCGCAATACACTGAACTTCTTCCCAATGCGACCCATGAGACTCGAGCGTTTTTCTTTCTTATCCGTATTCGTAGGGACCGACAGAATATTCGTCGCTGTATCCATCATAGCGGGCGGAGCCGTTCGACCGCGCTTCGAAAGTTTGCGTTGTTGAACATTGGTCCCGGCAGACTCGTTCGATTCGCCTTCTACAGGTGTGGCAGGCGCAGATGCCGACCTCATATCCCTCATAACGTCATCACTAGACTGGGAGAAAAATTTGCGAATGCCAGCAGCAGGTTTGCTCAGTGTACGCTTGCGCGTCCGCGGAGGGACGGTCGCGTGAGGGGGTTCAGGAGTAAGATGCACGGCGGATGTCGATTGATGCAACGGTGACGGATTCGTAGGTTTTCCATTCGGACGCACCGAGCTTGCGAGCCCGGTTGCATTTATACGGGGCGGAGGCTGTTAAAAGTATAAAGTTAGAAACAAGCGTAATGACGAACCGGGGCAATATAAGATGTCGGAGCGCCGCGCAGATTGAGCGACATAAGTAGGGAAACACATACCTCTTGCGGTGCGGGTCCGTTAAGGCCGCCGACGTCATATGGAGATTGGTGATGCCAATTCATCCCTGACGGATCGGAGCCATCGAGCATGTCGACATTGTCATGTGCGGTATTGGAGAGCTTACGCGACCGTTTGGGAGGGTAACCATCACCAAGACGCGTTTGCGATGCTGTCGGGGTTGGGAGCGGCGAGCCTGAAGGCGTCCTACTCAGACCTGGCATACGACCAGCATCGACTGACGCGCCGATCGCAGTACGCGTCGGAGGGAAAGACGGGGAGAAGGTTGAGGACAGCGGCATTCGGGTCTGGGGTGGAATGAGATGGTGGTTCTTGTACCATCGTGGACCGACAGGGTTGTAGATATTGTACTTTGAGCGTATCTGAGCAACGTCCGGAATTTCTTGTAAAGGCTGAACGGGAAGAGAATCGGGGACGAGGGTAGAGGGAGGACGAAGGTTGTCGGCAGAGAGGGCGCGTTTCTGGCGACGGGCTGCCTGCTCTTCAAGTACCTTCATCGGTCTGCTACACTCACTATCCTTGTCGCTGGCAGTAGCCGTGTCGTCGTCTCGATCGCGGAAAAGCTTCTTGATTTCCTTCCGGCTGTCCGGAGCGGGCACGAGCGCAGGAGGCGTGGCAGAGTTAGAGGAGGTTGGAGTAGACGCAGGGGCAGCTGTCGCGCTATTACTGGCTGCACTCGCATTCCCAGTATTCGTCGTCGCGTTACTGCTGTTCGAATTAGACGCGGAGACCGGTGCGGGAGCGGGGCCAGAATTATTTGCGGCAGCCGGACCCGGAGCTTGGTCGTCCTTGGGCTTTGGAGAAGAGAATGACGGACGTCGCCACCTGGGGTTCGTGGCGGAGGGCTGTTTAGAGAGACGGCGGGGAGCATTGTTGTGCTCGTTGCGGGCGTCTGCCATATATAGGGCGTTTGCATCGAGCGGACCGTCGGTGCTGCTGTCGACTTGTGCTGCAGCAGGGTGCTGGAGGTGTAGCTACAGTAAGTTGTTGAATATTAGTTTGTGTACACATGTTTAGCCACCCGTGAGGATTTTCTCACCGTGCGCAACAACCCCGTCGTGAGTCTGTGCTTGTGCTCTCTCGGCTTGCTGCTGCTCGACGTTGTCCAGAGCGACAGACCGCTGCGGACCATCAGAGCTGGAATAGGAGAAAGAAAGTGCTCAGGCCGGCACGCGCAGAAAGGCTGCCGTTGCAGACCGTGCAAAGTCTGCAGTGCAGTGGCCTCGTCTAGAACTGTGATTGTTTAGCTGAGCTTCCGTCTGCCTCGTGCACCTAGGAGCTTTCATATCCCCGACTCTTCCTTCCTCTCTCTCTCTCGATTCTCCTGTGTGGTGTGCCTTTCCTCCTCCTCTTCCTGCCACGCCCATTCCGCCCGTCACAATACACAGCACCCTCCGTCCACGATCGGCGTCTTGACTTTTATTCCTTCCACTCTCCCCGGAAATTAATCACAGGAAATTATTATCCATGCCTCCCGACACACCTCAAAAACTCACAAAAAAGCAACGCAAATCCCTCGCCTTCCGCCAAAAAACGAAATCAAAAAAGGGCGGGAAAAAATCGTCAACTCGTCCCGAACCCGAGGACGTTCCGGAAATAGACATAGAGATCCTCGATGCACAGCCGGACGATCGTCATCAGCCTTCAGAAAATAACTCAGGGCAACTTGATGAACTCACAGCTTCGTCTTCAGGGGGGAAGGAGAACAAAGTAAAGGGAAAAGAGAAAGAGAAACAAGTAGGAGAGCTGGGTCTAAAACCGAAGGAACCACAAGCCTCGACGAAGAAACGTAAACGGACCGAAGCAGAGGAAGACGCCGTCGACCAAGCAGACTCTACAGCCAAGCCTAAGAAGAAGCGAAAAGGAAAGACGCCCGAGACAGACGAGAACGCATCTGCAAACAGTGAAGAGAACGAAAAGCCTGATACGCAAAAGAGTCGATATATCCTATTTGTCGGTGAGTATTGAACATTATTTGCCTATATGCACACAAACTGACTACATCATATCCATATGAAGGTAATCTAAAGTATACAACTTCAAAAGAAGCTATCCAAGCACACTTCGCCCACTGTGGTATATCCCTCAGCTGTCCATCTTAAATGTCATTAATCTCACTTTCTTAATGTAGACCCACCACCAATAATCCGCCTCCTCACTCCCAAACCTACCAAACCCTCCCCCTCTGCGACAACAAAATCAAAAGGCTGCGCCTTCCTCGAATTCACACACCGCAACGCCCTCCAACAAGCTCTCAAACTCCACCACTCCACACTCGACGGCCGACAGATCAACGTCGAGCTTACCGCCGGGGGAGGTGGGAAGAGTGCTACGAGGCTTGAGAAGGTGAGAGTGAGGAATCGGGGGTTGGAGGTGCAGAGGGTGTGTTTCTTTTCCCTTCTGTTTTCTTCCTTTTCTTTTTATTTCATGGATGTGTATTGATGAACATGCGATATGCAGACAAAACGCCAACAAAAAACATCCCAAACTCACAACTCTACCGAAACCAACCCAGCAGACAATCAAAATCACTCCCAACGCCACTCCACAACCTCCGGCACAACCCAAACCCAATCACCCACAAAACAACAAAACCGCACATGGTCCATACCCGAAGACGACGACTCTCCTGGCACACACCGCGGCGGAGTCAAGAAACGCGGGTCCAAGAAGAAAAGTACCAGTACCAGTAGTAAAAAGGAATGGGGGACAGGCGTTAACGCTATTCCGGTTGGATGATCCATCGGCTTGTCTTTCCCTTTACTTAAGCTTGGTTTTCGTTATCAGTATCACGCATTTTTCTCCTTCGTTCATGGGCATATATATATATCTTTATGAAAGTCGCATCGCATTTGGATTTCGGAAAAGCAGAAAGTCTAACATGTATGCTATGCTAACGCTAATGCTATGTTCACAAAAGAGTGAAAATGACCAACGAGATTAAGTAACGAAACGTCCACAGAGAAAATAAGGAGATCCACAATAAGACAAACACAGTATAAAGACAAAAGAGAAGAAGGGCGGGTATGGGAACACGAGGAGAGCAAATTCGTCGTCTACGATACGAGAATGAAGACCAAGAACTGTGGATAAGAAAAAGAAGGGGGAGCAAAATCGTCATTAGCATCGTCGCATACATCTCGCAAACCGGAAAAACGAAAAACGAAAAAAAGGTGGGATAGAACACAACACCAAAAGGAAACTGTGGAGCACTCAAACGATTGCCGAACTCGTATCGACACTCATTTAAGCGCCATGTGGAAAAGAAGGACGGAAGAAAAGTGAAGAGTGAAATGATGACTCACAAATACGATAAGCACACCGAAAACTTTCAACATCAACCACCGATTACTCGAAATACTCGCATAATACTTCAACAACTCCCTCTGCGCCCCACCAACATTACTAGCAATATCAATCGTATCCGCATCAATTCGCTGCACCGTCTCGTGTTGCTCCGCCACCATATGCGCTAATTGCTGAAAGATCTGTCCGAGCTCCGCAATTGTCGCTTCGATACTCTCAATTGCCGTAGATCGTTGTTGGATGTAGTCATCCTGTTGCTGTACGAGCTGCATTTGTGCGAAGGGACCTTGGGAGTTTGAGCCTGCTGTGCCTTCCTCGGCGGACATGAGATCCATTGCTAATACGTCGCCATTTGGACGTGCACGGCCTTTTCCTTTTGAATCGGGACGAGATGCACTGCCGTCACCCATTGGATCTCCCCCTCGAGGACCACCGAATAGTAAAGAGTCTACAAGAAAATGAACATCGAACGAAAATATAAGAATAAGCATACTACATACTTGCAGGAGCTTGATTTGCAGCAGCTGCAGACGTCGAGGACATGAACTGCTCCGTCCGATCCTTCGACTCCTTCATATTCTGCGTTCGAATTTCCAAGACATCCTTGAAAGCCATGCTCGTCGACGCGAGCTTACTCTGTAAAGACATGACGACATTCGTATTATGCTCATCAATCTGCTTGTTCGCAGGGTTCTTCCCACTCTGCACTTGTCGCTGCTTCAAGTATGCTTGTAGTGTAGCAATTTGCTTGTTGATCCCGGCAGTGTCTTGTTTGATGATGTACGTGAGTTCCTGTGGAAGAGAAGAGACCGATAACGATAAGTTATTACTCAAAATTTCAAGCTTGAGAGAAACGGGGTGCAAGTAAGGCACCACCGGATAAACGAAGGAGACAAAAAAAGAGGAGGGACACCAAAAATAAAGAAGACCAAAAACTCACGCTGATTTCCACAGGTCTATCATCAAACAGTGTCTTTCGCTTCGCAACTGTTGGATACATAGCATTAGCGAGCACGTTCAGAAGTTCTTCTAGCTAAAGCGAGCCACATGGAGCGCGAAAAATGTGAAAACGTGTTACTCACGTTGTGCTAATTTGTTCAGCTTTAGTGCCGTAGCACTGATATCCTTCCCAATGGCAGTTGCCATGCGAGTGAACTCGCTTTTTACATTTTCTTTCCCCCGCTGTCGTAATAGTCGTTGTCGCTGCTCTGCAGCGCGGGTGGGTGCGATGGACCGACTCCGTATGGACTCGACGCAAGCTCTAAACTCGTTTGTGCGGTCTTGAATAGGCATCGAGGTGGAGTGGAATTACAAAGAGTTGTAGATACGTCTAGCCGAGGATAATGCAAGGCAATATTTGGAATGGAGGAAGCAAAGAGAAATAGAATAATATAAGTGAGAAGAGAAGAATGGGTAGCGCGCTCGACGGTGGACACAGTGAAACGATGCTATCGAGCGCAGCTGTGCGTACAAGCTGAGTGACGTGGAGTGTGACAATAAACGGTAACTGTATCCCGCGCTCTTCCCAATTTCAATTTTCGCTGTCGATCACGACTTTCGGGTTCATTTTATTCTTCTCCCGGTCCGCGTGCCGTCGTCGGCTGACAAGCCCCAAATGTGGTGCTCGTAGATGCCGACGAAGAAGTTGTAAAGAAGTAAGAAAATTGATACTTTGTCGTAATCGGCACTAAATGCAGTGTGGATTGCTCGTAGGCGGCTCCGCAGACAGTTGTTCTCCTTTGTGAAGAGATTTTTAGGGGTCGAAATGAATGGTTGTCGACGGGCTGTTGGACGTGTTTTGTCCCGGAGAACCGGAACGAAGAAGACGATGAGAGTGTCCATGGCCGAAAATAGCAAGTCAGATCGCCTTCGCGTGGTGCTTGACGCGTTTTAGCAGTCCATGTTTCCTCTCTGTCACCGTCCAATCTTACGTTCGTCAAGGATAACAGCAAGGTATATAAGCACGTCCGGATTCAACCCAAAAGGTACATAGGAACTTTCTGTTCTTTCTTTCGCTTCCATAGACTCATATAGACTTTCTATCTTCGACGCGTTCTCCCCAATCCTTCGCCATGCATTCCCCAGCAGCATTAATTCACAAACCGCACTCTGTCTACGAACGCGTCTCCCGTCCTCATAGACCACGACCTCGTTCAGTTAGGTCCGCTGACAGTGTTTCGACGTTCGACATGCCGCATTCCCCTCATTCGTCTCCGCCGAAGACAAGAGTCTGCGTCATGGGCGCGGGTAACTTTGGTAGCTGTCTTGCAGACCATCTAGGCGATTCCGACCATGAAGTCTTACTTTGGTCGCGCTCGGAGGACCAAGTCAAATACTTTAATCAGCACCATCGCAATTCACTCTACCTTAAGGATCACGTTTTCCCCGATACAATCACTGCAATCGGTCCCGAGCTCCCATCCGCAGAGACATTGGCCAGTCTCGATGTACTCCTCTTTGCAATTCCTACTGAAGGCTTACGGTAATGATCTCCCTCCCTGCGTTGTGTAACTTCGATCTAACTTTGTGTGATTAGAAAAACCTTGACGGACTTACAACCCCGCCTCAACCCTAAAAGCATGCCGCTTCTAATCTTCGTCAACAAGGGTATCGAAACAAGCACACGAGCACTTACTCTTGAAATCATCGCCGATGCGTGCGGACCCGAAGTCGCAAAAGTCGCAACCTTCCTATCTGGCCCTTCGTTCGCTAAGGAAATCATTCGGAGGCAGCCGACTTCTGTCTCAATTGCCTCTTTGTCACGTCTGCACGCGGAGCGTGCATCGCAGGTCTTCCATCAACCCTGGTTCAGATGCTACATTGGTACTGATCCCATTGGAGTTGAGCTTGCTGGTGCCCTCAAGAACGTGTATGCTATTGCGGCAGGTATCGCCGATGGGCTTGGTTTCGAGAACAATACTCGAGCTAGTAAGTTTGTTTACTCAACAGCTTAGAACATTTTGAACTGACTTTTTATTTGTGTAGTGCTCATAACTCGTGGATTAGCAGAAATGACGCGAATCGGAGTCGCATATGGAGCGAATCCTCTTACTTTTCTCACGCTTGCAGGTGTAGGAGACCTCTTCCTGACTTGTTCATCACCTACTTCGCGAAACTATACTGTCGGATATCGGCTAGGCAAGGGCGAAAAGCTCGATGAAATCATTCGTACGCTTGGCTCCGTCGCGGAAGGTGTGACAACTACAAAAGGACTCAAGAAGGTTATTGACGAGCTTGGAGCAAACGCACCAATTGCGAACGGAATCTATGAGGTTCTGTATGAGAACAAAGACGTGAAGGATCGAGCGCAATGGTTGATGTCACATCCTGCGATGATGGAGTTGGATCTACCTCCACGTTCGAAGGGCAGCGGGCCAGTACGTGCGCTTCTGCACAAGCTGGGATTGGACGAGGATGCGGAGATAAAGACTTGCTGAAAGCATCCGTGCTTCCCTTTAAAACTCTGCATGTTTTGCAATTCAAAAAAGCAACCCTTGTATTTTTATTTCGCCATTTGCTTTTTAGATTTCGTAGCAAAAGTTCACTTACACACTTTCCACCTTTGTATTTGCATTTTATCCCGCTTAAAAACATTTTGCGATTGCATTTCAAAATGCTAATAATCTGTTTCTTGGGAGACTACCCATTAGTAGATCAAAGTTTTGTAGTATAGTGCGCATTGGCATGATCTAATGTATGATGCCCTTCCGCGTCGGACTGCCGCACGTCCGAAGCTCATCACTTGACCAGCCTGACTACGTGTCCATTTTGCTGGACCAGCTTAGTCGATAGGGATGAGTCGATGATGGCCCGCTACGGACAAATCGGAGTGAGGGTAATATTTGCCCAAGACAGGCGCATCTGCCACGGACACGTCAGAAGAGCCAAGATCTCATGAGTCTTGTTGATGGACAACTCTGGCTGTGTAGTTACTTGGGCGACTATAATGAGACGTGTTTTGTAAACATATGTAGTGTCATTGGATTTATACACTTCATGTTTTCTGTGGCAAAGTGTGTTGTCGGGCAGGGCCGGGGGGTGATAATGAATTGTCGGTGCCTGGCGATCGGACTTCGGACAAGTTATAGTCAGCGGCATGCTTTGATTGGAATGCTTATATAATCAAAAAATTCGTGGCGGTTTTGGCGAATTTTGCTCGTGACACTCACTCAGTCTTTCAGTTTTTGAGTTGAGAGTGTCCTTGCTCTACGTCCGCCGCTCCCTGCTTCCCCTCCATCCCCCACTTTATCGCTCCTCCAGAGCCGCTCACCTGCTGCTCTGTCCTTTGCTGCTCGATTGACAATGGTCTCGCCTCTCTGGATCGCTGCCGACAATGGAGACGTCGACCAGGTCCACCACTTGCTCACAGAAGCCAGTGCCATCGACATTGAGATCAAGGGTGCGTCCAATCGATATTCGGACGTGTTTCTCCTCCTGACATTTGCTTTTGCATTCTCTTTGCATGTTTTGTAGATGATACCGGCTCCACGCCGCTCGTGCAGGCCGCGAAACACGGACACATCGACATCGCCAGGGCCCTCTTGAATGCAGGTGCGTTATGCCCTTGGTATATTCACCAAGGTGTAATGACTCATTCTTCCACTCCAGGCGCCGACCCCACGGTCTCTACGAGCCATGGAAGCATTGAACAGCTCACCACGGACGACACTATACTTGAGCTCATTGCAGAGGCTCGTGACAAAAAATCACTGCCCGACACTGACTCATCAGCCCCAGCCCCAGTTCCCGTCCCCGCTTCCGCGCCCACTTCTGAACAACAGTATATGCCTCATGTGCCGGAAAGCTATTCGCAGGAATACCCTGCGTATGGTCAGGTGCCGCCGCATCCGGGCTCGTACATGTATTATCCACCTCCGTTCCCCGGCGCGATGCTTTCCGATGGCTCCCCCGCTCCATATTACCCTCCTCCACCCCCACCCAATAGCATGGCTCAGCCACCAGAGAATGCGGGCAACGGTAGTTTACCTCCTCCAGAAATTGCTCGATTAATTCCGTGTCGGTGCGTTTTGATTTCTAAAGTTATCCCAGGCTGTTTTTCCAACTCGTCTGACGTGTACCAATGAAATAGTTACTACCCCGCCTGCCGCTACGGGCCTTCCTGCATATTCGCTCATCCACAAGGACCTTTCTTCCCCGGTCCACTTCCGCCTCCAGCGCAGTATTCCGCTCCCTATGACCAAATGGTTCAGCCGCACTATGGCGGTTACTACGGTATGCCCCAACCACCTTACCCCCAGCCTCCTCCATCAGCAAACGTAACATCTCCACCTCAAAACCCGTCAGAGTCGCCTTTGGCACAGCCCCAGCACGGTCGCTCGGGATCAGAGGCTGTATCGCCGATGCAGACTCCTTTCAGCCCAGCGGGAATGCCGCCGCCGCCTGTACCGTATGGCGTACCAGTTCCAGGCGGCTATCCTCAGCATGGTCAGATGCCGGTCCAGCCGATGCCTATGGGTGTTTCCCCGTCCCAGCAGCCCGGACCCCAGCCAAACGGTGTTATTTACTCTCCCGCTTCGCCTGTTTCGCAGCCGCCCTCTATGCATAGGCGCGATCCATCCCTCCTTAACGGAGCAACGCAGTATCCGCAGATCGACAATTCTGCGACGAATCCTGCGCAGTCGTTGCAGATTCCGCCCCAACAGGATGCTTACGCAAACGTCGCACGACCGCATCTCCGCGAGGGAGCCAATCATCTCAGGCGCGGCAGCATCCGCCGAATGTCAGCCGCAGGCTCTGCCAACAACCGAAAACCACCGTGTGCGTTTTTCCCGTCAGGCAGGTGTCGTAATGGGTAAGCAGTATTTTCTAATGTGCTTGGAAGTTGGGTGACTTTGAAACTGAGAAATAATGTTGTTTAATTTTAATTTTATTAGTGATGCATGCAAGTTCCCACATATCCTGCCTGAATCTGGTGATGTTCCGCAGGGACATTACATGTCAAGATTCGCGGGGCGTGCGCGTGCACAAACCCAACCGCAGACTGATCAGCTACACGAAAAAATGGCGGAACTCAGTCTACGACCGGTTTGTAATCTTAACATCTTTACCCTGAAAGGCCGCTGATTTTCGGTATGTAATATTTACAGGATGGCACACCTAACACCTCCCAACCGAACGGACACATCCAACCAAACGGGTTTCCGCGACCCAACCACTTCAAACCAAATGGCGTACGCCACGAAAAGCGTGGGGGTCCGAATGGACGTTCGAACCATCAGCAACCTCAGCAGCGCTTACCGAGCGCGGATGACTTTCCCGTACTTGGTGGTACGATGACGCCGCCTGCACGTAGCCCAATTACAAATCCACTAAACGGACCAACTGCTGCGCAGGTCTTAAAAGCTCCGCCGCCGCCCTCCACGAAAAGTGACAAAGCTTCGTCGGTGCGCACGGGCTCCTCGTCGGGACCGTCAGAGAACGGGTCGGTCACGAAGGATCCGGACGAACCCCCAAACGGCGAGATTAGTGGCGTTAACGGTGTTAACGGCAATGGGATGAATGGCTCCGCTCCTGAGATCAAACCACTGTCGTTTGCTGCTGTCGCCACGGTCGCCACTAGCCCTGGTTCCGCTGGTACCGTCTCTGTCTCTGCGTAGAATTCGGTTTACTTCCTTCGGTCTCGCCCCCTCGCCTCTGACTGTTAGCTATCCCATATTCACCGGATTAGTTGTTTATGGACGCTGATGCTGACATTTCCTTTTTTATTGCCTTCACCTTGGAGGCTTTTTCTCATATCCGGCATCTTGTTTTTTCCTGACTAGTATTAGGACCTTTCGGTTTAAGGTCTTTTTCCCTGTCTGCGCTATCCCTCTCTGCTGTCATGTCTGTTGACTTGTGCCTCGGTTTCTTCCGCCCATTTCCGCGCTCTTTTTTCTTGGGTATAGATCATAATCTCGTCCATTGTTCTGCATTTTTTTCTCTCTTTCATGTTCTCTTTATATTTCTCTTCTATTATTTACCCTTCTTCATTACTTGACGCAAAATCACTCGCATAATCACCACTCCTGACTGCATATACTCGTGTTTCTTCTATTTTTCCTTTCACCGTTTTATCCTTTCATCTGCATATACTTTTCTTTTTCTTAACAACTTTTATTTTCATATTTTCATATCATGTCTAGCACATTTTTTGGCTTGCTGCTGTGTTGTTACATCTCTCCGTCTTCCGTCTTTTCTTCCTCACTTGTCCATTCTTTCTTATCTATATACATGATAAAAACTAGCATCGACATATCGATTTTTCTTTTCTTTTACTGTCTACACGCATATCTAAAAATGTAGCTAGCATTGTTTGTGTCTATCTGGAGTGTTTCGTTCTCCAGAACAATCTACCCGCATTAAATTACAAAAGAGTCATAACTCGTCATATATAATCGGTGTAAGCAGGCAAAAACATTCTCCCTTTTTAATTATTTTTCTTTGGCCATTTATACCGTCCACGTATCTAAACCCTTCAGTTCGACTCCCTTGCCAGAGACGACTTCACCGATTTCATGCACGACGGTTTCCCCACTTTCGTGTAGACTGCGTAGAACACTTTCGACGTCTTTACGCGCGACGACGAGGACCATACCGATTCCGCAGTTGAACGTCCGACACATTTCCTTGGGCTCAACGCCGCCCGTCCGCATAAGGTAGGAGAACACAGGCGGGAGCGTCCAACGGGATACGTCAACTGTGCATCCGAGTCCTTCAGGAAGGACACGAGGGATGTTATCTGTGAACCCTCCTCCGGTTATATGCGCTAGTCCTTTTACTCTATCCGTGCGTAGAGTGGGGAGGAGCGTCTTTACGTAGATACGTGTTGGCGTGAGGAGAGCTTCGCCGAGTGTTCTTTTTGCGTTTGTTGTTAAGGTTGAGTTGTCCCACGGACAGGGTGAGGTGTACGAAAGTCCCGAGAGTGTGACGATCTTCCGGACGAGTGAGAAGCCGTTCGAGTGGAGACCGGAGGAAGGGAGGCCGAGTAGGACGTCCCCTGCTGATATGTCCGATTTGGGAAGGAGTGAGGAGCGCTCGACGGCTCCTACGGCGAAACCTGCGAGGTCGTAATCACCTGTAACATAAAAATATCAGACAAATCATAATAAAATGTACGGCATATGATGGAACGGACGAACCACCGTGATACATTCCAGGCATTTCAGCAGTCTCACCACCAATAAGCGCACATCCAGCTTCAACGCAACCATCTGCAATACCCTTCACGACCTCACTCGCAACCGTAATATCCAACTGACTACACGCAAAGTAATCTAGGAAATACAGTGGCTCGGCGCCTTGTACGATCAGATCGTTCACTGACATCGCTACCAGATCAATACCTAATGAAACCAAAACACAAAAATAACAATAAATAAACATTTAGTCAGTAATGTCTTGTAATTGATAGGAATAATCGGAGTAGACTGACCGACAAAACGATGAATCCCCGAATCCATAGCCACCCGCAACTTCGTACCAACTCCATCAGTCCCGCTTACAAGCACCGGATCCTTAAATCCAAGCGGCTTAAGATCAAACGTCCCACCAAATCCTCCGATGATAGCATCTGAGCCTGGTCGTCGAGTAGCTTTGACAAATGGCTTGATGGCCTCGATGAAAGCGTTTCCTGTATCAACTGATACACCTGCTGACGCATATGTTAGGCCGTCTGGCTTACTCGGATTTGCTGAAGCTGAAGCTGAGGATTCTGCTTGAAGGGCGCTGTTGACGAAATAGTTAGTCACTAGGTCTTCCGTCGTGATTATTTTATAGGTGTGTGAATGTATCATACCGGTATGCGATATCTTTTCTGTATTGCATCCCTTCAAATGAGATCTTTGCGATCCCCTTGTATGCGAGGTCGACGGCCTCCTTGACTGAGGCAGCTGTTGCCGACACGGCAAGGACCCGCCCGCCGGACGTTACGATGTTACCATCCTTCTGTGAGGTTCCAGCGTGAAACACCTCGACGCCTTGCATAAAATGTCATCAGTTTAATCTATCACGTTTAGTTGCAGAAAAGAAATAAAGCATGCCTGACGGCACGTCTCCAATCTGAATAACCTTCCCCTTTGGATACGAGCCCGGGTAGCCTTGTGATGCGAGTACAATCGACGCAGCGAAGCCAGGACGGACTTTCACCTCAACCGAGTCCAGCCGTCGTTCAGCACACGCCTACAAGCATCAAAACATAAAGATTTAGAACACACCAGTAATAAAGAAAGGAAAAATGACAACATACCAACAAAATAGAAGCCAAGTCACTCTTCAGTAGCATCAAGACAGCCTCCGTCTCAGGATCCCCAAAGCGTACATTATACTCTAACACTTTCGGTCCTGATTCGGTGAGTATAAACCCAGTAAAGAGCATACCAACGAAAGGGAACCCTTCCCGACGCATTCCGTCAATAGTCGGTTGAAGTGTCTCCTTCACGATTCGTTCCATGACTTGCGGAGTTGCCACGGGAGCTGGTGCGTATGCACCCATTCCGCCTGTATTTGGTCCGGTGTCCCCGTCGCCGATACGTTTGTGGTCTTGTGCAGCGGGGAGAGGGACGATTGTATAGCCATCTGAGAATGCGAGGATTGAGAGTTCGGGTCCAGTCAGATACTCTTCGATGACAACCTGGCTTCCTGAAGGAGTGGAATCAACAACTTCCCTACGCCGAGTTAGACATCAAGCTCACCGGCTTTTCCAAATACATTAGAAACCATAATGTCCCGCAATCCCCCAATCGCCTCTTCAATCGTCTGAGGAATAAGAACACCCTTCCCAGCAGCAAGCCCATCTGCCTTGAGTACAGTCTGAAATCCACAGGTCTTGACATATTCTACAGCTTCGTCAAATTGCGATGCAGAAAATGTCTTGTATTTGGCAGTAGGAATATTATTTCGAGCCATGAAGTCCTTTGAAAAGGCTTTCGAGCCTTCCATCCTTGCTGCTCGCGCAGTCGGACCAAACACTGCGATACCAACTACAGTACACATTTTTAGATAAGAAATAACATAGCATATAGTCTGACCGGACATACCTTTGCGGAAAGCAGCTTCAATGCCATCTACCAGCGGTTGTTCCGGACCGGGAACGACCAAGTTTACCTGAAATTCACCATTTTAAAAACATTGTCGCCGAGTTTTAAACAGACGTACGTTTCTATGAATCGCAAAAGCAACAAGCTCCGTAAAATCAGGACCAGCCCCAATGTCGACGTTGGTCGTCTTTTCCAGTTGTGCTGTGCCGCCATTTCCTGGAGCTACGAATATTTTTTCAACGATCGGCGACTGACCAAGTTTCCAAGCGAGCGCATGCTCGCGCCCGCCAGCGCCTACGACGAGGACAGTGAGCTGATCTGCCATGGCAAGACTCGTTGAAGTGTGCTAGCCGACGCGTCGATGAACTCTTCAAATTTTGCGGGCTAGAGATAATCTTATCTATCCAAATGAGGATGTAGATAACAGCATAAACAGTAATTGTGTATTACATGGGATACGAAGAGTCTACAATATTGCTAACTAAACGTTACACTACAAGTGTACATAAACAGAGCGGCTGTGATAAGAGACTTAAAATGCATCGAGTGCGTGAATAATGAAATCATAATCTGCCATGCGAAACATGAGTAAAGGGACCAGTATGATAGGATTAACTTCGGCCAATATTCAGTTCTTTCAGGTTCTCTCCCGCTCCATCCACAATCTTCTCCTCGTCCTCTGCTGCTCGTCTCAATCCAGCAGCCAAACGTGGGACGGGTCGCAATATAGGACTCGCAAGAATCATAGACGCCCGCACAGTCGGAGACGAGACAACCGACGACGACGAGCCCGATCTGTGGTGACCATTTCCTGACAAAGGCAACGAATATAAATTCCCGTTGCCATTAAAGTAGCCTGATGCACTGTTGGAAACTGTGGGAGAGGACGTAGTCGAGTTTGTCTGTGATTGACTGAATGATTTCCGCGGTTTGAGAACTGGCGACCGAGGGATGACGATAGGTGAAACTAGATCGCGATCCTTCAGATGAGATATCGAGGGCGATACAGCACGCCGCTTCGCCGAGGGCGCATATGGGTCAAAGCGGTCTTCATCTGTCATTCAAATTAATATTAGCCTTCCTACAGTTCAATAAGACAAAGGCGCAAATATACATTTTCGTTTAGCTGTCCTGACCGCACTGCTTGCCGAAGTCGGTGGAGGTGTCTGGCGCCACTGCTGTGGCGGAACAACTGGCGGTGGAATTGCAGGAGATCCTATGGCATACATTGGCTGTCACAAATAATATTAGTCTCATAGAGAAACCTCATTAATCATCAAACTTACCACGTCAATATCCATTCCCGGGCTCTCGGAGATTCCTCTGAAGCATCCTTGGCTGCCCTCCGGAGTGCCAAGTACGCTCGGAACAGGAGTAGATGGCTTTGCGATGTTGATAGGATCGCTCCCAACCGGAACTTTGTAGTTGAATATCGTTGATGATACATCATCTTTAACTTCACCGTCATCGCTAGGCGTATCCTCCCTTTGAAACTCTTCGTCTTCGCCTGCCTCTTCCGGGAAGCGACCCCTATTGGATGCTGTACGGGCCGAGCGGGTGGGTCCTAACCCTGGCGGCAACCCGGAGAAGGAAGCCAACAGACGCTGGACCTGCGCCTCGTGTTTGACCTCAATTTCGTCCGGACGCGCCTCGGCTCTCAACGACAGCAGTCGAGCAGGTTTAGGCTAGTGACGGATAATTGCACATGTCAGAGTTACGATAAATGTCCACATATATTGATTCATATGCTTACGGGGGCCGACAAACGCCTGGGCAGCGGCAGCGAGTGCGAAGGACCAGGGGCATCTAGTATATCAGCGGGCGGCTTCAACGCGGACGCCGGACTTGCGGAGCGCGAGATGTCCATGGGCGATGACTTTGGACGTTCTGAGACCTCCTCCATGCGTGGATTATCGAAACGTATCTGGCGCATCGAGTAATCTGATTCACTCGAGGGTGATGAGCTGCCTGTCGTCATTCTATCCTTGTCCCGGAACCCGCCTCCCATGTCTTCTCCTTCGCCATCGCCGTCCATAGACCGCTCCTTGCCCTTCCTGGAGCTTGGATACGGAAGGGTGAACGTGTTTGCAAGCGGCGAGTTGACGCGTTGATCGAGTCCCAGCCACCAACTCGAAATCGTAGGACGCCGAACCTTCTTTAAGAGCGGTGTCGCGTCATCCTTGGACTGGTTCGAATCATCCAGGACGGAGGGTGAAGAGGAACTGGAACTGAGGGCAAAGTCGGATAGGGACGTCGAAAGGGACGGCCGCGGGGGTGTGGATGTGTTCATTGCGAGGTCCGTGGATGCTGACAACTCACTCTGAGACGAAGTACTCGGAACAGGGCGAGCCTCAACGGCGCTGTTGCTACTACTAGCCATATTCAGTTGTATCTTCTGTGAAATGCGTGTGCAAGGGGAAGAGAAAGTGAGAGGGGAGGGTGCAAGCTGGGGTCATTGAAAATAGCAGTAGGCCACTGGTATGTAAAGCAGCAGCGAGACCAATCGGGTATCGCCTCTTACAACCGAACAACATTGATCAAACCCGCAAACAACGCCACTGCAAGAACGGCATGCTTCGTATATTTTCTCAAGAGAAGCAGGACAGCAAAACTGGATTACAATGCAGTACGAATAAAGCATGACACACAAAGGTCGCAAAAATAGGAGAGAAGAGGTAGGATTAACTACAGTCCCTCTTTCAAGAACTGCCATGCAGTGAACGCCGTAGTACCAATAAGTCCTGCATGCAGGGTGGCAGATATCTGGTAAGTGAAGGACTGAGTAGATAAATCTAAGTTGAAATACCGACCAAGATAGCACATCGAGCCAATGACGGCTCCTCTCCTCTGACGCTGCATAAATGAATTACAGTAAGAATTTTTTGCGGCGTAGGAAAAACTTCGAAGGGCTGATACCTTCTCAGCGTAGCCAGTGGAGTAGTTAATCGTGTACAGGATTCTACCAACGACCCAGCCAGCGCCAAGAGAAGCTGCGAGGATGGGGTACTTCAAGCCGGTAATATGCATACTATAGTGCATGGGGAATCGTGAGACGCTCGTTTCACTGCACTCAGCAGACAGATTAACTCACCCAAGGAGAACATGAGGCGCATATTCAAGAGTATTTTGGTGTGCACCTAGTTTGCATATATAAGTGGGATGGTAGCAGTATGGCATTCGATGTCGCACTTACGTTGTGCGCAGTTGAATCGTTGGTGCTCGAACGATGCGGCGGCTTCGGCTTTCTCGGCATATGCTAATAATGGTGTATCTCATTAGCGACCAGCAATTATAATATGTGAAAGAAACTAACCTTGAGGATAGGGGACCTTGGCAGCAGCTCGCCTTATATTGACGTTGGCTTGCTGGTAAGCATTTAGAAACAACGACGATGCTGTTACGGCGATGACGTAGGAGTAACTGCATTGAGTATAGATAATAAGATATGGTTTGCACAAAGAACATAGATAATCCGATGATATGATGAACATACCCTTGCGGAACTTCAATGGAAGGCATTCTAGTTGGCGATCAGGTTTGAGGCTCCGAGACGCGGACACTGACCACCTCAGAACCATCCGAGCCTTTTATACATGCGTCCCTCGTCCAGGTCATCGTGATGACAGCAGGGAGATCGCCTAGCGTAAGTTACTAGCGTCTTCGGAAATCCGAATCTGATTCGAAGTTGTACCTCCATAAGTCAACATTGGCATGTTTTACATTTTATCCGTGTTGTTTAATAAACGTCAATTACGCTTGGACTGCCTAATACTTTTTACAGCATCGGAAGACATGTTTTGCATCTACAGTACAAAGATTGGTGGCACGACAGGCACAATCTAAGACAGCCAAGGCCAATAACATCCCTGCTTTCATACGCACATTCCACGATGTTGAGTGTATTTAGCTGGGAAGGCTCAAACAGGCAGATATCCTTCTTGTTTCTACACAGAGAAGACATCGATCCGAGAAACGTGCCAAACGATCCTCTCGGACCCGCCGAAATCCGATAAAGACAAGGACGCTATCGTTCTTCCTGCCATTCAAACAAATTGAGCTGTTATATTGCTGGAAGAGGCGCATATGCATGACAGCGAAAACGTCAATATTAATGAGATTCGATCATCCTGCTCCATCGCTGTCCAGTCCGATCGTCTGGGTTGTCTACATTGTTTCGCTTGTCAGGATTGCGAGCATCCACAATGTGCGTGCAAAGAAGTCGAAACTGAAAGGACGGCGCCCATCTCATTCGTCTGTAACTTAAAGCTGTTTGTGGGTATTTGCGGAGATCGACGTGCTGAAATGGGCCAGTTATCAACACGTGCCGCATGTGTACAAATTTTGAGCAGCAGAAGTGTAATTTGACTCCTGAAAATCACCATGTCAAAGCGCACACTTACTGAGACCCAAACATCGAGCGATGGGCAAGCATTCCCAAAAGTGAAAACTAATAGTGCACGAAGAGCAAATGGTGTTGAGGCTTCTGAGATGGGGGAGTTCGAGGATGCATGGGAAGATGAGATCGAGAGCGATGAGGAAGTCGTGGAGGGCAAGCAGGACGCTAATGACGGGGAAGGTAGGGTTGCTTCTCTTGTACGGGCATAAGTCTATATGTTCTTCCTTTAGGGATGGACGTAGATGAGGTACTTCCACCAATCGAGGAATCCGAGGAGCAACAACCAGAACGCAAAGACGTTTACCTTCCGGGAAGGCATGTCCTCGCCAAGGATGAGATTCTCGAACCAGATGACTCAGTATACGAAATGCGACATTCTTTAAACGTGGATTGGCCGTGCCTTTCATTCGATGTCCTGCGCGATAGCTTGGGCGATGAGCGACAGCGATACCCAGCAACTGCATATATCGTCACGGGAACACAGGCGGACTACGCAAAAAATAACGAGCTTCGAGTGTACAAAATGTCTTCCTTACACCGAACGCAAAAGGATGGTGGTAAGTATTTAGAGGGACAGTATAATCAAACGACATCCCAGTGACTATTGGTTCTGCCTCATTACAGACGAATCCGACTCTGACGAAGACGACAATAATGACGACCTAGACGAGGATGCTGTTCTCGAGCATCGTTCTGTGCCGCACCTCGGTGGTGTAAACCGAATACGCGCCCAACCTCTACCTCCTTCAACACCATTACCTCCCGTAAATTCTCCTTATTATGTTGCATCGTGGGCGGAGACAGGGAAAGTGCACATCTGGGACGTCCGGCCATTAATCGAATCGCTCGACGTTCCTGGTTATTCACTTGACAAAAAACGTTCAAACACGCCGGTGCACACCATAAACTCTCATGGCCGTGCCGAGGGGTTCGCACTAGATTGGGCCGCCGACAGCGCCAACCCAGCAGCGTTACGCCTTCTCACCGGCGACGTTCACTCAAAAATCTTCCTCACTACAACTACGCAATCCGGTTTCGTTACACAGAACCAGCCTTTCACTTCACATACATCAAGTGTAGAAGACTTACAGTGGAGCCCCGCGGAACCGACTGTTTTCGCATCTTGTTCCGCGGATCAGAGCGTCCGAATCTGGGATATCAGAATGAAAGGGCGGAAGAACGCACTTGCTGTCACTCCAGCACATGAGAACGACGTCAATGTCATCAGCTGGAACAGGAGCACATCGTATCTTCTACTTTCTGGCGGAGACGAAGGCGGAATCAAAGTATGGGATTTACGGAACTTCTCCAAGTGAGCCTCTTTCTTGTCTTGTCCTTATTTCGCAACCGAACGATAACTGATCGGCTTCTTGTCTTAGTTCCAAACCTACACCATCCCCGGTAGCGTGCTTCATGTGGCACAAAGCTCCTATCACTTCGATTGAGTGGCACCCGTCTGAAGACTCGATCTTCGCAGCTTCTGGAGCAGACGACCAAGTCACGCTTTGGGATCTAGCGGTTGAACAGGATGATGATGAAGCAGGTGTGCCGATGGAAGACGGGAGCCAAGACAATGTACCGCCGCAATTGCTGTTTGTTCACCAAGGCCAAAAAGACGTCAAGGAAGTCCATTGGCACCCTCAGATTCCTGGAGCCGTCATCAGCACTGCTTATGACGGGTTCAATATATTTAAAACTATATCTGTATAGGGTGCGGTTCTGCATAGAGTTACACATAATCTATGTATTGTATGCGGTCTTGTCCAGGAGTCAGTAGAGTGCGACGGAATTATTCCCTTTCGGTGCACGAATCTAACATGACAGGAGTTCAATCAAAATGGACATCATATCGACGAGAAGAAATTCTCAAACCTTTGCAATGTTTTTCTGGAAAATATTAGTCATGACAGCGTAGAGGTTCCGCAAGTCAAAGAGATTTGACCGTGCAGTGTATAACATCTTCTCATCGTGCTCTTTCAGGGCGAGCTTGATAGACGTTCGATATTAGCTCCCGAACACCGTTGATGGATCTATTCAGACGGACTTACCGGATAATCCTCAACGTTTGGGTATTTAATTATCTTGGAACAAATTTTTGCCCTAGTTTGGTGATGTTGTCTCGCTGTGTCACGCAGGTTGTATGCACTCTGCTGACAACGGTTTAGCTCCGCCAGTGCCTCTATACTAGAGTTAGTACGGCACAGAGCAATGCAGTAAAAATGCAATCACCTTCTTGAACGGCCACACCAAAGTTGTCGCCGCTTTCCCCCGAGTCAGTAATATTGAGAAACTCATTTGAGCAATATGCTTACTCCTCAATTCTGCGAATGATAGGTACATTCGTTAGGGCTTATCACATGCGTTATTAATTATGAGAATGCTCACTTCGGCATAGTGAGTTGGATCCATATCGACACGTCATCCTATCCAAGCTAGATGAGACGAAGGCGCGCGTTGACGCAGGAAATGAGACTCACACAAAGCCGAGCAAGCTCCTCACACTCCTTCTTTAAATGAGCGTGGACCTTCTCGATGTGCTTATTCGCGTGTACGGACTCAGCGTATCGCGCATTCTCGGTCGTTGAGACAGTATTCTGGCTTGCGCCATCAGCCACTTTGCGTTTCTTCGAGTCAGGGCGCTGTTCTCTCGAGGGGCCTGGGTATACCGTGGCGTCGGTCGACGTTGCTGCGTGTGAAAGGTGGAAAATTGATGAGGGATCAGAGCTCGAATCGATTTGTTCTTGTAGGTCTCTGCGTGGCGTTCCACATTAAAACATCACATTAAATGTTGAATTGAGAAACGCACAATATCTGGAAGACAGAATGTTAAATCGCTTTATGGGTGATAATTAAGCCGTCGCGTACCTTTTGAGGAAAGATAGTAAAAACTACATTCTCAGCGTTAGCGGCAACTTTCTCATGGTATGCCTAGGTAATGTGTATCACGAGTCGGTATCCGTTCAGATCCGTAACAAGTGTTATTGACTCACCTCCAGCTTCTGGGTGAGTCCAGGAGACATAGACATGACGAGTTAAACTCGTTGACTCGTAGTGCAGAATTAGATGAAATCTGAGTTATCGCGTCGAGTAAAGTATCTCAGGGGCTGCTAAGTGGCGGCAATAGGCTTCAAGACAAACAGCTCCCAGGAATAACCAGGTGGTAGAATGTAGGGGTGGCCTTCAGGAAGAAGGCACGCGAAGCGAGACGCGCAGTGCGCACACGCGAAGCAAAGGCACGTGCTGTCCTGATTAGTCATCATAGCGCCTTTGGTACTCAAGCTGGTCAGTGGTGTCTGCGAAGCACAACGTTCAGTGTTCCTGTTCACCCAATCCTCCATGTCAAATCAGGTCTGTTCTCTCCAATCCGATACAGTACCCACTGACGTTATATTAGGATGAGAATTCTGTCGTTTCGGCACTTACGGGCTTCTCGCTGGACCACGTTCTAACAAGCTTACAACTTCCGTCCGGCCAGAACCTTTCAAACCAGCTTGGTATATCTGGGATCCCGTCACTCAATTCAAAGCAGATATATAACGACAAATGGGATGACGAGGCTATTGGAGCGGAAGCTGGAGAGGATTGGGAAGATGAAGTCAACAGGGAGATCGCGAACGAAGCAGACGATGAGGGTGACATCGCCGTCAAGACGGAAGCTCAATCTCCCGAAGCATTTCGGATGCGGGAGAAGAGAACACGGACTGTAAAGCGGCTCGTAGAAAGACCAAAGACAGTATACGAGCGATTTCCTGCTTTCGAACAAGGCAAGATTCTGGACTTCACTGAACTCTTCAAGGGTCAACTTGTCAAGAAGCCACGCGCAATTAGGAAACTTCCTGGAGGTAAGTGCCGTGCGATCTGTTTTGGTGACCCCTTTAATAGCTGCATTAGTTGTGACTGTTGAGCCGCTGAGAAAGCCGGACGCAATGAAAAACGTGAAGGAGATTGTGGGTGCTGCAAAACGGCAGGTTGAAAACAAACTCGTTGAGGAGGAGGTGGCTGCCGGGAACGTCGAGTTTGATCTTGTTAAGGCGCTGGAGGTATGTCAAAAATTCTCGGACAACCTACCGTTTACTAATATCTAAACGAACTCAGGATCTTTCCCGTTCGGATACACCTACTACACTTTCGTTGCATGATCGCTCGTTTGACCTCGTCTTGCTATCAAACTGGGAGGATCAGATTATCTATGAACCCGACTACAACCAGGAGAAGCAACCATCTCAGCCAAAAGAAATGGTAACGGCACCCGTGAATCATGCTTTGGAAGAAGGTTCCTGGACACAGAGCATCATCTGGGATGCTAAGACTCCATTCAGAGACTTCACACACCTCGAAGTAAATGTTGATGAAGAAAATGCGGAAGAGAAGTTTGCAGGTATGTCGTTCACTGTGGCTTAGAAAGATAAAAATGCTGAGCTACTATAACAGAAGTACGACCTCGAAAGAGGAACCGACTCGATAGTGGACATCAACGCGACAAATTTAATCTTTCGAATGACCAGTATTACGAAGTCTCTAAGGATGGCGGACGACACCGTGTTCGGCAGACCTTTGGACAATTGGTTGTTCAACACGCATATCCAGCCCAGAAGCTGCAGCTTCCCTTCGTAAGCATTGAATCGTACTTGTGGTACTGATGGCAAGCTCATGAGACCCGTAGTATAAAACTCGCCTTTCAAAGCAAGAGGCTCGATCGTTCCATCGTCCCGCGTTGCAGTTCCCAACGAATATTGAACTGCGTTTCAATAAAGTTCGAACAGCAAAGAAGAAGAAAGATAAAGCAGGACGTAGAATTGGTAAAGGAGGTGACGTTGCGGAGGGGTTACGAAGGACGAGCGATTTATCTCTTAAAGACTCGAGTAATTTTGTTCTCTGGGAGTTCTCGGTACGGTGAAAATTTTTCGAATCGTCACACAGTGACTTAATTCTTCTTGTACAGGAGGAACATCCGCCGATTATCTCAGATTTTGGAATGGGAAGCGTACTTGTGAACTACTACCGCAAGAAGGATGACAAAGACGAGTATATACCGAAGGCTGATCTTGGTGAACCATTCGTGCTAGAGCCCGGCGACGAGTCTCCATTCATGAAGTTCGGCTCCGTCTACCCAGGCCAGACGGTCCAGGCATTATACAATAATCTGCTTCGCGCGCCCCTCTTCCGACAAAAGGCGTATCCTACGGACTTCTTGGTTGTCCGGAATACGACGAGAGGTGAAGCAACGTACCAAATTCGAGAAATTAAGTCGTTGTTCGTTGTCGGCCAAACTTATCCCGTAACGGAGGTCCCTGGACCGCATTCACGAAAGATTACCACTACGATCAAGAATCGGCTGCAGGTTATCGCGTTCAAACTCCTGAAGAAAAGCCAGGGTGAACGATTAAAGATCTCGCGGTTAATGAAGTATTTCCCAGACCAGAATGAGTTGCAAATGCGGCAACGGCTTAAAGTTCGTATTCCGTGATATCCAAATATATTCACTCTGATGTTGCTTTTGACAGGAATTCATGGAGTACCATCGTAGAGGACCGCACCAAGGATTTTGGAGACTAAAGGAGACGGTAACAATACCGTCGGACGGTGACATGTTGAAGATGGTATCTCCCGAACAAGTCGTTCTGGCTGAAAGCATGCAAGTTGGGATGAGGCATCTCCAGGATGCTGGCTACGGGGGAGCTGCAGAAACGGCAAAGGATGACGACGAATCCAATCTGTCCATTGAACAGCAGCTTGCGCCATGGATTACAACAAAAAACTTCTTGCAAGCGACCCAGGCAAAGGCCATGTTACGACTTCACGGTGAAGGGGATCCAACAGGACGGGGCGAGGCATTCAGCTTCATTCGTGTCTCGATGAAAGACATTTTCGTGCGAGCGGGTGAAGATTACGAGCAGAAAATGGGTGAGATAATTTGTCTGCTTTTTAGTACCCTTCGATTAATTCATTTATTTAGCTGAGGCGGATAACCGACCGAAATCAGCACATCGTTACAACGTTGCCGAACAGCAAAATGTTTACAAGTCAGAAATCGAGCGTATATGGAAGGCCCAGTATAAATCCTTAAGTCGTAAGGATGAACCGCAGCTGACGGCAGAAGACGAGGATCGAGCAAATGCTCAGAAGCAACAGCTCCAGCGCAGTAAGCCCAAACTTGAAGACTTGGAGCACCCTCCTAACGCTGCGTCTCTGACTGGCCCGTCTCGAAATTCAATTCTTTCAGGTTCGCCTTCTCCAAGCCGTGCATCATCTCTCGACCGCGACGTCAGCCTTGGACCAGAGTCCAGCCAACGAGTTCTCAGGATTAAGCGTTTCGTAGATGGCGAATGGGAAATGGAGATTGTGCGGGATCCAGCCGTCATCCGAGCATATGTGCGGAGACGACGGATTATTGAAGAAGAATCTGCCACTGCAGATCAACTAGCACCTACAGGCGATGAAGAGAAGGACAAACGAGCGAGGAAGCGGCTGGAAGAAGAAATAGCACGCATGAAGAAGAATCAGGAACGACGATTACATCGTAAGAACGCGAAGATTACGAAGGAAGGAGGCACGCCATTGCAGCTGAATAGACCAATGAAGCCCGATACTACCAGGCGATGCGGTCATTGCGGACAGATGGGACATATGAGTAAGCTAACGTTGAATAACTGGTTACATTGCGGTAATGCTGATTGAATTTTACAGAAACAAACAGGAAGTGTCCCCGTTGGGCAGAGTTCAACTCCGGTGCCCCTCCCATAAATATGCCAGCGTCCGCAACGAGTTCATCAGGCTCTGTCCCCGGTGGTTCAGCCATGTCTCCTCCTAGCTTGCATGGTTTCCCTGCAGCCCCAGCCGCAGCTTCCCCTCTGTCGCTCCCTTCTTCGTCGTTCGCCAGGCCTGTTGGCACGTTTGCGCCTTCTCCCTTAGCGACTAGCCCGCCAGTTATTGGCATGGATGCAGATGATGACATGATGCAGCAGCAGCAGGCATCGAGTTCAACAAAAGTAAAACTGAAGATATCTAAGACCTAGTTCTTTCCATACCACGTGTGCTGTCAACTGTTCGTGTAGCCCTAGTTTGTATTTGTTGTAACCTCAGAAATTCAGAATGTTATCGAGATATTACCTTTGTTCAATACTTGACATCCGTGAGTTACGTGACGAGCACGTGGTCACGTAACATTTTGTCTTTCTGACTTCAAGTTCCAACGCGACTTGACTTGCGAACAATGCTGGCTGCCCGAAGTTTCGCGCACCGACGGTTTACACCTCTGCTTGCACGTGCTAATGCATCTCTAACGACGAACACCGCTGTTTCTAACAATACTCTACCACCAGAACTCCCTTTACATTCCGATGTCAAATCGAAAAATCCCTCCACAGACTCAGGCTCAGGTCTTGCAGCTTCTAGCACTTCCACAGGGGCTGACAAGGCAGCTACTACACCGAATATCAATGAAAAAGCTGAAGGCGGTGAAGGTGTGCGAGGCAGGAGGCGTAGACGCGTCGTGAAGCGACGCCCACCAATATCGTTGACAAACCCACGGAAGTGGAATCCGCCCGTGAAACCAGGCTCGCTGCCTGTATACGACGAAGCTCTTAAACTCATTCAAGAAGACTCGGTATCTCTGAAGAGAGATCTCAAAACTCTACGGGCCCGTGTAACTGATCTGGAGAAGGACACTGCAAGTCTGGATGCGGAGACAGAGAAAGAATTACAAGCGCTGAAAGAGAAGGCAAACGTTTTGGAAATCCAGAGTGAGATTAATCTCCCATGGGTGCGCTGGTATGCAGCAAATGGCATGGGTAAGTTACTGCTTAGACTTCTTACAAACAATGTATTCATTCGACATTCCCAGCGGACTTGACGAAACCCGTGTATAGACGGCTTGTGGAGCACAAGTGGAGAAACTACGGAGGTCTTGATCTTCTCGTGCGTGATTCTCATTTCTGTGATTCCACGAATGCTCAATGGTTGTCATGTAGATGGAGCGGATCCACCAAATGCATGTAGTTCCGGATTTGCTTCCTTCTGTGCACCCTTCTATCGATCTTCGTGTTTCGTTCCCGGAACCGCCACCTCTAAGCACCTATCTCAGGACTAGGACGAGGAGAAAATACAAGCCTGTCGAGCCTGGTGTATACTTGCTACCCGAGCAGGTATGTTCAACCATTTTCGGAGACGCAATCCAATGACTAAAATAATCTCAGACGAGGCGAGCCCCTCGGCTATACACAAGCGTTTTTCATCCAGAGACCCGGTATTACACCCTCGTCCTTATAGATGCTGATGTCCCGGACCCAGAAAATAGTACTTTTACCACATACCTTCATTGGCTACAGTATGTCGGATTTCTGAGGCCTCATAATATGCAAATACTAAAGACTCCTCGCACAGGCCGAACATCGCGCTTTCATCTGCATCATGTGGACATCTGCCGACAATTCCGCACACGAAATACATACCTCCACATCCCCAGCGTGGTTCTCCATACCACCGGTACTGTCTGTTTCTTCTCCCGCATGTGAATGCCAGCGAAAAGCTCTCCATACCGTCGGTTTCGGACGAAGCTCGCATCGGTTTCGATGTGCGTGCGTTCTGTGAAGAACACGGCCTTGATGCTAGCCAAGGGGGTGGAGCACACATGTGGCGAGAGGTTTGGAATGAGGCCGTTACTGACATTTACAAGCACACGCTCAGTACGTTGTCTTCTGTCATTCACGCCTCCTAGTGCTAAGTCTAAACCGCCCCAGAACAACCGGAGCCACGCTATGGATTGCCTCCTCGTGCTGACCCGTACGCAGATGTGAAAACACTCAGGAAGTTTTCAAAATAAGGTGACCTAATGTTTGAGACGGAATTACACGTAGTGATTTTACTAAAGCAATTTAATGGAAAGAACACCCAAAAAAGGCAAATAACTCCGAAGACTGCGAAGAACCATTGATCATCAACTCTATCTTGCCTTGGCTCTCTTGGCAACATTGGCCAAGACTATCGGAAGTGCCGGTTAACTAGGGTCCCTGGGAAGCGTCAGCAACATGACATTTCAATTATGAACGCACGGTCCTCATTTAATACAATTTCGGGATTACGACCTTATCAAAGCATGTTTGCCAAGCTTGAAATTACGGACCTAAGGATAGTATAAAAATAGGTGTGCGATGCGCAGCAAGTTGTCTGTGAACACTGAGAACGCCGCGCACGCGCACAGCGACGTTTGGCGGGAGTAGCATGCGAGGTCAAGCTCGTCCTCTCAGCTGTTTTGGTTGCCAGGGAAAATCGGAAATCAGCCCAAAAAAACTGGTCGAGTTCTTGTCGGTGATAAGGTGGGATTCAGGGCGGACAAGAGATGCCCAAGAAGATACCAAGGCAAGCCTTGACAACACTACAACAATCCACAATTAGGGACAGGAATTGTAAGGGATACATTGAAGACAGGGAAGATGATTACCTTAGCAGAATCAGCAATGCTAAGTCCGCCGAGAATGATAGGTATAAAGAAAAGGTCTTGGTGTTGTAGTGAAGTCTTAGCCTGCTAGATCCTGAGAGAGGGCTCCTAATTCGGAGATAAACTCGTTTACTGTGCAATTGGAGTAAAGCTTCCCGACCGAACAGAACCTGTGCACACCAGACTCTTGGCCTACGCTGAGACTCTTGGCGCAATGTCTGCAAAACATGAACGTTTGTCTTGTGGTCTTGGACCTGTGCCACACCAACACGCCGAGAAATTTGATGCTATTTAACCATGTTTTTGACAGCGGTCTTGGAATTGCTTGTCCGCCCTGACAAGGTATGTTATACTGGGGACTGTCTTAGCAGTCTTCTTGTCCTGTGAAGAAGCAGCCTTAAGTCAATGTCACCCCGAATTAGCACAGAGACTGGATTGGGACAGGAGGCCGGTTTAAATGATGGAACCCGAGGAGGTCCAGAAGGCGGAAAGGGAGGAAGGCTGAGGAATCACGGCTATTTGCGACATGCCAAGCATTTCGTGGTGATGCAATTTATGGACGTGCGATCTGCACAATAATTGTCTGTGAATATGCTGAGTGCATTCAAGAAATCTTGAGACGATGAGGTGAGACCTACAACGTCGGACTGAATTGAAATTGAGGCTTACAAGCCCACCGCTGCGAAGCGAGGAGGCACATGAGAGAGGGAGAGCTCGATCGGAACCGGGATCTATAGCGAGAAAGGTCTTGGCCTGCATAGCATGGATATATGACAAATATGACAAATTGCCGCCGAGCCAAAGCCGCAGAAACCGTCGCTTTGAACGTTATTATTTTGGAGGAAATTTTGAAGGCAAAGACAGAGCGGCGAGCAGTCAGAACAGAACTTAAATGGAGACAGAGAAAATAAGAAAATAATTAAGTTGGTGAGCGTGGAAGAAAAGGGAGTGTGTCATAAGCAGAATCCGCAGTCAGCAGGAGGGATTGACCTGCTCTTGGGTCTTCAAATTATGCAATGCCAAGACATCAGTACGTCGCCATTTCATACAAATGGACCGCATCTCTCACTCATTCTGTCCTTCTCTTTCAGTGCCCCGCCGTTGTCTCGCGGTCCGTCAGACCACAGGACGCTCATCCCGCTCTACGAGCTTGAAAGCAATCTTACCGCCATCACAAACCCTTACTCCCCCATGCTAGCAGTCTCCTCCCCACCACTTCCACCCACCACCGGTCAGCCGGCTACTGTGGCAGCACCGGCTGCTCCGACGCAGCCCGACGAGTCAGAGAAGGAGCGCCAATCTTCCCCGCCAGAACCGTCACATGCATGTCTGTGGGAGGCTTGCTCGCAGACCTTCAACGACCCAGAGCTGTTGTACAACCACCTCTGCAATGACCATATCGGCCGCAAGTCAACGAACAACCTAACGCTGACATGCAAGTGGAAGGGCGACTGCAACACCACTTGTGCAAAGCGCGACCACATCACCTCACATCTCCGCGTGCACGTCCCGCTCAAGCCACACAACTGCGAGGTGTGCGATAAGAAGTTCAAGCGACCTCAGGACCTCAAGAAACACGAGAAGATCCATACGGAGGCGCACCATGCCCAGCATAAGCACTCCAAGGCAATCACCGTTGCAGATCCTGCCTTCGCACAGCGCGTCCAGGGCGGGGATCCCACCCGCCTCCTCGTCGACCGCCGTGTCACCGCGACTGACTTGCTATATGCGGCCCGTCCTAAGGCACCGTCCGTCTCATCGCAAAGCACGCCAGGTTAGCAATCTCTCACATCTTCTCATTACATCCAGTCCACAATGCCGTATATTCATTTTATCCTAGATTTCTCACCATCCTCCTCGTCGATGCTTTCAATCTCATCCCTCTCTCCAGATACAGGTCTCCTTCCAACACCGTCCCCCGAGCTGGGATACTCGCATCCGCACGCTGCCGCACACCGTGCCTCGATTCCACATGCCCATACCTCCGACATATTCCTGCAGCCAAATACAGTTCCGGCTCACAGTGGGAGTATCGGTCCCTTGCCGACTTGGGAGGTCTTACGAGACGACGTCGCGTCTAACTCCGCTCTGGGAGGACTTGGATCGGGTGTCGGCACTAAAAGAGGGCACGACTCAGTCGAGGACTTCTTCACGGACATGAAGAAACGACGTGTTGCTCCAAGTTACGATCCGCGTCAGTATCTCTTTTTCCTTTCTCCTCCACTAGTCTGCGATCGAGTGTTTTGATGCATGGTTTGCTTTTCCCGAACCAAGTACGCTAACTCGCGCCTCTCCCTATTTCTGTTCAGACATGGCAGAACGTCTCTCGAGCCTTGCTTATGCACACCAACAATACGCAGGCCTTTCATCGTCTTCGAGCTCACAGCAGTCACACCAGCATTCTTTCAATCCGCGGTCTATTTCTTTAGATATTCATACGCCAGAAGAGCTTGCGGCGGTGAACGAGTTTCTGCTCACATTAGGAAAGGACATTACCTCTATTTCGCAAGCGCCGGCCCGGCGACACCAGCAGTCTACTCCGGACTATAGTGGCAGTCAACAGGCACACCACAGTGCCCAAAACCAACACCAAGTCGGTGCCGACATCGGCTCCCCGGCATCGTACTTCGATCCTGTCAGTCTGTCTCAACTCGGTCTCGCAAACATGCCAGGCATTCCGTCAATCCCGTCCCCCGCGTCCGCGAGCTCTTCATTGTCAAGCTTGTCTGCATATAGTGGTGACTTCAGTCAAAATTATTCTCCGCCCAGCCGTGCACGGTCGAGTGGCCAAGGATCTGGGCTTTACCCAGGCTTGGAAGATCATCCGAACCGCGCGGCGTCCAGCTCTCGGTCCAGCTCCAGCTCTGCTTCGTATCTGCAGACGATCGCTCTATCACCTGTTGATGCACATCCGCCCCCACCTCACTCGGCATCATCCTCAGGAGCTACACCTACCAAAATGTATCACAGTCGTATGCCATCCGGCGCTAGCTCCACCTTCCGTCCAACACCCCCGCTCTCAAGCGGAAGTCCCACTGGCTCTGGCACGCGGTCGCCATCCCCCCTCAGCATCTCCAGCCACTCGGCGTCCGCGCAGCTCCACGCGTACACGCAGCAGCACCGGGTGAGCGGCATGGCTTCTGAGCCCGACGGCGCGGCGAACTTTGACTTCCTTGTACGTCCGAGCGCCGCCTCGCAGGAGCACCCGCAGCTCGCTGCGTACGAGTCTTATGGCGCACGGAGATTACAAACCGTTGTGCCATTGAAGAGCGTGCCCGGACGCGAGCGTGAAGATGATGGTGCGGAAGGCGAGGTGGGCGAACGAGAGCCGCGCACGCGATACGTGCTGCCTCCTCCTGGTCCGGTAGAACCGCGTTTGCGGACACCCATCCAACGCGGGCCGCCAGCGCGACTTTCTTCATCCGTTTCTTCGCAGGAGGCCGAGGAGAGGCCAAGATCACTCTACCCTCTTCTCGAAGCAGGTGACGCGGAGTTCCGTCTTCCTCCGCTTGTTGGTACCTCAGCATCAACATCAACCTCGCGCACGAGGTCGCCGTTTTCATCAGTTCGCAGATCAGGTCTTCGCAACCGACTACTGTCAGATGATCCCGACTCACCAGAAAGCTCGCCAAGGAGGGTACCGCCAAGCCTCCCATCCATCCACGCGCTGACAGCGGGCCTGGACCTGCGACGTCGGTCCTCAAATGTTGACGAAGGTGACCTTGCTCGTGGGGTATCCGAGATTCGCATAGAGGGGAAGAGCAGCTCGGCAGCTCTGACAGAGGAGCGTCGACGGCATGCAGAGCTTATCCGTGACTTGCTCATTACGATTAATAAGGATTACCGTGAGCGATACGGGACGCCGCCTCCGGATGGTGAAAGACGGACGCGGAGTGGTAAAGATAGGGACGTCGAGATGGTTGCTGCTCAGTGAAATGAGGGATAAAAGTCAAAAGCGGGAAAGCTCTTCTGTGTATAGACAGGTTCTTTCGTTCATTTCGTTTCGTTTCGTTGTTCGTTCTTAAGTACCTTGCTGGTCCTCTTTGTAGTTTCTGCTCTTCTCTTTTCCGTGATGGCTGTCAATTTATGTTGTTGAGGATGTGTCAATGCTACTTACATTTTTTCATCGGTCCTACTTACACTTATCCGTGTTATCAAATTCGCTACATGCACACACTTCCGACTCCAATACATACAGACATGACTCTTCGTGCATGTGGGCACAGTGTGTATTCTTTCTACTTTATCCCTCTTACCCCTTCCTCTACACCCGCTCAATCTCCTACTAACGTATAATTATGTTACTTCGATGAGGGTTGATTGACGTAGTATGTACATTGTGTAATATATGCATTGTATTACAATTGGCTTGCTGAAGTCCTTTCGTATCATTATTAAACTTCCAGGTGTATGGTGACTTAGTTGCTTCGTTACTTCTCGGTGCTTTGCCTGACCCAAATGATCTGTGCTTTACAAGTGCACCACTGCTTTCTGATTCTTTTTATGAGTTTGGATTGCTTATTGCTTGTCTGAACGTCATGTGGACCCGGGACCGAGGTGGATGTCCTATTTATCATGTTTCCGTACAGTTAATGTGTGTGGTGTTGTGGAAGAACAGGACAAAGAACAGGTGATATGAGTGCACATGTAGCAGCAGGTTGTCTTCACCACCATGAAATCATATTCCCTTTCATCATATGATTCTATGAATAGACGAACTGAAGGCCAAGTACAGATCTATCAGGATACGCACGATAAACACGTTTTCTTAAACAAAAGTGAAATATCACGCGAGACCTCTTCTCATCTAAAACTGCCATGTCATCTCCAAAAGTCGTTCTCATCAGCGGTTGTTCAAAAGGTGGAATTGGTTTTCATCTGTAAGCATTTACACTTTTCAGGCTTTATCATATTGGGAAATGACCTAATAACAAGATTTCAGTTGTGAAGAGTTTGCACAAAGAGGATGTATTGTTTATGCAACTGCTCGCCATGTTGAATCATTGGACGGATTCAGACATCAAAACATTCGACATCTTGAACTTGATGTAACGAGCGATGACAGTGTGCAGCGAGCTGTCGACAAAATCATTGTTGCCGAAGGACGGATAGACGTGCTTGTTAACAATGCTGGGGTCATTTGCATAGGTACGGTTATTCGATATAATGAGAGAGTGTCGCTAGTGGATATAATTTTTTATGTATTCAGGTCCCATTGTTGACGTCTCAGTTGAGCAAGTCAAGAAAACGTTTGACGCAAACGTCTTTGGTGCTCTACGTACAGCACGAACTGTGATGCCCTACATGGCATCACGCAAACAAGGGATCATTGTCAACGTCGGCTCAGTTGTTGGAGAAATGTATGTCCCTTCCATTCTATCTACAACTTATATATACAAATTCATATGCATTCCTCTCACTTGGTAGGTCCACACCATGGGCTGGCATTTATTGTGCTTCTAAAGCCGCTCTGCATTCTATCACAGAAGTCCTTCAGATGGAGTCCCAGCCGCTTGGTGTCTCCGTCGTTCTTCTCGTACCTGGGTCTGTCAAATCCAACCTAGCAGACAACCACGCGAAGATCTTCGATCTTCCTCCTTCATCCCTATACCGCTCATTTTTAGATCAAATTATCCGAAGGATGCATTCAAGCCAAGGCCCGAATTCGATGCCAACGAGTGTATTTGCGAAGAAAGCTGTTTCACGAATTTTGAATAAAAGCGGACCTCCGAGGTATTTGGCTCTGGGTGGGTATGTTACAGTAATGAAGATTTTGCAGTGGCTTCCGAGAGGATTAGCACTTTGGTTAATATGGAGGGCCCTTTCAGCATAACAGTATTCTCTTTTATATTGAACCATATAGACATGTTGCACAACTAGTAGATTTATGTCAATCCTAATATCTATTTACCCCTGATAAAATAGGGATTTAAGCTTCAGTGCCGATCTATCTACAACATAAGTAAGGATCACGTCGAGTCATTAAAAGTGCTCAATTAAATTTAGAATATCAAGCACCTTCATTCAGATACTCCATCATGGCAGGCGATGAAGCACCCGTACCTGCATATACCATCCGAGCTGCCGAAGAGCATGATCTACTAGGAATTATGGGAATATACAACGAGCAAATCGAGAACAGCACTGCGATTGCATTGGACGAACCCTTCGATCTCGAGAACCGGCGTGCATGGATGCGCGGACTCAAAGCAGCAGGATTCCCGATGTTCGTTGCCGTACCCTCCAATTTGCCGGTTACACAAGGAAGGAATTTCGACGACACTTCGGTGAAAGCAGGATCGACTGTACTTGGCTTCGCGTACTACGGTTCCTTTCGCTCACGCTGGGGATATCGGTTTTCCGTCGAGGAAGGACTCTACACACACAAATCCGCACGTGGAACGGGAATCGGCTCAGCACTCATGACGACCCTGCTCGATCATGCAAAGAAGGCAGGAAATGTTCATGTCCTCGTTGCAACTATCACAGCAGACAACGTTGGTTCGATACGCTTTCATGAGAGGTTTGGATTCGAGATTGGAGGAACGTTGAAAGAGGTTGTGTATAAGTTTGGAAAGTGGCAGGATGTGGTGTTCATGCAATTAATCGTACAATCAGAATCCCCTGAGGATAAATAGATTACAGGGCCTCTTGCTATATCGAACACTCTGCAAGTAGAAATCGATATTTATAGATGGGTATCTACAGTGACCCAGCCTTGTAGTTAGTTGGTCGCGGTGGTATTGACTATGATTCAAAGGTATAAGTGGCCCAAAGATACTCAAGCACATTTTCCTGCCTCTCTGACGATTGGCAGAGTTGATTTCTTTGATAGCGTAGAGCCTTAAGCGTTCAAACGTTTACAATCTGTGCTACAATGTAATCCATCATCACATCTACGCCGTTATGTGCTGTTCAAGTGAAAAGATCAGTCATTTCTCCATCAGTACTTGAATGAAACCAAGACACAGTAACCTACCGTATAGGCACGTGATGGTATTTTTGTATATGTCGATGACTTTGTACAGTGCCGCAGCGCCGAACAGATCTGCTTCCAAAGTACTCCAGCAAATCGGCCAATTGTAGAAGCTTGGCGCTCGTCAATAAGATTCAGATAGGGATAGCAGCCACAGAGTATCAAGGCTCCTATCGTCCTTGATTGAGGCTCTGAAGCAAGGCAAAGAATGGCATTTAGCCTGTTGCATGTTTATTCGAAATTGAGGAGGCAATACCTAGCTGTTGAAAATTCTTGAATGCTGCAAATCGTGTCGAGCTGCAAGGATTTCTCCAAGAGGCCAAGTTGTAGCAGCACATCGCAAGTTATTAATGACTTCGCCGTCTTCTCCCCCATCAGATGGCTGTAGCCCCGATCTCAAATCCTGGCAAGTTTTCATCTGTTTCTCAACAAGGTCCTTGACTACATGGAGAAGAATCTGCTGTGCGGCATATGGTCCCAGAGAATTGAGGCGAATTGCCGCTGAGAGGAGTGAACGAGCTTGGAGGAATAGGTGAAGGTATTGTGACCTTTCTAGACGATCTCAGCATCAGTATGGCTAGAAGTAAAATATAGTACCTACCAAGACTCAACCCTAGGGCAGCTGTTAGTATGCCCCAGCATATAGGGAGGTGCCCTTCTGCATCTTCCCTGCGAACTCTGAGCTTATAATCAGCTACTAGGTGAAGGATGCTGTCTTCCTGAATGCTCGTCATTTCTGACTTGCTATCGGATGGAATGAACTGAGGTTTCGTAAGACCTTTCGAAAAGAGGGTGAGCAGTGCTACACCCTGCGCTTTTGAAGCCCTTCGTGTGACAGTGTTGAGAGTCATCGAGTGATACAGGTCATCGAGCGATGTCAAACGGCGTAAAATAAGTTCGTGGGCATCACGGCTGTTCCCAGGTCCAAGCTGCTCGCGATAGCTCGCAATGGCTATATGCGCATCAGAAACGAAAGGAAGTGCACTATGAGCATAAGAGCCTAAATTATCCTCTACGAAATTTATTATTGCTTGGTTTGTGCGTGCAGCAGAAGATGATGTGTCGGAATTTGATAAGGTGTTCCCGAAGAAACCATGTTTGAGATACGATTCTAGTCCTGAGGATGCTACGAAGGATCCTGTCGGTAGGTTTCCATCCGCAAGGAGTAGCATAATATATGATTCAGTTGCCTCGTCCATGATGCAGATGTTTGAGTTACAATTGAGATTGAACGAGTAAGCAAAACCGAAAGTAAGTTCGTTGATCTTCCCGCCACGTGACGCAGCTTGTAATTTTTGCTTCCAGCGCTCGCTTGAACACAAACAACTTAGCGCAGCTTCGGTCCCGCTGTACACGTTTGAAAATGTCCTCCCTCCGCAACTCTCTACACAGACGTAATCACAAAGAGCGTTCTCAAGTTTCTAGCCGTGCTAGGTTTGGTCTTCTCGAAAAGCACAAAGATTATGTCTTACGGGCACGAGACTACCACTCCAAACAGGACCGAATCAAGAGGCTGCAACAGAAGGCAGCCGAAAGAAATAAGGATGAGTTCTACTTTGGAATGAATAGACAGAGGACTCAGGTATGTATATGTTATTCGCATTTTATTGTACAATTATCCTTATTTTCGTTTGTTAGGGTGGAGTGCATGTGCAAGATAGAGGAAACACGGCATTACCGACGGACTTCATAAAGATATTGAAGACGCAGGACGAGAATTATATACGGACTATGCGTGCTGCAGGTCTCAAGGTAATCCCACAAATTGAGCTCGTCGCGTCTACCGCTGAACCGTGACATCAGAAAATCGAGAAATTGAAAGCACAGCTCACAGAATTGGCAGACCTTATTGCTCCATACTTGACGAGTGAAAAGGGAGCAGAAGAAGAGAGCGATGGGCTTGATGAGGAAGAACTGGATGTCCTTAGACAGGCAGGCATCATCAAGGCACCCAAGTCACGAAGACAAACAGCGAAGCGATCCTCAAAGCACATCATCTTCGTTGAAAATGTTGATGAGGGTGCGTTTTTATTATTGTTGTTATTTTGTCGTATCACTAACATCTGCCAACGTAGCTCAGCGCTATGTGAATCGGCAGACATCCTCGAGCAAAGCAAGAACAGATACTCTACCGAAAGACACAGATGAGGAGAATGACACGGTAGATCTAGGTTGGAGGGATCCGGTGAAATCGAAAAGGAATCGAAAAGGAGATTCAAAAATGGACATTGATGAAGAGGAAGACACTGCGTTAGTCTCAGAGAGGCGGGAGGCTGCAAAGGCGTGTATTGAATTTATTCTCAAGTGATTCATCTAAATTAATGGACCCCACAGAAGCATCGTACACGGTTACTGAAAGAACTGTCGGCACGACTAACACGAGATACACAATTACGGTATGCCGAACGGGAGTTGACTATGCAACGTGCGTTGATGGGAAAAGGTGGCAGTCTGAAGCTACGCGGTGTGGAGAAGGTGGAGGGTGAGGACGAGGATAATGGACTGAACGAGGATGAGCTGGATTCTATGAGAATTAAGAGGTCCGAGAAGATGTCTGCAAAGAAAGAGCAGGCATACAAGCCTCGGGTGTACCGCTGGAGACTGGAGAGAAAAAAGTAGCTAGTCCTTAATTAAGGCCAATATTACGGCTGACGTCATCATGGCTACGCTGCTGCGTGTGGTTGCATGTACTGCCGCACTAGCACTTTCCCCCAGCCCCCACATAGTTCCTCTCTTGCTCTTACCCCATGGCCGCTCTAAGTCTCACCAAACAAGCCCTTTCTGTCCTCGGGCGCGAGAAACCCCACGTATGTTAAGTTACCCTTCGAAGGGCTGTACGAGGCAAATAGATAACATCAATCATTTGATTTCCAGTCGTCAATCACAGATCTCGTCGAGATATTGACTTCGCCAAACTATGAGGATGAGGCATATGATGGGTTTGGCTCTTCGAGTTCCCTGGTTGTTCGTGATGTTGAGTGATTATGTCCGCCGCAGCATTCCTGAACTGGTGGAGTCCATCAATCTGCAGCCAACTGGGTAGGTGGACTTGCTTTTCCGCGTCTATAGCCGCTAAACAGGCTCTTTGCATGCATTTTTCATAGACCTGCCGAAGCATCGCGCGCTATCCGGAAGAAGCTGAAGCACGGTGATTCGCACAGACAATACAGAGCTCTAGTTGTAAGTCCGCCTATATGCGCGTTCTCGCATGTCGATGCCCATAGAATACTGTACAGCTATTGAAAGCGACCGTAGAGAACGGTGGTCAGAGGTTCCAAAGTACGTATCATATCACATATCAACATATCCAATCTATGTACTCATTATTATGTAGCAACCTTCGCGGATGGTCAACTCACGGATGCTATCAAAAACCTCGTGGCTGACCCCGGTACGGATCCAAAGGTCAAGCGGAAACTGATCAGCGTGCTCGGGTCGTGGCACAGACAATTTGAAGGGACTCCGAGCATGTCCCTAGTTGCCAACCTCTACAAATCTGTTCCGCATGCTGCTCCGGCTAAGGCAACGATGTACCTTGGAGTGCCTGTTGAGAGCGACTACGAGAGGCGTAAACGTGAAGAACGTGAAGCCAAGGAGGAAGCGAAAAGAAAGGCAAAGGAGGAGAAACGAAGGAAAGAAGAGGAAGCTCGGCAACGAAAGAGGAGACAACGTGAACCTTTTGTTTTCGAGAAGGAAAAGCCGCAGATTCTTCAAGCCATCGCGGAGACCTCTCAAGCATCAAACAACCTGGTCAACGCCTTGACAGTGAGTGGCAATTTTCGTTGTGCATACGAGCTCCACTGAATAGGACATAGCTTGTGAATACGGAGCACGAAAGTGTGCAAGATAACGCAAAAGTGCAGGAATGCCTTGAGATGGCTAAATTAGCCCGGAAACGAGTCGTTCGGTACATTCAGGTATGTTATTGCCCGGCGCATATAACTCGAATATCAATTTCAAATTTTTTACTCGTCTAGCTTGTCGAAAATGAAGAGCTTATTGGAACGTTGCTCGAGACTAACGAACGAGTAATCGCCGCTCTACAAATGTATGATAAGGTGACCCAACCAACGATTTAGGGCTTTTGACAAGCTGATTGATATCGGACCCCGTCTCACCAGCTAATAAAGCCAGTTATGACCGAGCAAGACGTAGAGGAAATGCAGCAGCATATGGCGGCTGCGAAGATAACGGACGCTGGAGAGCTGAGCAAGTTGCAAGACAAACAGCGTGCGGCTATCGCTCGGCAAGTTAATCGTGATAGAGAGCGGGAACGTAGTGGTGCAGCGTACGAATCACCTCCTAGTTCTGCTGGCCTCCATCCGGATTTACAGGAACTGAGCTTCGGCGGTATAGATACACATGCGTAAGCATCCGAGCTCTCTGAATTCTGTAAATTCGATTGAGCATGTGTTTTAGGGACTTGCCACCACCTATACGGCCAGATGCACACGGTTCAGATGATGAAGACTTCGATGCGCGAGGCTCGCTCTCTGATTTCAGCGACTACGACTCCTCCAACGAAGAAACACACAGACGCGCTGCCACAGCGCCCTCTTCGAAACAAATAACAGGCACTTCTTACAGAGCATCATCGTCCAGGCACTATCCCACAGGCTCTGATGTCGAAACTGATGTGCGAGAGGATCCACGTCAAGGATTGACACAAGAAGACCCGTTTGCGGATCCGTTCGGAGACCAGCAGGAGGTACCAACACCCGGAATAACACATAGAAAACAGATGGACTGGTAGGACAGCACTGTAAGTCCCTACATTCCTGGATGGAGAATGCAAATGCCTTCAATATTGTACAATACTTGTAAGTTCTTGGTTTGTAAAGTGTACACGAGGAAAATGATGAGGAAGCGAAAATATGTACGACAAAGTCCCATTGCCCGGTGCTATGTGTCCCAAATTATATATGCACTGGCGAGAGACGGAGAATAAAAATATATCATAAACGAAGAAGACCGAATAAGGAAGAAACGTCACGAGAAGACAGGGTCAACGAGGGGTTCTCTATGTTCGCGCCCAGGTTTCCGCTTCGCTTGTGCAAGAATCTCGACAACTGGTACACGGATGTCTTGATTCGCACATCGGCTTTCGAAGAGTAAGCCCCTTTCGTCAGCCGGGACTGTATTCCTTTCACCCGAAGAGTTGCAATTCTTTTTCTTTGATGGACTGCACTCTTGTTTCGAGTAATGCGATGTTCCACAAGGCCGCTTAGTAGGTGACGATGGCGGATGGCCCGTCGGCAGGACAGAAGACGGCTTGTCCAATTTCGAAAGTGTAGGAGGTGGGATAGGCGGTATATTCTCCCTTCCAGTCTTGCCCCCTGAAGAAATCGATCATCAGCTTGATTGTATTGTGGCGTATGCGATAAGTCCGAACCTTTCGACGCCTTCGAAGTCTTCGTATGTGCATTTTCTTTAGAAGCCTTGAAAAGCTCCTTTCCCGGTCCGTTGTCCAGAGTCGTCTGAACTTCCCAGTCCGTAGGACGCATTCTTTTCCAGTCTTCGAGAACACGCTCTACCCAGTTATCTGTCTCTCCTTCAACGTGGTAATCAATGATTCCATCCCACTCGCTTGCGGGAGCAGTCTTATTAACAAAGATGACTTTACCCTTCCATGCATTTTTGGTGGCTGTCGGTTTTGGAGAAACGGCAACGCAAGGCGGATTAGAAGGTGCGGCAGCGTGTACGACTTTTGCAAATTCCTTGACAAGCTTCTTGAGGCCATGCACTTTGAGTGAGGTGCCCATAATGATCAGAAGATCTGGCTTGCGAGATAGGTCCCCAGATTGTATGCATCCGATATCATCTCCAAGAGGATGTGGTTCATCGTATAAAACGATTCCAGGTCGTAATTTGCCTATTTTCAACGCGCGGGCTGACCGCGCAACGCGAGCCTCCGCTAATTTTAATTTTAGATATTAGTTCCTTGCTGTTAAGTGGCTCATTAAGATGCAATTTACTTACAGCGAGAGACACAGTCGGGACAATCAGGAGCGGTTCCCTCGAGGAATGCATGCATGTGTTCTTCTGTGAATATGAGCTCGGTTGAGCAGAGTGTACAGCGAACTCGGCGGATGTCCCCATGCAATTGAACGTTTTTGACGTCTTTCAAATTCAGTCTGGCTTTCCCCTTTGCATTGCTTCTTGCTTCGTCGCTTGAGCTGCCAACAAGTCCCGCTCTTTCTTCAAGGCCGTCAATATTTTGGGTATAAGAACGGAGGAGTTTGCCTTTAGTATCAAGTGTTTTAATGAAATGGTGAGTTGGAGAAGGCGAAACGATGTCTGTCGACTGCTTGAGCTTTGAAATGAAGGTATAGAAGACCGACGTCGTCGTTGGATCGCGAAAAAGGGATGCGTCAAACAGATCCCGGCCTTTGAGTACGACGTCCGGATATTGTTGTTTCACAAGGTTGTACAATCCGTCAGAAGATCGGAAATCCTAGTAAAAGCAAAATAAATTCAGCTATGGATGTCTCATCTTCTTGGTGTGGCGTCAACTGACTGGGATGCCACAGGAGCAAGATATACCAGCCCCGGTTACGACGACGATTTTCTTGCTCTTCGCCACGCCGAGAGATAGGTTTGAAAGTGTGCGGCGGAGTGTTGGATCTAACGACGAGCTTTCAAGGGGTAGAGTAGCGATCATTGTGGAATTGTTGGGGAGAGAAGGGGAGGGGAGAGAGGGGGAATGGGAGAGAGTGATTGAAATCGAACAGGATCGGCGTGCCGCCTGGTTGGTTGGCCCGTGAGTTGGAATTGAACGACCACAACCAACTGGCTGTGGGAAGTAAACACCATACGTAATAGACGCGGGTCGCGGTCATGTGAACCTTATCTCGCTGCTTCTCGCACCGCTCGCGATCACTTTGATAAAAACATCTAATCAATACAACACTACACGATGATGGCTGAGTTCCTGCAGCAGTTCACACTTTGCGTGTTCAAGTCCAGTAGTGCATGAATTTTATAAGAAAGCTACAGAGTATATCATCTGCGGCTACCTTGGGCGGCAACTAGATAGTTCGGTTTGTGCAATATCATTCAAGCATCCGAAACAACCGCGCATTACAGTACTGTGTAGTTCCCAATAGGCAGTGCATCAGATCGGTATCATAGCCATTTCTCCAAACACGTCGTGACGTCAACGCCATTATTACCACCCTTGGTTAGGATTACCGCCGGGACCTCAAACCTGAACATCCGATCATGGCGTAGAATCAACTCAGATATCGCATCCACAGCAATGCTTGAGCATCTTCAAAACGCATACTCACTGCAACCAGGGTGACACACAGGAAAGAAACAGTAGTTCTTAGCTGAGCTGGATAGCTTAAAAACGTTATGCATTCGGTTTTAAATAAACAGGAATGTTCCAGCTTATTCATAAGGGTTCAAATGTGATCTTAAAAGAATCATTCGTACATGACAACGACACAACAATGTCGGGTCTATCACGAGAGTTAGACTTGCCTGGAAAGCGGGAAGATAGGGTGCTTACATATACCCAGCAGAAATACACAAGTGCGGCTGACTCGTTAATAACAAAAATACATTGGTACTGCGGCATTATCGGGCATCACCCTCCTCGGTCTCATCATTAACGCGAACCACCTTTACCCACTCCCTATATTTGAAATTCCCTTGTCGATCGGTAAAAGGACCTTTAAACAATCGGTCAATCTACGATAAAAAGAAGCCGGATTCAGTACAAACGAACAAATCTCTCAAAATAGTAGAAATATAAACACGTTACCTCTTCTTCACTCATATGTTCCCCAAAATCTGCAAGCCACTTCCTCATCTCATCCACTTTGACAGTCCCCGAATCGTTCTCGTCAAAGCATTCAAATGCCTCGACGAGTTCTGCTTCGGCATCAAACTCGAAGAGCCGTTCGCCCATCATTGTGAGGAACATAGGGAAGTTTACCCCTCTATCTGGCATGTCGTCATCATCTACTGCTCCAGATACAGACCTGAAGTGAGCACCAGGACGTGCACTAAGGAGGCTGTCGAGCATCTTGGGCGTTGGAGTTAGGCCTATTTAAAAGTTATGCTCCGTCAACAAGCAGCAAAGAACGTAATGGAGATTATCACTTGCCCAAGTTAGTAAACACGGCTTTGAGGTCTTTCTCACTAACTATCCCGTCCCCATCCTGGTCAATGAGCGAAAATGCTTCTTTGAACTGTTGAATCTGAGGAGCCTGGAAAAGCTGGAAAGCCCCTGACGGCTCTCGTCTGGCTCGTGACTTTTGTGCTCTCGTCATTCCCGGAGGAGTCGCATCGGGGGCTAGAGTTGACGGGTATCGAGGAGCCATGCCAGTACGTGTAAAATCGGGCCAACGTTTCTGAGAGATAGTTCCAGTTTATGAAGGAGGATGGTGTATGGATAGAACTGACAGACGTTGTGGACGTATGCTTCAACGCGGTCACGTGCAGATCATGTCCCTAATTATAAATTATTCTAGGACGGAATCGTATTGCACAACACATGTTAAATGTTATTGATTATACACCGTCTAAATGACGACACCCATCTACAAAACCCCCGTATGCGTATATACAAATAATAGTGGTACATATCATGCTTTAACTTCAAGAGAAGTATTCGCCATGAGCTCAGCCAGTTCCTCCGCTTCCTTGTCATCCTTGACGACAGGCTCTTTCTTTTCTTCTTGCTCCTCTTCCTCTTCCGCCTCCTTCGCTTCTTCTTCATTTTCTTCATCCTCCTCAAACTCTTCCATCTCGTCAAGTTCATCCAAAGCGTCCTCGTGCCCGTGAACAGCGAGCGCAGCCTTGATATCTTGAATGCACTGGTCCTCGGGATCCGCACGGTTTGCGTTGAGCTCCAATAACGTTATCTCGGAACCATGATCATGTATTGCCTTAGCCAAAATGCTCAGCGATCGATGGTCGAGCTCGCCCAATTGAAGCTTGAGTGTTTCGAGTTTCGGATTTGATCCGTTGCGCAAAGCCAGAGCTAATGCAATCCCAGCCCGTCCACCAAGTAAACACTCCGACAAGTTCAGCGTCTTCAACTCAGGCCACGATGCTAGCGCTTTGGCAAGTGCACGAGTTCCCGCTCCTTTCGCACAGTTATCCTGAAGGTCCAGGCTCTCCAATCTCGAGTTGGCAGCTAATCCCCGTGCCAGAGCCGCGATACCATCCATGCGAATCCCATTTTGCGGCATCCTGACGTCGACGAAATTCCCATGTGCAGCAAATGCCTTTGCGAACAACAATGCCGATTCATCTTGAAGTCTGTTTCGACCGCAAATGATGGTCCGTAGGTTGGATGCTTTCCCTTCCGCCTTACTGAGTCTAGCAGATTCGAGTAGGGCATTGGCGATGATTCCTCCACCCGATGGACCGAGACCGTTGTTATTGAGTTTTAAGATTTGGAAAGTCCGATTTTGCGTGAGGAAGGGTACGATGGGGTCTGAGGAGCGTCCACCAAATGCATTGTCGCTCAAATCCAGTTCGATGAGGGAGGTGAGGTCTTTAAGGGAGTTACAGATCGCAGCTAGAGCTTGTGGGATCTCGGTGATCAGCCGTCCAGTGAAGACATCAGCGAAGTCTGCGATCTTGAAGGACAAATATCGGTCGTGTGCACCGCTAGCACGCAGCATATACACGCACCTTCAAAGATTTCAGCCCAGAAAGGACCTCTGCTAACGCTTCGCTAGCTTCCACACCCAATGTATTACCACCAAAGTGAACCTCCTCCACATCCTTCATTTCTCGCAATTTTTTGAGATGGGGTTCGATATCAGCTCGAGTGTTGAGCTTCAGTCCTTTGCCATGGATAGAAAATGAGCGAGGATTAGACATCGTTGGTATCGTCAGAGTTCGTATAAGTTCGTGTTGGTGAGGGTATAAGAGCAGGGAGGAGACAGATGTGACTGGGCCGGTGCGTTTGTCTATGTACAAGCCACAGTCAAAGTTTGTTCACTAACAGATCGAAGCGTGGCGCTTACGTAAAATTGGAAATTAGGTGGAAAAGTGGTGATTTTATACTCATAAAATTATTGAACATTACTTTTCATGTTATCTACGCTACCAGATTAGTACCATTCCATTCGTATCCCATCTGTAGACCCTATCCAGAAAGGTTTCAAAGCGGAAGGAAGATCAAGACCGACTACTTTTCCGTCCTCGTCGAACCGTGCGCCATTCTCCAAGATCGCGACAATAAGCCGAGGGATAGCAGCTGCCGTCCCGTTTAAAGTATGGGAAAAAGGTATAGGAGCAGTTCCTTGGGGTGGGTCTGCTGGTGACGATGAGCTGCGTTTATACCGAATGTGTAATCGTCGAGCTTGGTAGTCTGTACAATTCGAGGTGGAAGATATCTCGCCCCAGTTGCCCCTCCCAGGCATCCACGCTTCGATGTCAAATTTCCTATAAGCACTTGCACCGAGTTCTTCCGTTGGCATATCAAGTATGCTATATGGGGCACGATATGAATACATGATGAATAGAATATAACTGAAGTTTGTCACTTACCGCAAAGGTAATCCAAGACCGCTAAAGATATCAACTTGTAGGTCGACCATCTCCTTCATCACATCTTCACTGCTTTCTTGAGCACAAACTGCGAATAGCTCGAGCTTTGAGAACTGATGAACGCGAAACAATCCTCGCGTGTCAGCACCTCGTGCTCCAGCCTCTGATCGGAACGCTCGGCCCAGGCCTACGACTTTTAACGGAAGCTCTTCCTCCTGGTAGACTGAGTTTGCAAAGAGGCCACCGAGGGGAATCTCTGCCGTCCCACTTAACACTAGTTCTGGTTGAGCTGGGTTTGTGTTCTGCAGATGGTACATCTGGTGAACGGGAGGGTCACCCTGGTCCCTTGGCTGAAAACCGCACCTCATGGCTACGTCAGCCTTCACGACATCCGGTGTTGTCACAGGTTTGAAACCCCGCGCAACGGCTTTTGAAAGAGCATACTGAGTTAGAGCCATTTCAAGTAATGCGCCTTCGTTCAGTAGGTAATACCAGGAAGAGCCCGTGACGGTTGCTGCTTGCTCCAGGTCAAAAAGATCGAGAGCCTTGCCTACGGAGACGTGGTCTCGTTTAAGATTTGAATCAATAGGCTTAGGGCCGTGCGTAGCAACAATATTTGCAGCTTCTTCAGGCCCTATTGGAACATCCGGATGCGTATCATTGGGAATAGTGAGAGCCAACGAGTATAATTTATCGTCGATCTCGGAGAGCTGTTGTTCCAAAGACGAGATTTCCTCCTTGAGGGACTTCGCCTCTTGTTTTGCAACCTCCTTCGCTTCACCATTGCTATTGCGAATTTTATCGCCAATAGTTGAACGCGAATGACGTTTTGCATTCAAAGCAGCTGAAAGGTCCTTGTGTTCTTCGTACAGGCGAGCAATAGATTGTACCGCACCGACAGGAATAGGAGACTTTCTGTTGAACGCATTGTGTGACTTAAACAACGCATTTTCTGAGATGCCACGATAATCAAGACGCGGCTTGGGAAGGCCAGACGAGACGGTAACTCGCGGTTGGTCTTTTGCAAGTGCTATCGTGGAGGCACCGAAGAAGCGTTCCTAACTTGTATTCATAAACACTGCAAAGTTAAACGAAAACAACAAATTTGCTTACTGTCACTCTGAAGGGGTATGCATGACTAGTGCTTTCGAACCTTGGACGACGCAATCGTACCCGAAATAATTTAAAGGATGACATCCTGAGGCAAGTACGCCAATCACGAGCGTACTTTTTTTTCATGATCGCGTAAACAAACGTCAACAACGCGTCTCCTCCCATCCACCATGGCTATTTCCAGAGGTAAACAAGCCGCAAATGAAATTCCATACGAACTACCTTGGTACGTCTCGAAGAGTTTGCATAGAATGTTTGCGCTGATAGTCTGGTTGCAGGGTGGAGAAGTACCGACCTCAAACACTGGACGACGTTGTCGGAAACTCTGAGACCATCGAACGTCTCAAGGTCATTGCGAGGGATGGCAATTGCCCACATATCATTATTTCCGTGCGTGTTGCTGAAGTAGGTGCATAACCAGTCTCTGAACGTGCTGTCTGCAGGGACTTCCTGGTATCGGAAAGACAACAAGCATTCACTGTCTCGCTCACCAGATGCTTGGCGAAGCCTATAAGGATGGTGTGCTGGAGTTGAACGCCTCGGATGAACGGTGGGCCATCCACTATTCAACGCCATTGTACTATCTTTCTAACTTATTTATATCAAGAGGGATCGATGTCGTTCGTAACAAAATAAAGGCGTTCGCTCAGAAAAAGGTCACCCTTCCACCTGGGAGACATAAAATCGTCATTCTTGATGAAGCGGATAGGTGAGGAGGCCAATCCACTACTCAATTCAAATCCCTCGGAAGCTGACCTACAACCTAGCATGACATCTGGAGCCCAACAAGCCCTCCGACGAACTATGGAAATCTACTCAAACACAACGCGATTCGCCTTAGCATGCAACATGTCCAACAAAATTATTGAACCTATTCAATCCCGTTGTGCAATTCTCCGATATGCAAAGCTACGCGATCAAGAAATATTAAAGCGATTGCTAGAAATTTGCGAGATGGAGCAGGTATGCTTTCTGATTTTCATCCACACTTAGCAACGCTTTTAAAATTATACGACACAGGTACAATACAACGATGATGGGTTAACAGCCCTCATATTCACTTCTGAAGGAGACATGCGACAAGCCATCAACAACCTACAGTCGACACATTCTGGTTTCGGGTTCGTTTCAGGCGACAACGTCTTCAAAGTCTGCGACCAACCACATCCTATCTTAGTACAAGCTATGATAAGGGCTTGCATGAAAGGCGATATAAATACTACGATGGAGAAACTTACTGAGCTTTGGGATCAAGGGTATAGTGCTGTGGATATAGTTGTGACTATCTTTCGCGTGGTAAAGACCTTTGATGAGTGCGTCGTGCTTCTTGTTCTCAAGCCTACGAGTTAATTCCATTTCTTGTTCGTTCGATGCGGTACAGACTTCCAGAATACACCAAGCTTGAATACATCAAGGTATGTGGCTCTTGAAAATAAATTACTTTCTGCGAACGATGGTATTGACGGACGCATATTAGGAAATTGGATTTACTCACATGCGAATATTGGAAGGCGTAGGCACTTTGGTCCAGCTTGGTGGTTTGGCTGCTCGTCTCTGCAAAATGGTGCGAAACACCTCACCTATCCAGAGATTAAATAGTTGTACTGATTTGTCTATCTCACAGAACATGAATCCTGAACTTTTCAAGCTGTAGCCTTCTGATGTGGAATTACATGATATGATTGTGATGTAGTCGAAACGACGATAATACTATAATACAAACGAATATTCCAGGAGTTTTGAACAAGAGATACAAGAAAAATTTGCAAACATATGTGATCATAAAATAACGCGCAAAACTAATTTCCGAATCCTGATTTTTCGACTAAAAGCAACCAAATAGATTCCGACATAAGTTGCAAACACCGCGGACAAGCCAATAAACGGTAGACTTAAGATAGTGAGGGGTTAATGGTATATAAAACACGAAAGAGGGCACGAGTTACGCACTTTTGTTACTGTGAATAGCCTCTTCGAAAAGCCTTCACGTCTATGCATATCCAACTGGCGCATTTCTTCCAAAACGCTGAAGTCCACGCAGTCTTTTGAAGTCCCGATTGTATCATAGGGATGGAAGAATCGCACTTCCGTGCCTTCATTTATCTAGCAGGATCAGAGTTAGGTGGAATGCAAGACGTACAGTGTGACAAAATTGGCCTACCGTTTGTAAATGTTTTGAATCAAAGTATTGATCATCTCTGCGATTATCGAACGTTTTCTGAAGTATTCGCTTGTGAGCGAGATCGGTACAAAGTCAAAGCGACCGAATCGCACCATTGCCCATTCAGGCCCAACAACAAACGCATGTCGCGGAAATCTCAAATCCCTCCGAAAGGAATCGTCAACCGGATAGTGCGCATAGCGTCCTTGAGTCTCCTGGAACGTGACGGAGAGGTGGGCAGTTTGAGGACGAACAGGAGTAATGAGGGTGGCTGACGGAGTCATTTTTACGTATCGACTGAAAGTAATGAAGACAGGGAACGCGAGGAAGGACGAAAAAATGAGGAATGCAAGAGGAATAAGTCGATTGGAAGAGAGAACCGCTTCATGCAGACTGAGGGAGGGAGAGAAAGACGGAGACGGAGAGGTGAGGATGGTATGAGCATTATAACTTCAGGGAACAACAATGAATGAATTTACCATTATCAAAATACATTAAACAATTTCAACATGCGAATCTGCAGGCTCGAAGTATGTAAAAAAGAAGGTCTTTACAGGGAGGAGTGACAAAATGCGGTGAGAGAGAAGTGATTGATAGAAGGACCTCTCAAATGGTAGGCTGGACTAAAACTGTGGTGGAAAACCTGCAGCAAGCAGGAGAAAACCGATCCACAGAAACCATACCTATAGTGAAGCTATCTACTGCAAAAACAGAGATGAAATAGACTGAGAGACAGAACAGCAGCCTTATCCATGATCTACAGGATAGTGAGCATACATACAACGTAGAATGTCTTTATAATTAGAAGAAAAGAACTTAGCGTCTAGCCAACAATCTAGCCTTTGTGGATGGTCCTTGGTCCGATTGCGAAAACGTTGTATGTGGTCATCAAAGAGGATTCCCGGGCATCTAGTTATCCGGTGAAGAGGCGTGTCCTTGCTGTGGCAGAGCGGACATTCCTTAGAGTGGGTCACGTTCCATTGATATGAAAAGGAACGTGTGTTGCACGTTCTAGTTTGTAAGCGAAGGTGTAGAACCTGTGCCTGTCGGGGGAGCATAGACCGGAGAGGGAATTGCGGCTTGCGGGTTGCCCCATGGGACTGTTCTGCCCATAGCTGATCTGAGTCTGTTAGGGCATGACTGCGGACGCCACGTAAGGATGATCGATTGCTGTTCACAGTGTTAGTTGCCTTGAATCTGGGCATGATTGCCCGACGTGTCCATATCAGTGTGATTTGTCGCTCGTTTGCGAGGGACGACACATCTCGCGTCAGTTCAGTGGACTCGTTTAAAGTTAAGAGATGTTCGAGGGCTAACTTCCAGTTCGTGGCGATCGTGGAATGGGGCGGGAGGTCATTCATGACCCTACTCATCGTATAAAGGACAGCCTGTGTGTGACAGATGTTCTCTGGGTGTTGTACTGTGAAACACTGTGTATGAGTTTTGACCGTGGCCGTCTGCGATTCCGGGTCATATCGGATCTGCACAGTGTCTGGCGAGTAGAGTACTCGGGCCATTTCGACAGGTTTTAGATTATCTTTGATGAGTGAGGGAGACATGGGAACATGCACCTTTGCGGCAATTATCATCTGATTTGTTGAATCGAGATGATGAATTGCCTGATTTGGGATTTCGCTTGGTAGTACCCGGCGTGCGGTTTGGCCCTGTATGGCAGGACATTTGTGCTTCCGTAGGTCCCTGAACGAGAAGTGGCAATGTGTGCACTTGCGTAGGGGGGATTCCATCCTCGCGCAATTATGTTTGTTGAAGTTCGCAGGGGTAAGGAATCGTTCACAGTTGGAGCATTGTTTTGACGCGATAATTGGTCTTCGATAGCTCGGGACGTTCGTCATCGGGGTTTCTGAATGAGACGCATAGAGAATAGGGGCTAGCATATGTGGGTACGCTCGTCGTCTTGCGTGGAAGCAGCGAGATAATCGCCTAATGAACAGGGGAAGGGGGGGTACCGAGAGGGTTTTCTCCATGTCTGCAACGAGAGTTGGTTTCGGGAAGGTGCCGATGATCCTCAGGAACATGTTTTGGATCTTGACGAGTGGGCTGAGTTGGTGTTCGAGAGGATTCAGCCAGGTCTCGGCTGTATACGTCATGGTGCTCCGAACGATGTTGAAGTACGCAAGGCGTGCCTGGTAGGGGCGCATGCTGCGTGTTCGTTGTATGATGTGGCTCGTCATTGTGGTTAGTTTCGAGGCCTTTTGTGCAACCTTGGCAATCTGGTCAGCAGGCGAAAGGTCGGATCGTAGACTGTAGCCAAGCCATGTAGCTTTGGTTTTGACGTGAACGATCTGGTCCTGAACAGGGAGAGTCCATGCTGTATTAGAATGGAACTGGATTGCATCAATCTGTGGGTCGAGTTGGAGTCCGATGTCGTGAAGACGGTTTTTGAGGAAACGGAGAAAAACGTTGACTTGTGACGTCAGTGATTTCCTGCTCGCACCGTAAAAGACGAACGCCCAGTCGTCAAGGTAGGTCCGGATGAAGATGCCAGGGAATTGAGTTTTGATTGTGTTGATGATGTGGTACGTGGCAATCGTTGCCAGGACGGGGGAAATGGGGGAGCCCTAGGGTATTCCAACATTCGGGCGGTGTCTCAGGGGTCCTGATTGGCGGTTGAAGTGGAGTAGATACTCTCTATCGACTACAAGAGCTCGGACCATGTTTATTAATCGAGGAGAAGCATCGAGAGAGTGTAGGTTTTCTCGTAGTTGATCTAGAGGGATATTGTCAAAAAATCCCTGGATATCAACGAAAAGTGCGAGAGGGCATGCATGAGACTGTTCTCGTGTGTTTTTGATGTTCTTCCTGACGAAGGCGTGTAGATCGTATATCGCGTCCGCTGTAGAGAGATGCTTCCTTCCGCCGTATATCTCCTTCGGGAACGCCGGGTGGGTCTCCATTATTGTCGTGCACTTTTCAGCGTATATCTTAGCAATTGCCTTTGTGAAGGTTTCTTCAACTGAAATAGGCCGATACGCTCGAGGCGAGTCAAGTGCTCGGTCCTTCATTTTCGATATGATTGACACTTGTGTATGCCTGAGTGGAGTAGGAATATATTCCAGATCTTGTATCCGTTGTAGTACGTTGGCAAACATATGATCAAACGTATAGCACAGTGCTTCTGTGGGTGTACGAGTGAGTCCGGATATGCCAGGCGAAACAGACTTATCGATTTGGTGTAGAGACTCCATGAATTCTGGGAATGTGAAGTAATCGTCGAGGCCTTCTACTTTGGGATCGTATTGTAGAGGGGCGAAGACTGTTGAGGCCCTGTCTGGAAAGTAGGCCTGTGTGAACTCCTCGTCCATTCCGAGAAAGGTATCTTTGTCGTTGATTTGTGCTATGGGACGCGGGTCCTTGCGTTTGTACCGCCGGGCGGCCGTCCAGAGAGTGCTATGGTTAGACTGATCAGCCTTCGTCAAGTAGTAGTCTTGTTTGTGGTTCAAGATGACTTGTGTTATCGTGGCTGATGACTCGTCGGATAAACCTATGAGCTGTTCTGTAAGGTCGTCGTCCCACCATTCAAACCGGGTACGTGGTCTTGAACTGTCTAAGAAGAATGCGTTGGCTGCCAGCGTGAAGATGTTCTCGAAAAACCTGTCTAAGTCCAGTTTTGTGTTTAATGGGTGATCAAGCATAAAAGGAGGGAGAATTTGGGCAAACTTCTCGATCCACGCCCCTGTATGTCGTTCCTTTATTACTGGGGGAAGACACCTCCGTGGTGGGTTATGTGTGCTGATTGCAATTACTGAGTGGTCGTGATGTCTGGACGCGAAGATATCGCAGGACACTGCTGGGTGGTTTGTGAATACCACGTCGGGGGAAGACGTTGACTCTCCGAATTTGTATGTGAACGGTAGGGAGGATGATGGGATGAGGAGACCGTGCTCGACCAGCCATTCAAACCATGGCACTGCATATGTGGCAAATATGTCTGCGTGGGGAGTGTTGTCAAAGATCGGATGTCGTCTATTGATATCGCCTATCATCAAAAAGTTGTCCGGCAGGTCGAGGTGATGTATGAACGTTTCATCCTCGGTCATGGGTCGTCTCGCTACTCCGCGTAAGTACACATTGAGGATTGTCTGGGTGTCGTAGCGGATTGTGAAGATATTGTTACTGCGAGAGAGTCGACTGACAATATCTACGACGACATGGTTGCGAATGAGGAACGCGACATCCGGTTTCTCACATTGCGGTAGTAAGTGGTAGTAGTTCGGTACCGCTGGAACAATAGGATATGATTTTAGCCCAGCTCTGGTCTTGACGGACGTTTTCGCAATCGGAGGGTCTTGTAAGGCTATGATCACTGGCTGGACGCTGTGAAGTTCAAGAATATGAATGAGCATATATAACGTGGAAGAACTGCGATTGCAGTTGAAAGAAATAATAGGGGAGAAAGGGGACGTAGGAGGCAGGTTAATGTTATAGAAAAAACTGTTCATTTAGTGGTTGGTCTTGGTACGTTTATTGGCGGGGCCGGTCTCGTATTCAACACCCTCAAGCATTTCTTCTTGTTGGGTGACGTATGATAGTTCCGACTCTCCGTCGCTATTCTGGTTGTCCATCAGTTCGTCCTGATCCTGTATGAAACCGCGGGCGGGTTCCGGCGTTGCTGCTACAAAGCGTGAGGCCTGTACCTGTTGTGCAATGCGGCGTTCCGCTGCTTCTTGTGAAATCGTCACCTGTGGAATGTCGGCGATCTGTTGTATTGCGAGTATGCTTTCGCGATTGCGGAGGATGGATGCTCTGGCCCATCGCGGTTGGCTTTTGCATTCTTGGTCAACGGCAGAGTGTTTGCCGAAGCAATTCGGGCATCTGTAGTGGTGTTTGCAGATGGGCTCGTGCTTGCACTCGGTGCACTTGGTGTGTTTGTGTGCAGAGGCAGCGTGGGTGCCGTTGCAGTACGGGCACCGTAGTTGTCTGCGGCATGTATTGATGTTGTGGCCGAAGCTCCAGCATCTCGTGCATTGTACGGCGCCTGACCGGGATCGCCCTTCTTCCAGACGGCGTTTCTCGCCGAACATCCATACATAGGCGTTGACGCGGGTGTCTATGAATTGTTTTATTCCGTCAGTTCGAGACATAAGCAACGGTACTTGTACTCCGCAGAATTCTCGTTCTGCGAGTTTATCCGCTGGGGCAGCGAAACGAGTTGGGTAAGCCAGGACAGTTGGCTCGAATTGGTAGTTCTGTTGAACTTCGTCCCATAACTGTGCAGGTGTGTATATTTGCTGCGTCTCGTAGTCGCGGACACGGACGTTCGGAATGAAGAGGTTGAACACCTCGGTGCGGAGGGGTTGGACCGTGAATGTGGTTTCGTATACATCGGATACGGAACGGGCGATTTCCTGTGCGTTTGCAGCAGTCGTTGCAGGGAAATCCAGGCTGAGTGTTTTGCCGTCGAGTGAGAAATGGCCTCCAGAGAGGTTGGCTTTGCAATGCGTCCACAAGAACTGGCGTAGATCTTTGACGATCTTCGGGGGAACCGGAATGGGGTTCACTGCGGTCTCCGTGCGAAGGAGGATCTTCCTGTCGCGGAAGGTACGTTGTGGTGCTGGGGGGGCCTTTTTTGTCGTCTTTGCCAGAGGGGCCTTGTGGGGCCGAGTTGGAAGTACGATAGTCTTCTTCGAAGGGGCTTCGGCAGCAGCAGTCTGGGCAAAGGTCCTTTGGTTGCCTCGTGGTGTCTCCGTGGTGACAGCTGTTTGCTGTTGTTGTAACATGGGTGGACGAGGCGTCGACTCTCCCTTCTGGAGGGCTTCGACGGATTTGGCCAGCTTGTTTACGGCGGTGATGATATCAGCTAGAGATCCGTCGGTTGGGATTCCGTGTGTTTGCCCAACTGGGGGGCTAATCGTCGGCAGGCCTGACGCAGTGCCGGTCATCATGGCAAGTTGTACCTGGGAGGACGTTGCAGCTGCGTGTTCAGGGCGGTTAGTGTAGAAACCGTTGTCCCATGCTTTGCGAAGGGCATCAGCAACCGTCTTCTTCGGGTCGTGTTGTGAGATGTTGGCCAGGAGTTCGGCAAGGTTAGCGACTTTGCCCGTTAGTGCGCCGAAATTGAAGAAGATTCGGCACATTTCATCCGTTGAGGTTTCGTCCGAAATGGGAGGCGTGAAGTGATCCTCGGCCTCGAGGATGGCATCAGCCAGGCCGTTCGCATATTCGCGAACCGCAAGAAGGCCGCTTATAGCGGCCTTGCGGTGGGGGTGTGGGATAGGTGCAACAGCAGCCTGTACTGCCTCATGCCTTTCCTGATGGCCCGTTACCGTGCGTGGGTCGTCAGTGAGGATGTCGACGTGGGGTGTGGTTTCGTCCATTTCCTCAGACCAGCTGAGGCGGCGAGTGGGCGTCGGAAGAGGCGTTTCGGGCGCCGGGCTGGATGGCTGAATGTCAACTGGTTCAGGGTTAGGGACTTGCGTCTGTGCAGGGGTATCGCCAGTAGCTAGGAGTGCTTTGGCGACGATTTCTCCACACTTTACAGGGGAGAGGAGAGCATCTGCGTGCTTGACCCTGAAGTGGTCTACGCAGAGGTTCAAGGAGACCGCCTTAAAACATATGGGGCAGTCGAAGGTAGCGTGTACACCGAGTAGGTGCATCTGGCGAATGTGGGAGATGGGGCCTGAGACGAACTCGTCGCACAGGCGGCACTTGGAGTTTCTCGACGCTGTCGAGAGTAGTGACTCGGTTTTCGAGTAGAATAGGGCCATTAGCTGGTCCTGGGCAGTGGTTTTGGAGTAAGGTGAGGGGACGGCAGGAGGACGCTTAACGCGAACTGCCATAGCTAGATGATGGTGGTTGGAGAGAAAGAATGAATTGAAGACAAGCGAGGAGGGCGTTGTCCGTTTTGAGCACCGTCTCGATCGTCAGTAACAAGCGGCACGCGTCTGCGAATCCAGGGGTGGATCATCTCTTGTCGAATCTGCTTCCGTTAAGTCCTCCAATATCCCGCTGGTTACTCGCAGAGATCTTCAACATCCTGAAACTTGAATTTAGCATTGACCAGGTCCAGCTGCGCCTATGTTATCCAATTAGAGGTGAGCTAAGGCGAGAGCAACCGCGGACGTACCTGTCTCGTTCCCCTTGATTATTTCTGATACTGCAGCTTCCACGCCATGCCTCGTCCACCTCACTTCTCTCGCTTCACTGCAACGCCCAGAGTACCAGACACGGCTTCCATGCAATGCGCAGGACAAGGGACGACGATGACCAGTGTGCGGGTCTATCCTTCGGTAGGCATGCTGAACGAGACGGGCACATGCCGCACATCTTGCAGAGTGTCTGATCACGAAGTTTTCCGTCCGATCTGAATGCTGCTTGGCTCTAAGATGCCCTTCATCTTCGAAAGTATACCCTGCCTCGTACCAAAGTTGTAACGACGCAATGGTGTCGTCTATGGGATTCGTCTCTCGTCGTGTCTCAATAATTCGGCTTTCCTCGTCAAATGCTTAATATTCCTCGCTGGTGTGCATCTGTCTGTGCCAGACTATCTCTGAGCGGTTACCTGAACCACCTCCAAGCTTCTCCGAGCTTCTCAAATATCCACTCGAGAACCGAGGAAGGAAACCTCGTCGATTTACCTTACAACAATGACTGTGATGACCTAATATGGAAGGTGAGTCAGCCACCGTATTGATGAGTCGCGCAGGACACGTACACTCTCTAAATACCTTTCTTAGATACCAACATGTCGCTCAACCAAAGCCCTCTAATGCATTTGTTTCTCCTCTGCGAATGAGGTAGATATGCCCGCATCAGGTTGCCATGTGTCAAGATCAACTCTTGCAAGAGACAAGGAGCCAACTTGAACAGAGATGCCTTCAAGACCCTCAAGCCATCAAACAACGCAAGACCAAGTCGAAATGAAGCAGCAGAAACGTGGAGAGAATCTGCACAAGTGTCAAGTCAAACCAAGTCAAGACTGTCAAATTTATCAGCATTTTAGAAGAAAGAACAAGAGAAAATCGACTCTTTACCTGGAGAACCCTATGATCTCAAGACGCCTCCGACATTGAGACTCAAGTTCAAATTCTGAAATCTTCCCCAACAAATAACACGAATGTGGAATAAATCCATGTCTCCCTATCTGCCAGCAATCCAAGGGATCGGGCAATTGTCTTTGTGTATGACGGATCGCAGACGCCAGGTCCTCGCAATGTGTAGTTCGTCCCCTCACGAGAAAACCAAGATGAAACCTCAAAGCAGCATCCTTCACCGTTGCTGAACATTGGGATAACCTCGAGGCTACCTCCCACCCGGACTATGTAGCCAGATCTCGTTTTCGGCAAGCAGAGCTCACCTTGCTGATGCCGCTCCGAATCGCCAAATCCTGTTCCCCCCATAACCGATTTCTCCCTTTCCTCCTGTCGACTTATCTCCCCTCTCTCACTCCAGTTCGGCACCCGGGCTCTGTGGTGACAAAAGGGATTGACAAGAACGAGCCATATTGCAGATGAGAGTTAACGTTTGTCGATTCAAGGCAGGACGCGAGTCTCAGTCAGCCCTCGGAATCTGCCAGCCACTCGCTTAGGACGAGGTCTCTCGAGCGTGTCACCGTTCCAACGAGCCATCCACCTTCTCTCCTACCTCTATTCGAGCTGTCGATGTTAGTCGGTGTTGGGAAATTGAAGTCCTCCTATATACCCTTTTTTTCGCGATTTTTGGGAGCGTGCCCGCAGTTTCATGGAAGGGTGCCGCAAACTCGGCAAGAACGCAGTAACACTCGGCCCTCGTCACGCAGCAATTTCTTCATGACACCCTATAGTCCACGACCTTGCTCCCCAAAAATACCAAGAAAATCTCGGAATTACACAAATACGCAATTGTTGCAGTTTGCGAACAGATTGCAGCTGTGTGCTTACTGGTTGCGGCAAAGCATCATCTGGCAGGTCGGCATCCTACTTTCGATCACACAATTCGTCAAGTCGCATATGTTGTCCAAATCAGCCAACGAATTTCTACACTCAGAAGCCCACAGGTAGCTGAGTTTTGCCTCCTTTCTTCCAGGACTTATCCTTATTTCAGGATGCATAAAACTACAGAACGACCTCCGCTTGCTTGTGGCTGAGCAAGTTACATTAACCGTTGAAAGGTAAAGCGAGAACTGGCTTCATAGGATGGTGGTGCATATGACTATGGGACGTCGTTGAACTTCCAAACGATAGAACTGGACCACATGTTTGGTGCGCTACTGGTATTGTGGAAGGATGTCATGAACTGTTTTCCCTGGGCCTCTTCCAAATTTCTCCAGAAGCTCTGAAAGGTGCATGGTAGTGAGCCGACGAATCGACAGCATTATCGTTCTTTAGTTGATCAACCTGCAATTTTCCAACTGCGTCCGGAGGGGATATAATAGGACGAGAATGTTCATCATGCTCCAATGCAGTCTCACCATCTCCTTGTACATGAATTCCAACGCGAATTATTTAGCACAAGGTAGCTAAATAATCTAATCGAATGCACATACTATCCTGTCCGCCTGGCTCAAAGATCTTGCCTCCCTTCGCTTTCATAACTTATTCCTCAGTTCGAGAAGCTAACTTGACAGTACAAGCAATGTCTCCTGCATATACTGAAATCAGTATATTCCCCTGCCAAGGTCCAGGGAGCAAAAAATTAGAAAGTGTTGCGAGGCGCTAGAAGTAAGCATTGATAACTCTATTCAGAGACGAAATGCAGAAAGAGTTTGCTGAACACTCACACCAAGAAGCTGTCACTCAGGTCAATGACAACACTTGGTTGTATGAACATCACACCTGGACAGAATTCCTCGACGGCTTTCTCACCAAGCGCTTTCGTCCGTGCATGCAGAATATGACACGATTCATCTGAACTAATGGTACTGACACGTATGATCCTCAGTCCGTAAAATTTTACTACCTGTACAGCATTTTCCAGTACCCATCCATTGAATTTCTTCAAGCATCTATGGTATGCCATACACAATCCCCTCAAGGGATACGATTTCATCCCTCCCCGTCCATCAAATGCCAATTTTAATGTTGTATAGCTAATTGGGCTTGCACAGTTTTAGCTGCAAGTGGTGCGCAGGAATGGTCGTTGATCTTGCAGCGATGGCTTTGGCAATGCACAAACCTGCGGGCATTGGTGTCAATGCTGATCCTAAAGAGAGCAGAGCATGCAAGACGTTATTGATATCTACCTAGGAAGCTGGCACCACGTACAATGGCTTTTTGCGACACCTTCCAGAGTTGACAGGAACTTCAGATATTCGATGCCGCCAGCAGTTAATACCGGATGCTGGCGGCTATTCCGAATATGTTTGACGTTATGCATCAATCCATTGGAGGAAGCTGGTCATCGGATTTCAGTCAGGTCCTGGGCATACATGCACACAAGTGTTGCGTGTAGAATGCGTATATATTTTGCGTATTGTTCATCCATCTTGCTCATAAAGTATTTTCATACGTGTACCTTGGTGAGTACAGGAACGGTCTACATTAAAGTATTTGTCTACTTGGATTAATGTACTAGAATCAAAGGGTTAAAAATGAACCTCCAAACATGCACAATGCTGTCTCCAAGACGCATCTATAGTGATGACCTTCTGGAACGCAAACGTTGCATATGTTTCGTCCGCCTCCAGGGACAATGTGCCAATACGTAGTACAATGTTCCGTCAGAGATAAGAGCTGGAACTGCTGACGAAATGTCCAAATAGCACATCCGGATAGTCAGCGTGGTAACTTATTCGTATGGAATAAAGCGTGAGGCTGGTAAGAACACAGCTTAATGCACCTAAAGAGACATTGTCTCAAATGGAATTCATCTGCCAAAACAAGAGAGTTGCTGAAATTCTTCGTATTCCGTTGAAAGGAAACAGTAAGCTCTTCTCCTTATAAGATGTTGAGAGATAAATTTACTCATTTAGCTAGCTGAAATGAGCACAATAGAAACAACTACTGTAGAGGAAACATGCAAGAGGCTCGATAAACGACAATTCCGAAAATTCTCTTATGCACAGAATCCTACATGGCTTGCTGAACCTTTGACGTCCAGATAAGCGCTCATCACACACCGCGCCCAACATGGTTCGACCTGATAGGCATTCAGCAACACGTATGCATCGGAAACATAGGGAGGGAGGGAGGCGTACACAAGGGCTCACTTGTCCGTCTCTCAGGCCATCCTCGCTCTGTCATTTCCCTCCTGCTATCGTCTTCTTGACTTGAAATTTATACTTATTTTCTTTCACATTTTGCACGATAAGTATTATGGACTATCCAGCACCAACGGTGCGTGTTCGCGTGACTTGTAAGCGTTTGTGGTCCTCCTTGAGTGTGGTTTGAGCCCGTCTTCCAAGTCACTTGAGACACGCTCAAGAAATTCCTCCGGCATAAATCACGATAAATTGAGCGTAGCATACGTCAGACCGGAATTTCATGGTAGGGCACCGAGAGAACACGACGGACAAACATCCATGAACAATTAGGTGGGACGAAAGCGGCACCTAAGCGAGAGTGGCACGAACTGGCAGATTCCGAAGACTCGAGAGGACGGCTGACTCGCGTCCTGTCTTGAACCAAATTGCAACCGTGTCGTCCTTCTCTTTGCGTCTGCGTCAATCCATTCAACCGCTTCAAGATCAAAGTGGATGGATAAGGGGGAAATGGGGAACTGGGTCGAGAGGGGAAAGGCGGGATTAATGGAAGAGGGCGGATTTGGATTGATCAGACGATAGGGCTGACATTAGGCATTGATCCGTTAAGGTGCGTCTTGCTCACAAAACTGTTTTCTGGCCACGTCGATGGGCACAGGAGATAGCTTGTAAGTCGACCAAGTATTCAAGCGAGTTGACAGATTTTGCCTTATGGATGGATTTTGATTTACTGAAAGCGAGGTGGAGAGGTCGAACCACACGAGCAGAGTCTCCAGTTCTTTCGTTGACAGGCACAAAACCCATTACTCGTACCGCTGCTTTATTCAAGGAGCTTTTCATGACGTCTTGATCTTGCTTGTCCGCATTGGAGGGGATATCATTCGGAAGAGACAACAATGTCAGAACTCGAGCATGGATTTCGACATCAAAGCCGTTGTTGGACGCTAGGGTTCTTGCGGTGAAGTCATTGCACTTGTCTGCTCCTTGCATCAGGGATACTAATCCCGTTATTAGTCTTCAACTTGATCTTGCTAAGCCATTTCCAACCTCTAGTCTCTTGATGACTTGGCTATTTGAGGGCTCCTCGTTCAGCGATCATGTTCTATCTTTGTTTCTGGGGAAATCGATCTTGACGCAGGCCAACTTGAGGGGATCTCTTCTGCTTGCATATATGGTGTATATGGCTTCACAGAATGCCTGAAGTGTGAGCAAATCATGGTATCTGAGTATGATATTCAGCGGATGTACGTGTCTATTGTCAGAACCCATCAAAACTCTAGCTGACTCACACTTGCCATATTAGGATATTTCTGCCAATGACTCTGCACTGGACACAGTTTCGCTCGATGCCCTTGAACGGGTTTCTGAAGGCTCGGGAGAGTAAGAGAGGAGCTTTGAGGACCAGTAGAATGGCTGTACAATGCAAAACAAGGCGCAGTTCGAAGAAGACACAAGACGTTTCATGAAGAAAGCCAGAGCTGTTGGAAACGGTGGGAGCGCGAAATGCACATGTGCCCCGAGGACGATGTGTCCTTGGTACAAGAGACAACGGGCTTCTGGGAGTGCAGAAAATCTCCAAGCAAGAGGATTTCTAAGGCAAGCAGGCATAGAAATTTGAATTGCAGCAGAATTGCAAGGCACCTCATATTCCACCGATCGAAGGGTTCGTGCGATGGTTGCAATCGTTCTTGTCGTACACTCCGTATGGAAGATTTACCCAGTGGCCTCTAGTGGAAGGAGAAAGGAAGAAGGGAAGGGAGAAGAGTGTGGCAAGGAGAGGATGCAGAATTTCGGAGGTGATGGACAGCAGGTGAGAAACAGAGACCAGTACGTCCGCCGCGATTTTCCGTTGATCGTTCACCTCGATTGTGGAGTCTATCGCTCTACTTGGAGTGTTTTCGATATTTAAACCAATTTTCTAATCAGTTTAAATGAGCCTCGAGGAACTTGCGGGATGCCACAGAATCCAACGGAAGCATATTATACGGGAGATGATTTGCCCCCGGATTTGCAGCTGGTGTCTCGCGATCGAGTCGGTACTCAAAACGGACAACGCCCTCGTCGCTTGGCCTCAATTCATTCTTGACGACCTAGAATGCTTCTACCACCCCAACCTCTCCGTCTCCCCTTTTCTCTCCCTCTTTACGTGCTTGCTTGAAGCGATTTTCTGCCCTGCTTTCCTTTCTTAAGTTCATCTCACATTCTTTCCCTTTGTCCTGGTTGCTCCTGTCTTCTACACTCTATAACGAGACGTAAAAATGACACAACGCGTTACTTCTGCCCCATTCACCCGTCCTCAGCCCTCCCAGCTTGCAATTGAGTTTCAGCAAAGCCAGAAGCGATATGCGACTCGTCCGATAAATCATTTTCCCTGGAAGGATTTCCATTTGAGAATGTCGGGGCATGGATATGTTATTGGGACTGATTGGGCAATGGTGCGAATGGGCTTTCTCCACAAGGTGAAGCAGTTACTGATTAAGGCGTTAGACGACGTTCGATACGCGTACGGAAGACCAATTCTTTGATCGTAAACGCTTGCAGACGGTGTGCTCTGCTATCATATATAATCCTATATCTGAGTATCTAATGACCGGCCATCATACCAGATCGATGAAAACACCGAAGTCCTATACTTTCACCCCTTCGACCCGCTTAACTACTCAAATGATTCTTTGGATTTCAATATCGAAGAGGACACCAGCGATCAGTTAGAGAGGCCTGGACAGGAAGGTGTCCTAAAGAAAATATACGTTGGAACGAAGGTATGGATCTTTCGCCCTGCTGTTTGGTGATGAATTATGCAATTCTGATATACGCGCAGTCTGCACTCTCCCAGATAGAGCTCAAAGCTCGCGGTTTCTTTTATCATCTTTTCGGGCATCCGTAAACCGTCTCTACTGTGTTTTGTCTAGCAAATCCTGTCTAGTCCTTGGCTCATTCCTTTTGTTGACACAAGAAAAGCGAAACATATCTACTACCTGACCCATTAGCCTTGCATAATTGGCATTCATTGTATAATATACAGCTTCGTTCTTGTAAATAGATCGCTATTAGTGGACAAATAACAAACATGTGTTCATCCATACGAGATGTCCGTGCCAAAACAAGCGAAAGGGAGGAGCTCTACCCGCGCAACATATTTGGAGCGAAGGTAATTCTATGATACAGGCGAATATTCCTGGAAGCTTTGAGCAAGAGAAACAAGAAAAATTGCAAACAGATGTGATCATAAATAAGCCCCATACTCTAATCTCTAGACAAATATTTTCTGACTAAAAGCAACCAAATAATTTCCGACAAAACATGCAAACTTCGCGAACGAGCCAATAAACGGCAGACTACGTCGTGAGCAATAAATGACATGTAGAATATGGAAGGAGTACCAGTTACGCACTTTTGTCGCTGTGAACAGCCGCTCCACAAAGCTTTCGTGTCTATGCATATCCAATTGGCGCATCTCTTCCAGGACGTCAAAGTCCACGCCGTCTCTTGAATATCCAAGTGTGTCATAGGGGTGGAAGAATCGCACTTCCGTACCTTCGTTTATCTGGCGGGAATAGAGTTAGACAATATGCCGAACCTCAGCATAACAAAATCGGCATACCGTTTGCAGACATTTTGAATCAAAGAATTGATCATTTCTGCGATTATCGAACGTTGCCTAGAGCATTTACTCGTCAGCTAGATCCACACAGTGTCAAGTGTTCGAGGCGTACCATCACCCAGTCAGGCTCGACGACGAACCCGTGACGCGGAATTTTCAAACCCTTCCAGGGGAATTGGTCGACAGGACGGTGGGTATAGCGCCCTCGAGTCTCCTGGACTGCGATGGCGAGATGGGCAGGCTGGGGACGAACAGGAGGAGTAGGGGTGGCAAACTGTGCCATCATT